ATAGAAAATAAACGCTTCAGTAAAAAGCTGGTATAGTTCAAGCTCTGAGATGAGGAAGGCAGGCCTGAAATAGATAAAGCCTCAAAGATCTATCAAGAGGCAGAAAAACAAACTCAGTATGATCACCTTCAGCAGATTTGCCCACAGTATGTACTGCATACAAAAATTTCCAGAAGAGGTACTTGGCAGCAGGCTGGAACAATTCAACTGCTAATGAATCCACATATCCAGGATGTCCCCATACTTGATAAATAACAAAATATGCATTTAAAGCAAAAATTGGATTGTTACGAAGTACAACATCCTGCACACACAATGCCTTTAGTAAAGCCCTCCCACAGAAACACATCATTTGTTTTCTGCAGTCAAATCCAAAGAAGACTGGATCAACACCACAAGCTATGCCGACCACATAACATGGATTCTCTCTTCACCAAAGGAGGGGGGTGACTAAAAGAGCCAAGAGGTAAGCATGCAAAGAAGTGGCTGCAAGATGTCAGCTCAAATCACATCACCATCTGCTTCCTGTATGCCTGGGAATTCAAGCAAAGAATTCAGGTACAATTCTGTGACTTGCCATGAAGTTTGTCTTCCAGGAAAGAGGTGGAAACAAATCTCTCTCCCGGGTTTAAACAAGGTTATGTCATCTCAGGACTTCTTAGGTATTAGTTTAGGAACCAGCTAGTACAGCTGCATTTTTAAGGAAGAACCACCTACCTATTGTAGAGCTTTCTTCTCTCCTTCTTATTAAATATTGGCTTTTGTTTTCATGAGCCTAGGTCTCCCAATCAAGTAACTTATTTTATCAGCAAAATCTGACCTTCTAGATAGCCATGTACTCCTGCTAGTACCTGATGATTGTGTTTGTTGGGAACTTCTTGTTGGAAGCAAATTTTATTCTGGTACACTGCTGAAGGAGAAAAATTTTCCACGTATTTGAGAGATTCTTAAAAATAAATTAGAATTTCAAATTAAACATGCTGTATGAAAGACAACAGAAAAGAGGTTTTCCATGACAGCTTTTGGCACAAAATACACATAAGTGCCCAGTAATGAATACATGTTAGATATTCCATGGCACAGAGCTTAAGAATTATATCAGTTTTACAAACATAAACATGAATTCTTTAGGAATAAACATAAATGTAATAGGAAAATCTCACCGTGCTACAAACTTATTTTTGTTTATAAAATGAAATATAACAAAGTCATAGTAATGCCATAACAAGATATGACACAAAGAAGGGAAAAATATTCAAGAAACAGAGAGAATTACAGTAGATATTGTTCCTTCTGCCTAGTGCTGAGATCTCTTGTATAATATGCAGAAGTCCTTGATAGACAGATAAACCTTCCTTCTTGACACGAAAAAAAACAATTACAGAAATTAATGGAAGTAGTCAGTTTGCAGTTTTCAAGGGCTTTACAATCACCTTACTCTGAAGCAGATGAAGCTGCAGAATGTGACAGAGTGATTTGGTTTGTAAAGATCTGCTTCAAGGTGAGGTTTCGAAACCATGTGAGCACTATTCGGCTGATTAACGTTACTTTAATCTAGAACAACCCAGATAAAAATCCAGACTGCATACGTTTCAGGGAAATTGAGTGGTAATGGCAAAACATATTCAAAGCAACAAAAACCCTCAATACATTTCTAAGCACAATAAAGGTGAATTTTATATTCTGGTACTGAGCCTGTTCAAGAATTTTGCAGGATGTAGCATACCTGCACCTACCGAAACATGTCTAAATAATACACAGAATTCTCACTAATACCAAAATGCCCATCATATTGTTTGGCTATGGTGACATCAGCCTAATGTGCAATAGTGAGACAAAGAAAAGCCAGCATTTCACTCATGTATACTTCTTTATAGAAAATATTCTCCACATAATTTTATATGTATGGCAGAGATAATAAGTGAAGATCATTTATTTAAATGATTTACAGTGAAATCTGTAATCTGGCAAGAGAATAAAGGTTACTCTTATGCTGGAGGTATTAACTAGTTCCAGTATTACCCATTCAGGTTTCAGAAAGTTACAGAGATAGTGAAATTTGCTATTTTCTGTCAGCATTTTGCTCAGAACAGCTTGTTACTGATGAGGTGCCAGAACCTGGGAACACTCTATTAGCATTCTGTATGCAGTGTTCTAATTTCTCAGTCCAGTATGTTACAGGAAAAATACAATCAGTTGCTTCTTTTACATGAAAGTACATTTGATAGCAGAAGTTACACCCATTTGAAAACTGGAAGACTGTGCTCATGAGCTTTACCAATAATACTGTTCCTTTTCCTACCTCTACTGGGTAAGCATTCAGTCCTACTGAAATAAAGATAAGAATTTAGCCTAGAGAACTTTGAAATTAGAAGGTCTAAGATGAAGGAGTCAAGTCTGTTCTACTACACTGCTCTGGTCTTCGAAGTTTAATTAAAGAAAATAAACCATCAAAGTTACCAACCATAAATACATTGCTTAAGGTAATTTTTCCATCTTATGAGCATTGTACCAGAGCTCAACATTGCTCCAAAACATCCAAACTTCCACCTCTCTTGTAACAGCCAGGTTCAGTGGTGTTTCCTGACACTCTGCTGGTGATACTAAGAACCCCAGCACCACCTGCAACTCATACACATTGATGTGAGCATTGTCTGCTTTTGCACTAAACAGTAATTACTGCATTGGAGTTATGCCTGGCTATCATTAAGACAAACTGTTTTCAGGGACTGCTTTTAAATTAAATGCATCTGACTCAAATATTCATGATGCAAAGACACTCTTTCCAGAATTCAAGCCTACTCACACATCGTCCTCTCACACTGGTGTCTTATTATGTTTCCAAAGACAAGCTTGACTGATACAAGCCTGTACAGCTTTTTTTCTTATTAATGAAAAACATTGTTAATTACAGTTTCAGGTATACATTTCTGAACAAATACAGCAGGAAGCACTTAAGACTGTATTGCTCAGATCAATGTATTCAGCATCACAATCTTTGAGTTCTAAATTCCAATGAAAGTAACAATCTTTGTGAATTTGGAATTAGGAGAGCTTTTCTCTAAAAAGAAAGGTTTTGCTATGCTTTAATAGAGTTTATCTGTTGCTTTATGAGCCACTCACACATTTATGAATAGTATCTGTTTTGTTCCCACTTGACTAATTGCTAATTCAGAACTGTAACATTTGAGTATCCTCTGACAATCATGATAGCAGTAGTCCAGCAAAGGAAAAGATACCTAAAATTCATATTTTCCACTGAGGCTGCTCTTTTCTTTGTACTTAGGGAAAACAAATTGTCCCTGAAAGTCAAACTTGTCTAAACTTCTCTGTACTAGCCACATATCTCATCTCTTCTATCATTATCTGACTGTTCTTCTCCAGTTAAAGGTGACTTACACAGACAGATATGTTTTCCAATAGAAAACAGCAAAAAGCAATTTCAACAGCTGCGAATCATTTATAACTCTGAACCAACAGCTTCATCCTCTAGATAAAAGGGCATTTTTGCCAGGTTTTTCAGTGACTTTTCCCTTCTACCTCAACAACAGAAGAATTTATGAAGGTCTGTTAGAGAGACTGCTTTTCTTCATTGTTTTACTTCATCTTTTTAAAAATCCCTTTACATTACATTTTCATTTGCAGCAATGAGCCTACCATATAAGCCGGTTCATCTTCCTGACTGCAATATGTGCAAAACAGGATCAACAAATTCATTACAAAATTGAGAGAGGTGTCTACAGCCTGGCAAGGGACAGCTTTGTATTTTTATTTTTTATTGTAAGGCCCCTGTAGGCTTGTTGAACTACTTTTCTTCCATCATATAAGATTATGTAATGCCTAGACTGAAAGAGCCACGTTTTTGTTTTAGTTCTGGGTTGTTTTGTAGACACTTAAGACACAGATGATTTCTCTTTAAACTCTGGAGACAAAATGTATCATACAATTCACCAAGCAGTTATGACACTGAAGAAATTCACATCATACATAATACAACTGGCATCCAAAAGAGCTACAGTGATGTGATTACATATTTATCTGTTACTTCAACAAGGCAAATCAGGCCCCAAACCAAATCATTTAGATTTGGAACAATATATTCTGCTGTTTACAGATTAAATCCATCTTTACAAAGCATCTGAATGAAAATCCAGCCTAAGGCAAAGTCTATGTTCCAAAGCATAAGGGTAAAATTTATCTGAAAAAAACACATCTACCAATAACTTTATACTAACACCTGTCATCTAGTGAGACTGAACATAGATCACAAACCCAATCTGATGTTTTTACCATTATTTCCACACAGGCATTTGCTTACTCACTGCTTGAAACTTTCTTGGATAACTGCAGTGTTTTCTGAATGAAAACCATCAAAACATCTCTCAGTAGTATTGCAGCAACACATAACTCTTTTGTTTTTTCTTAGAAAAGCAACTCTGATGATTTCATTGTTCATTTTTTAAAAAAATGTTGCAATTTACTTAAGAGGCTGAGTTTTGCATTTCCTAAATGCAAAAGTAAAAGTTCTGCTCAAAGTAAACACAGAACAACTCTAGAACTTAGTAGTTGCAACATGTATCTACTTCAGGCATATACTTGTTCAATTTTCTTAGAAAATTAATTATTTTCTTCACAGAAAGATTCCTGGTCTTCTATAAAGCACTCTTTCTCCATGGATCTTTTATGTAATCAGTAGAATTTTTCAGATGGAAATATGATATTCATGTTAATTTCAACAGCTTAAGAACTGAATTTCAAATTTAAAGACTCTAAAGCAATTAAGTTTAAGCACTAAGAACAAAAGAGTATTTCGGTGAATGCTGTTATTTAGTTTTCTAAGGCTGAAGTGAATAAACATTCAATAGTACAGTTCTAAAACAGCAAACATATTGACGGTAGCCAGAACAAGCCATTACTGATAGATACAGCACTGTTTTCTTATTCTGCTTATTTGACAGAGTTCAGTACCTTGGATCTAGAAGGAAAGAACGGCACGTTACCTGAATCATTGCGGAGGTATGATGACATTGCTGGAATGAGGCAAGACTGACTGAGGAGCTCCAGGAGAACGGACGGCAAGGCGCTGCTGTTCTGTCCTCTACCCTCATGGCTAGTCTGAGGGTCTCCATTTGATGCACTCCCTGCAGGATTTATGTAACTGGCAAGAACCTGAAATGAAGAAAAGTATTTAACCAAAACCGATTCATTTTAGGCAAAAGAACTTTGGTTTTCCTCCTTAAGGAATATCCCATAATACTTTTTGCAAGGTACTTTGCCAATTCATTACTTATGTTTATTTCAGCAGTCCCAAAGATATCTCAGAAGTTTTATTCAGTTCCTAGATTATCATCCAATTTTGGCAAACGATAAAATTAAATAACTATTTTAATTCTGAATGACTTCAAGAAATCAACTAATGTGAACACAGACAAGACTGCTAGAATTACTCAGAAGAGGAGATTGCAAGCTCACCGCCTAGATATGCTGCTGATCAATCCCATTCCCCTTTAGAACAGCCAATAGCTAAAAATTATCATTTTTTTAATGCCAATGTTGTAAAAGCTATTTGTGATCTACTTTTGGATGGAACTTTCAGTTGCACATGAGGTAACTTGTGATGAGCATGTCAGTAACCCTGAACAACTGCTCACGTGTGTGCTTGTGCTTCAGTAAACAAGGAGCAACCCTACACTCAGAACAGGTGGGAAGCCATCGTGGGCCATCCCAACTACAGCTATTGCTGAGTTCACAGGCCCTTAATGGATGCTGAAGACCTTCTTTTGTTCTCCTTCTTCCCTCTAACCCCACTACCCACTGTATTTTGCTGCAGCATCTTATTTTACCAGCGCTCCATACAACAGAACTTTCCAAAACAATCCTTCCAGAGAACTGATCGTAAAACTGACTGACATCTTTAGCAAAATGCTGAAGGGTTTTTATATTTCTTCCTCCCATTGCTGACTACTCAATGCAAACGTCTCCCTTCCTCATGACTTTTGACAGTTATAACTAAACCTCTGCATGGCATAACACAGAATATTGCCTGGAAGCCTTGCCAAGAGTCATTCAGGTGCTTTGAACTCTTTTGCACTTCAGAGAATTGTTTCAGATTTGTTTTGCTTCTGTAAGAGGATGTGATACTTGTGCCTTATAATCTACAGTGACAGAAATAACTGATTACATCAAATTGATATCTTCATCAGCAAGGGCATGGACATTTTCAGAATTCGACCTCATTACCCAGCTGTAATGTTAGTTAACACATTTGAGCTGACAGTTCTGTGAATGAAATTTTTGATGACTAGAATGTTTCTCATTTTACACTGCTCTAAGATAACTGGGGTTGGCTGCGTTTCACAATCGGACTTAAAAGGCCTAACTGAATGGGACTATCTTGTCCTTAATATAAGGTATTTGAAAGGCATTGGTAGTACTGAGATCTAGATGCTCACTGTTGATTTAATATTGCTATTTAAGAGACACAATCAAGATGTCATTATCCATATGTCTGAGTGAGATTTTGTTTTGCTGGTATACAATACATCCATGGAAACTTTACTAACAGCTTTGGACACTTTCTTAAAGCAGAGAAAAAAACAATGAAAAATGAATAGGTAACATGACTTTTGCATAAAAAATGTCTGCTTACTTATCCCTTTTCTTTGATGGACAGTCTTTACTTTTGACTGAATGCCACAGAGATGTATGACAGCTCCAGGGAAATATACCAGAAAACATTTTGGTTTACAGTCTATTCAGAACTGTCACCTACGCTTACCCCGTGTCCTTCTTATGCAGTAGCCTACTGAAGCTTGAAAACTGCCTCACTCAAAATATATTTAATTTTTCATGTACAGACACGTATACACAGTTGTAAACGGTTTTGTTTTGGTTTTCTTTTTGCCCAAAGTACCATAATTACTGTTCTACCAGACTAAATTACAGATTCTATTTTTGTTTCCTAGGCCCTAATATTTCAATCACTTGTGATTAATCAAAATTTCATCATTACACACCTGTAGAAGGCAGGTCACATGCTCTTCTTCTAGCCTTTGCTTAGTCAAAGCTTGCTCAACATCCCATCCTGAAGCTGTGGAGCCCGTTCCAAAGCCTGTACCCTTAGCCCAGTACAACTGCTGTTCTTCTGTTGAAGCACTGTTGTGTGTACTTGATACTTGTGGCTAAATTACAGGAAAAAAAAATCATAATAATTTCATAATTTTTACCTTACCAATCAATTATCTAAAAAGCCTTTATTCTGCAGAATAATGTAATCTCAGTTTATTAATATAATCAAGATATTAATATCCAGGTGAACTCAGAAGCTGTGAATAGGAATACTCCTGCCACAAAATTCCAGTACAGGTCAGCACTACATTGCTGCAAGTGATTCTTGGGTTTAACTAAAACTGCAAGTCCATTTTTGTTATCATTTAAAATACTGTTACTGTTTAAATGATGAAAGACATTAAAATGTTACGTAATCAATATTACAGGAAACTATAAGTCTCTGAAATTATTACTATTTAACTCCTAGTCAAGTTGAATAACAATTAGAAGGGATGGAAGGAAGGAATATAGGGGCCTCTGCCTCTCCTCCACCCCTCACATACTTTGCTGTCCAAACTCTTGAGGATCTTCGTAACCCTCCTTTGGATGTTCTCAACTGGTTTATGTCCTTTTCATGCTGTGGCACCCAAACTGCACCCAGTGCTGGAGGTGAGGAGATGAAGCAGCTGTACGATTATTGTCATGAAGACACTGCCACACATGAATGCTCAGGAGAATTTCACGAAAAATTAAAGGCAAATTCCTTGCCATGGAAATACAAGCTTTGGTGAAGAGTCTGGTGGATCTCCTATTTCAAGTTTCCACCTATCACTTGGATAGCTATGAATTGTGTGAAACAACCTGTTTTAGGGGTCATGGAACAGCTCAACCTGAGATCAGAATTAATGGCTGCACTTTCTAATCAAAGTTACTGTAATGTTAAGACATTCATTCGTCATCAGTCTGATACTCAATTAGATGCAGAATATCTCAGATCCCCTTCAAAATTAACTAGCCAATAAAGTGAACTATACTTCTGTAGTTTTCTCTCTTATTTCCTCAACCCCCTCACCAGTATCAGAAGCTGCCAAAATATGGGCAGCCGTATATTCAGCAGCAGTTAGCCATATTTAGCCACCAGAACTTTTTCTGAGTGACACAAGTCTCTGCCGCCATACTGAAAGAGAGGGAAAGCCATCAACTAATTTTAAGCATGTTTTGAGGCAGTCTCACGCAGAAATGGCACCTCATAATCCTAAAAAAAAAAAATCAGTTGATGCACATTCTGAATATAGGGTAGTGTAAGGTAAGCGCCTTGAAAAAGTTTTATTTTGGAGATCCACTTGGGATCCTGAAAAGTGTAGAAATATTAGATTTAAAGATTGCTCCACGAATTCATTAATTTTCACAACTCATTTACATTTATAAGCTTTTAAGAGGAAATAATTTGCAGTTAGTAGAGTTTAGATGATGAATGCTAAATAAGGTAATGAGGTCATGCTAATGAATGATAATTAATAAAGAAAGAACAACCCTCCATTATCATGCCTCTCATACACTGAAAAAAATGATCCTGTGAAAGAAACTGATTACACCTTAATGCTTCATGATAAGCCTTCTTTGTTGGTTAAATTTTATGATTACTATGCTTATATGCAACAAGCAAGTATAATTACTTTAGTATTTTATAATTATTTTTCTTCTTCATTCAAATGCCAACTGTGTAGAAATTAAATTTTAATGAAAGCGGTGAATTATTTTCTTTTTTATAGCAAAAACTGTTACTTTGCAATTATTCTGCTACTAAACTTACCTCTGCCTGGTTGGGACTAGCATTGGGAACTCTTGGTGCATGGTGGCTTAGAGCAGACAGACAAGCAAGGATAAGATGTATAGCTCCAATTTCCAGTGCCATTCGCCTAAGCAGCACTCCATCATCAGTAGTCAATGGTGTAGTGCTGAACAAAGTGCGCAAGACATGGAAGGGAAGGGTTGGAAGCACATTTGCTGAAGGAGACTGCAAGATATGACCTGGATTAAAAAAAATAATAAAAGTCACATTTTCTTTCTGTAGTTCAGTATTGTCTGTTAATCTTTGCAGCGATTTGCACAACACAACAGTACAGAAATATACTAAGGACTTAAGCGTTCCGCTATGGTAAGCTATCTAATATTAAATTTCTCTTAAGAACATTTTTTCGGAATAATATTTCTTTATTTCCATTATGGACTTCGTTAAAATCAAAAGTTAGAATATTTGATTCACCATTTCCAGGGAGGAAAATTAACTCTTTAACAATCATGTGTGTTCTCTGTATTTAACTACACTGCAGGTTATATTTCTAAATAAAAGAGAAAGATGCTGGTTCAGACTAATTCTTTCTTTCCAAGCCTTGCAAGTAGAATGAGTTAAAGCACACAGATGGTCAACAAACAGCAGCTGAGCTGACAAGCAGCTGTAATGTATCACGATGTGTTTTTTGCTTTTTATACTCGTGACCAAATTATGAATTAAACCACCGCACAATCCAAGTAGTGATGTGACTCAAGTTGAATACGTGGTGAAATACTTGGATAATTTTAATTACATGAGCTGCATGCTTACATTTTGTAAATCTATCTAAAAAATTTAACCTGTCTGTATTACAAGCAAATTAAAAACATTACAAATAGTGGAACGACCTCCAAATGCAACAGACGTATTTGGGAACTGTCTCAATTTTTTTGTGTGTGTATTTAACAATGCATTTCACATTATGTCTACAGTGTATATGTAAAACACAGATATTTAAACACTGAAAATATTTCTAAATAGCCAACTTCGTTCAGAAGTTTTCTTCTCATTTTAAAGACGTTTATATTATTTTCTCCCTCAAAAGTCTATCAGTTATATCATCCAGAAGAGTTACTGAAGTACATTACAAATCTGGCTATGTATTTGTATGTATACATACCTAAACAAACGCACCAGTTTGTGTCTATTTGCTACTCTTTGTAAAGAAAAAAGAAGGATGTAAAACATTATTTGACCTGGGTCTTCCTACATAAAATTACCCTGACAGTTTTCCACACCTGCGGGTGTAACCAAATGGCAATGGAGAAAAGATAAAATTAAAAAGAAATCTAAACATGTGCCCAAGATCTACCTTCACAGACAAATCAACCCATATTTAACATATAAACCCTGAATTTTTAAGTGCAGATCTCTATATTTTGTGAGAAGGATTATAGGGGTATTAAAAGATGTATTTACAAAAGGAAAGGAAAACATTAATACTTTATACAGAGAACTAGTGTAAACTACTGCAAACTGATACTGTGTTTGATATAGAGCTGAATTCATCCTTTTAGTTAGGAGAATGGAGAAACTGACTATTTAGTCCAGCAAAACCATAGGCTAAAAGGAAATACAATTCCAGTCATCAAGTACATGAGAAAGAAGAGCTATCCACAAAGAATAATGCAGGAACAATGATAACTGGGCACAAAACTGGATATGAGTAATTTTAGGCTGAAAATGAAAGACAGCTCTCATCTATCAGGAAAATGGTGTTCTGGAACTGTATTCCAATAGCGATAGTAGATGCGCTCAAGAAGAAAGAAAAGCAATCAAAAAAGGTCAAGTTTTGTGTTGGCCTCTTTCTCTATACAAAATGCATCTATAATTGTTTGCAAAAGCAAAGGACTGAAATCAACTCAAGAAAACAAAAATGAGAGTTAAGTGTATGCAGTCTTCTAGTTAATTACTATTTAAATCAGGTTGGAGTAATCAGCCAGTAAACTGCATAGCTGTTTGTTAAGCAGTGTATTCCTCACTACTGTCCTGTATCTAAATATACAAGAACTAAAATATAAAACAGAAAGGACAGTAAGCAAGACTTACACTGCTGAACTGAAACAAAATGCAGGTGGTTAACATATGGAAAAACAGCATTGTTTGCAAAGGCATAATGAAAGAAGTCTGAAAGTACTAGCATCTTTTGTTTTGAAAAACATTGAGAAATAATCAATACTAGAACTATATGCATTATTTGAGGTTGGAAGGACACTGACGACTAAGAATTTGTATGCTCATTTGTTCATTTGTCTAAGAATAGTCCCTTTATTCCTATGAACTCACACTATTACAACAGAGTTCACTCTTAGCTAATTGGTTGCAATAATCTTTAAATTCTCCTCTCTTCTTCTAATGCAATCTCAAAGAGTTTATCCTACGTCTGCTTTAGCTTCGCTTCTGTCTATGCTACTTTGAATTTGGCTGTACCCAACATTTCCTTAACTGTTGAGCACATCCTCCTACCCAAGACAGTTCTGTCCAAGTGCACTGGCATTTTAACAATGTCATTTCTAAGTTCAATCAGTAGTTGTTTTACAATTACTCTAGCATCCAGATGCAAGCATATGAACACTGATGATTGTCACGAAACTTCATGAGGAAGAATTTCATATTCAGAGATGAGATTATGACAGTGCTAGCAAATTGCACAAACCATTTCTAACTTCCTGCTACACATACTACAGTATAAATAATTTTAAGTAAAATGATCTAGCTGTGGTCTACAAAGAAACATAATAATTGCAGCACATACTTCCTTCACCATCATCTGTAACTCCCAACACCAATCTCAACAGACACTGAGCATGTTTCCGTTCTTTTAGCAGCACCTCAGCATAGCCCGGGAGACGAAGAAATAAACCAAAGGCAGCCAAAGAATGAGCAGGTATGGGAGACATAGTCTGAACTGTTGACTTGATCGGTGGAGGTTCTGCAGCAATTGTTTCTGGTGCTTCGTACACCAATTCTCCTGATTGTTCAATAGTAACCCATTCAAACTGATCACTGTCCTTCTGCTTTTCCTGTGTGGTTGATGTAACAACTGGAGTGCTCACCTTAAACAAGAACAAGAATTAAAAGAGCTGATAGCCATACAGACAATTAGGATCTGAAGGACACAAAATCTTATGAAAGATCTTTAAAATTCACATTAAATATACTACTATTAACAGATGTATGGATCAGGGACTACCAAAAACACAGGGTCATATGAACCCAGTACAGTCACTCATGTCTTCCTAAATTTAACATCACAGAAGCTTCAAGCTTTTATAATATTTAAATACAATGACAAGTATCAGTAAAATAAAGCAAGATATGAGTAAAATTAAAAGCAAGAGTCTAAAGAATTCAAGAGTCTTTACCATGAATCTTCTATTTAGCATTACTGTACTTGCTTTGTTTTTACAATCACATAATTCTTATTCTGTACTTAAATTTAAACGTACCACAAATAAGAAAAACATATTTCAAGAAAATAACTTCCCAGAACTTCCAGAAGACTTCAAAGAAGGGAAAAAGGGGATCAAATTTCTTATGGCCATAAGCTGACTTTTACCTGTTGCAGTATTACACAGATCTGTCTTTATCAATGCAGACTACATGCTATTTCACAGTATCTCCAAATTCCATAATCACCTATGCAAACACATTTCCTTAACTTTGAGATGTTCTACAGGCTTCATGCGATCTCTCTAAAACATTTTCAGACAAACTATACTTCCATGTAACGTGCTGCCAGTACCGAATGTGTTCTTCCTGAACTGCACTGCTATTTACAAATGACTCGCACTAATCACCCTGATCTCATGACAGGCTATCCACTCCTGCCATAATTTTGCAGTCAAGGTACTCAGCAGCACCCTTCAGTCATGATCAACCTATTTCACAGGGAACAGATATTCACTATTTTTATTAGGTATATCAGTTAAAAAAATGTTAAGAAACACAACCAACCAAATAATTCTGGGGCTATTTCTGATTTTTTTTTCATAATAAGGACCCGCATACCAAGAAAAGCAGCCAAAGAATTCCACACAAACACAACTGCTGACATTTTCAAAAAGCCTATCCACAGAAATTCTATATGTAATTATGATAATCAGAGATGCACACATGTACAAATAAATAACATGTTTACTATGAAATTCATATGCTATTATTATAAAATTAATTCAGATAAGGTTATTTATAATTATTATATATCAAATTATATAGTCCATGCTGAAGATGGCATTTCATTTAACCACAAAAAAATGATCACTGAGAATAATTAAATGATATGTAAGTATGGCTTTGTAGCACAACAGCAACTCTTTGCTACCATACCCTCCCAAGTATCTTAGGAGTTAACAGAGGTAAGGCAAGAAGAATACTGAATTCCTGCTTTTGTTTTACAAGAACATGGCTATTCAAGCAAACTGTAAGATGTCTAGGGAAACAGCAGGTACAACTGTACTGCTGAGGAGTCATGCACTTGTGTATTTTCAAGTTGTTTCCTCTCCTGGCTGAGATTTCAAAATGGAGATTTCAAACTCAACCACATAGAAATATGGGGAAAATACTGTTCTCGAACAAACAAAAAATTATTAGCATGCTTTTCCAGACTGATTTTTTTCACTTACTTGCTGAATTACATCAGGATAAAGCATAGGGAGTCTCTCTGCAATTAGGGCCAATCCACCCATTCCTGCAAAAACTTGCAGTGGAGACTGAATGGGACATGTTTCAAGAAGTGATTCATCTAACACTGCATCCATGCACTCATCCCCAGGACTGATGGCTTCATCTTCAGGACAAGGACCCAGTAAATCTGTATGTTCTACAAAAACAGAAAGGTAAAACAAGTTAATAGGTCATCATCAATACTGTGTATTTTTTCCTCCTTCTCAGATAAAAAACTACATCAAAAGTAGGGTTTGCTTTTACAGTAAAAGCTGAGTCAAGAACTGAAATGAAGATTAGGTTAGGTTGTGGTTGGACTCGATCTTTAAGGTCTTTTCCAACCTGAGCAATTCTATGATTCTGTGAATGAGTACAAGAATATCAAAAGAAAATTAAAATATTAGTATCTTTTGGCATTTATAGCAAACTCATGTCATAAGTATGGATAATTTATGTAGATTAATATGCTAATTATTACAATATACATAATACAATTGTTTGAATATACATTTTTTACTGAAAATTAATCAGATTCTTCTTTAGGTTTTGTCTTTTTTAGAAAGAGATTGATCTATCTAACGAGTTTTTACAAAAGTCTCTGTCCTAAAATAGCTGCATGATTAACTCTGTAGTTCCATGCTGTGCAGGCAGGTTGGTGATCACATCACCTTGGCTAAATTTCAAGGTCTCATTCCTCTAACCCCTTCCTTAAATAAACAATAACAAAATATTTCCAATCAGATTCCTGAGATGCAGATTTTCCCTCTTTTTTACCCAATTCACTGTAACTATAACATAGCAAGCAATGAGAAAAATCCCTAACAAGAAGCAGACTATATTAGGTGATTTTAAAAAGAATGTTCTTAAAATCTGAAGTTATGAGACACGCTCAGATGGGCTTGATAATAATTCCCATTTTCCATGAAGCATGTTAAGTGCTCAGGCTACTGTAACAACATTTTTCACAGGTGTCTGTAAGTGCTCCTGCATTACTTAATCTGCCCTGGCTATTAGCCCAAACACGCACTACTGAGAGCTGGCATTATAAAGCCTTATAAAAAGGGAAAAAAAAAACCACAAAACTCACCTTTTTCTGTATGAAGACGTTTAAACGAGTCTGTTTTTGATAAGCTTGGATCTGAGATTACTTTGGATCCAAGCTTAACTGTCAAATCTATCGATCGGTATCCTTGAGGGAGTTTACGGTCATACAGGAGAGTCAGAAGCTGGGCAAGAGTCATTTCAGCGGGTAATGGCTGGCCTAAACAACAACGGCATTGAGTCAGAGCGAAACGCTATGAGAGGGTTATCATAACATAAATGTCCATATGCTGTTCTTCTGCTGCAGAAGCCAAGTATACTAAATACTAAGTGGCTCTAAACCAAGGCCTTACTTCCAGTGTATATTCTCTTGGGAATTCCCTACAGCAGCTCTGTGTCAAAAGCCCAAAGCAATTAACATATTTAACAAATGGCTAAGGTTGTAATTTGATGTGCATTTCAATTGGGTACTGCCTTGCCCCCTACTATTAAATCCAATTGATTACATTGTGGTGACATAAAAGAATATGACAAGAGGATAAAAAGACTGAAGTGGAAGAATCTGTAAAATAAAGAAACCTGCAGATCCTTTTCAGCGCTACAAACCCCAAGCCCACTTCAATACACCAATTTCAAGACAGAACAACTCAAGAAAAAGTGAATGGCAGTGCAGGGAGTAATTTTCTCAGCAACAATGTAGAAATGAAATGCACATGCAGCTACAGCCCAAATCGATCACTCATATCTGGACTTCAGCCACTGTGCTTAGGAAGAATACGTTATTCCTTGAAATCACAAGTTACTCTCAAGGCAGAACAAATTTTCCTGGTAATTATTAGATGTAAAGGAAAATGTTTTAGAATTAGATGATTTAATAAACTTAGCCAACTAATTTCATTTTGACAGTACTTGGCCAATTAACAGAAGTCCTGGTAAGGTTTTCTATGGCAACCCATCTCATCAACGGAGGATGGTGTCTAATGAAATCAATGCTAATTCTTGCTTCACTTACACAATGGCAAGACAGTCTTCCACTATTTTCCATCACTGATTCTGCACTTGTGTACATGCATGACAACTGTTAGGTGCATGAGAAGTGTGATCAGTGAGACCATTACACAAATACAGAATGGTCTATAGCACAATTAGAGGACAGTCACATTTTTAACAGCTATGTACTGAAGAAAGCATTAAGGCAAAAATATCTTTGATTAGAGATCTGACATTTCTTAATTCCATCAGTTGCTTCCTTTTTCTTTTTTGATCAAGTTACGAAGATACTATGAGGTTTCATTTCCACTTGAAAGCAGTCTGCAGCCCAAAAGTGCTCTACTCATTATGTGAGTGAATAAACAAAAAAGTATGTCATCATCATATTGTCTTTCTAAAGAAATAACAGCTACTGAAAAAGGTAATTTTCTTTAAGCTTAAAGACAGTTATTAAAGTTACCTGGTAGAAGTTTATGGTAGAGATGGAAAACTGGAACGCTAATAGTCTTGCTGGAAGATTCTGCTCCTGAGGAAGAGGTACCTACTTTATCTGCCATCACTCTTCCTCGTCTTGATGGTGGACGTGGAGGGGTAGATGAAACAGCTCTTTTTGACTGAGATTTCAAACCTAGTACAGAGATGATAATAATAATAATAAAATTATTATAGCATTTAATAATTTCAGATAGCTAAGTTGCAGTGTAGCCAATCCTTTCAATTGTTGCAAAAAAGTCATACCGGAAAATACAACTAATAAATATCAGAACAGCATTCACATATAAAATACACTTGAATTTAATCCCAGTATTTTTCATACATAGTTGTGCATCCTCCTAAGTCCCAAGTAAAAAACAAGCTGTAACTGTAAATTATTACTTTGATTTTGCTCTTAAACAGTTAAAGAGCCTGTCTATCAGGGGGACTGTCCTAGTTTTATCAGTATTCCATATGATGACATAATGATATGGTTTTTCTTTCCTTCTCCCTGAAAGGGGAAGAAAAGGCCCCCCCTTTCCCTGTTGCACTTGATAACATGACAGTGACCTATAGTAAATCTTTTTGAGGTTATTTTTTCAAACTAAAATCAAGTAAGGTAAAAAATTTCTACATCGACAGATATTTCAATGCACAGTCCAAGATAAACATCTGACTTACCAGGTGACTTCAGCTACAGTACTGACATTAGAACAAGTGATGAAAAGTACCTTTAAATGTACTTTTAAAACTGCTTTAGTCAGAACCTTGTTAAGAACTATGTAAAAATTAAAGGGTTTAATAGGTACATGAAAGCTTACTAAGCTTATGTATCAAAACTGCCACATTTTGAGACAGTCAATGATGAAGTATACTGAAACTGGATTAATAACATGTTCTGCCAACTGTATAGAAGGACAAGAAGTCAGCAGATCTACGCAGGAATGTATGTGCAACTACTGGATCGGATCATAAACAACCAAGAGCAGCTGTAAAAGTAACATTATCCTGACCAGAAATGTTATAATATGCTTTGACTCCACCTTCTTAGTAGGATAAGCTACAATACTCAGCTAATTTCAGTCTACTAACAGTCTTTCTCAAGAAGATCAGGTTCCAAATAACATGTCTTTCCAACAATTTTACCAATAGGGAACAGGTAAAATAGTGACTGCATGAGTATGAGGAAACAAAAAAAAAAAATGTACAAAAAAAAAAGAATATAACAAGACAAAGACAAAAGACTCCATGAGAAGGCAGTTAAAACCAAACATAAATTAAATCTACACTTAAGCTGTTTGACTTAACTGGAAGAAACACAAGCTAGAAGGATGAACTTAAATCTTTCTTTTTGAACAGGAAATTGATTATATGAAGCAGCACGACTAGAGATGCAAGTGGGATGAGACACAGCTAACTACACTATGACCTACTTTCAGTGCTAATATGTTGTTTTCTTCCTAGTTTCTTTGTTCATGCTTTAACCCTTCACTTAAATGTCTTATGTTTTAGATCATATCCTGCCTAAGTGGCACCTATTGCAAAAATCTCTCTCTCTCAAAAAAAAAAAAAATAAAAAATTAACAATACGCTGTATTGTTTTAAATATATACCAAGATCCATGAAACTGCTGCCCTACTGAACAGCTGAATTTAGAATTACTGCTGTATCTAAAATCTTACAATTAAAAGCTTAAGAAACACTGGTGGCAGAAGTCAAAGAAAATCAGCCTCTTCATCATGCTTCACGAAGTGTAAATGACATTGAGAATGCTCAATGAGGGCAGAAACCTAGATAAGGGTAGTTTGAAGTTCAATAACCTCTCACACACTAGAACCCCCAAAAAGAAAGACCAATGATCTCTACAGCCACCACCTGAACTGTAATGTTGTACAACTGCAAGATTACCCCACTCAATCTATAGCCCCTGTAGCAATGGAGCAATACCCTTCATTTGTGCTTTGCAAGTGGAATAATCTGGTTTTATTCTGACAGTTTTAAATACGTGAAGCAAAGGAATACGTTCATTTCCAAAACATAATGTAGAAGTAGGTGATTAAACTCTGAAGCACTAGCAGATGCAAAAAGGCAGAGGAATTAATACTCAACCTATAATAACAGCAGGCAAATACTAATATCTCAGCATATAATCTAAACTCTGAGTGTGCATCTACAACACACTAGCCACAGCACCCACAACAGACAGCCAATTTTAGGTACAATTTACCAGAATCTATCAGCAGATAGCAGAGACAGTAGTTCAATCTGGATCTGATCTTTGCTGCTTAGCAGCCAGTTAGGTTAACTGGGCATCACAATCCTATCTAAAGATCATTAATAATTAAATGAATAACTGTAAATTTGATTTCCCTCCCTCACTCCTTTAATGTCTGAAAGATAATTTTTCAGAAGATGAACAAAAACATACCAGAAGCAACAACAACACTGTAATTGTCCTGGAATCCATTTTCTGCCTTAACTTTTTCCTTTTCTTCATAGTTCTTCTTTTCTTTATCTTCTTTTTGTTCATTAATTAGCTTAGCTGTGATACTGGGTGTATCTATACAGGGGAAAAAAAATCAAAACAGGAGAGAATGTTATTTTAATAGAACACATTGATTTTGTTGGCAGTTTCTAGTTTGTTAACACGACTATATTTGAACTATTTCTGTGGCTTAGATTTCCATCCCAGGCAACAATATTCTTATAAATATTTAAGAATGTAAGTATTACAAGTGCAATCTCCCCTCCCTAGAATCTGCCCTTTAACAATTTAAAACTATTACAACCTAAATCTGTTACATGATAAGTCAAGTATACTTATGTTAAAACACAACTGCAACAACTAAAAAAAAAAAAAAAAAAAAAAGAGATTAGAAAAGGACAAGACAAGCAAGTGAATGAGAATCAAATCAAACCTAAGGAAAAAAAGAAATGTATTTACTTATTTTTAAAGGATATCTACAGACTTACTTATATTGTTGTATTTAAGCCTAAGCAACTAGATAGCAGTTTCAGATCTGGTGAAATTATGAGATGCATAAAGAACACATCCAAAACTTGTGCATTTGCTTTAGTGAATACTTACTGCAGTACAATAATTTCAGTTTGATCATTAGTGTAGATCAAAGACATCAGCAAGCAGCTTAAAAAATTGTTTATTGTTCATTTCAATGGATTATTTTACACTTTGTAAACCACTGGTATCAAAATTTTTAAATCATTCTCCAGTTTCCTTGGAGAAGATACATAGTGTGAAAATGCTGTTACTCAGGACCTAATATATATTTACATTTATTTATGTACATACCTATGTGTATATTTATTTATAGACATGTATTTCAGACTTGGTGTGGATATCCTCATTAGTTTTAATATCCTCATCAGTATTATTTATATACTAAGCAGTAGTTTGGTCTCATGGGCTGAATGCCCATTTATTGGTGGACAATATAAACTTCATTAATAAAACTACTGAAGATGCTTAAGACAACACATTTTTATTACTCAGATAATATCCACATTTGTCATTCAGTCTTTCTGACTGGTCATGATCAGCAGATTAAAACTAAGGTGAATGGAATACAGAACAACTGATACTCATTCTAGACTATTCCTTCTGCCATGACACTGCATACTTTCTTCCTCTGCTAAAGGGATGTGAGCAGCAAATTTAGCAATGCTCTTACATCATACTTTCTTATTTTTTCTTTTTTAAGGCAGTGAGAAAAAATATTAGATCAACACTCTTATTTTATATACAGAAAGTATGAAATGATCAATGTGAGATCTTAATGTAACAGAAGACCTTCAAAGAATAGCTAAGAAAGAAAAAAGAAATTAATCCACAGACCAGTCTTCAAAATAGGATCTTCAAAACTTCCTACTGTTGCAGTGGTAGCAGCCTGTTTTTCCTTTGCCACTACCAATCCACCCCATCTCTCCCCTCCTTTCACCCTAAACACACAGTTCTTTCCTTGTATATTAGTTGTCTCCACTATCCTAACCATGAACTTCACAGAAAGATACACAGGAATCACAAAGCTTTTAATATCATCAGAAAAATCACAACAGATACAGGAGGGAAGCGTAAAACAACATGAACCTTTCCAGAACTAATTCTTTCGATTTAAAATGAGACAATTCTGTAGCATAAAGCGAAGTTATGATGTGCTATGAAGTCAGCATTTGATCCATTTCATTATGTGCATCATTGTACATCACATCAGCACGTTCCCTTCCCCAGACCCTATTAGCAGTGGCTATCAGGCTGAGCACAATACACAGAGGCAGCTGATCAGTACAGGTTATGTCACTGCTCAACAACTGATCTTCACCTCATGTGCATCAACTGTTTCTCTCATTAAAGCATTTCTGATCATAAATGGCAGAAGGAACTTGGAAGCTCTTGGACAGACATTCCACACATGATCATGTCTGAACACTAAGTTAATAAAGACTTCTATACAAAACAGCATAGTATTCCGTAGTAAATAAACTTCAAGCATTTTTCTAGGCTTCACTGATTTTAATTAATATTCCAAAACACGTGCTGTTTTTCTCAAGCATCATTACTGTACTTCTATCACTTCATTAGATGACATAGTTATTGTCCAAATGCAGTTATTAATTATGTAAATGCATAGATTTTAACTAGATATTAAAAGGCAACAGTTCTTCTGAACTCTACGAAGAACTGCTTAAGAAATTAAATTTGATCCTACAGTCAAAAAAAGTTAATGCATATGTATAAGGATTATGTACCCAACCAGGTACGTATGCAAGCCCTTCACAGTGTACATCCGCAGTATGGCAAAATCTTAACAACTGTGATCATTCTTTTACTTTGATTTACTATTATTGACGACATCGTAAGATTAAAGTGGAATTACTGGTGTTCCCCTTCCATCACTCTGTTTCTTTTCTTTGAATTCTACATGCTTGATATTGATTTTTTTAAGGTAACATATTTTGCTCTATTTTTTACCTGAAGTGAATCAACTTGATGATTTCACCTAGAGAGTTCTGGCACGAACTCAATACCTTTAGGACAATCTCTACATTTTGAAAAAGATTAACCATAATCTTAAACATGCAGGTCTATTTTCTGAAGTATTAATTGAATATCAAGGTGAGATTCATTTTAAGGTTAAGGCATCTCCCATTCATGTACTGAATCTCATATCATGGCCTAGGGAGGCCTAATCAAAGCCCCCCACAGATTCATTTCTCCATATAAATTCAAGTAGTGTAACGAAATATTTCATTTCATAAAAATAAATGAAAGTCATGCCTTATAATTTGAAAATTAATCTCTACAAGCAAATTAAGCTTTCCAATCTCCATGTAGTATGTAAACTGAAGTGCCTGCATAGTATGCAAATGTGTATTCAAAGAAATTGGATCATTAGTGCTCTTCTCATAGCAAGACCATTGAGATAACCATTTAAGTTTCAGGATATGAAAGTGACATTACTGGGATTTAAGTGAAAGGGTATTCTGAAGATCAATATTTGCAGTATGACTTGAGAGATTTAAGAATACATGAGTACTTAAAAGCAAAACAACAACAACAAAAAAAAACACAACAAAACTCCCACCCTCCCCTCTGTAATGGTATCTTAATTGGAGTTTAATGGAAGGAAAAAATAGTATACAACCAGCAAAGTGCATTTTAAATAGAACATGCAAGGTATATTCAAAAGATTATAATTTAAACCTCTGTATCAACAAGTACGTAGGAACACTGCAAATATACAGGTATGAAAAAAAAGGAAATATGAACTATCTTAAAAATAAAACAAACTGTTGTAAACTTGCCTGACACACGATCGAGAACTTCAGCTAGAGTTGTTGAGACAGGTAAATGAAGAGTACGAAATTTGTGCCCAGCTCCATACATTGGATGTTGAATTACATGACTAGTAGCATTAATTCTACCTTTGTACAGCTGAAAGATAAAAAGTTAACATGCTTTTAAGATTCAGAAATAAGTTAAAACACTAAGTTTCTATAAATATATCTCAGCAAAATAAAATTTAACTGTTATGTGTGTTTAAAATGAAAACTTACCTACCCTTCAACTTTACAGGGTCAAATTACGGTAAGATGCTACTTCTCTTGAGTCCTGACTTGTGAATAAAGTTCTTCTACTCAGTGCATTTACTTTTTATGATGGATAACTAATTCTTTATTAGTTCAAATATTTCAAGTATTTTAGTATCACATATTTTAGCCTGATGCGTGTTCATACTTTTATATTGTTCTTTGCTTGCAATAACTTTACAAACTTTTCTGCACAAAGAGCTATTGCTCCCTTTTCCAAACCATCAGGAAAACTGTTTACTAATATTTATACATAGAACCAATTTAATACTTCATAACAATGGAAAACTGACTTAAATATAAAGTTTACCTAAGAACTTCAGGAATAAAGTGGGGATCCAACACATTAAAGATTAATCTGCTAGATATATTAGAAATATACTCTGCATATTCAGATCACTCTTCAGCCTTCTCTTCAGGTGTGAAAGGAGGAATCTTCTACCCACTAAGAACAGCCATACTGTTTCTTGAGATGAAACTGAATTACCTGGCAACTTGTTTTTAAGAACTTGTTTCAGTCTCAGCTTATTCAGTAACTCTGCAAAAATCTGTTCTATGTAAACCGTCTTATTAGAAAACGGATACTACCTTGATGATACCAAAAGCCATATTAAGAATTGATCTCAGCAAGGTTGAAACAAAACATTTAAACATCTTTGTACTAAAACTTATGTGCTCTCCCTTTTCCATTTAACACTATCTAGCTTCCCTGTCATATATAAAAGCACAGCAGTTCAGTATCTCTGTTCTGGTGAAGAAGTGTAAAAGCATAAAGTTGCTTTACAGATCAGTTCAAAAATTTTTTAGTGATGTTACGGCTAACATTGAAGGATCTCTGCCAGTTTTGGAGCATCAAAATTCAGACAGTTCCTCAACAAAATTTAAAATGAAGAACTGATGCAAGGACTAGAACTTATGTTTGTTGCTAATATTTAAGAATACTATTAAAAGGTCTTATGGAAGCATAAGATAAATTCCAGTTTTCTATTCTGTCAGAACATAAATGTTTTCAGCAAGATGGCTTTCTCTCAAAACGATGCCTTGAAATTTCTTTTAAAATGTTGAATTACAATTCACCTAAACATTACTTTCCAGATACATACAGAAGGAAAAGCTGCTGCCTGACCTTTCGAAGTTGAATATACATTGATTTTGGTGGGGGGTTAAATTTGAGCCATGTTGCCCATGTAGATAGAAAAACTCTTACTGGACAAGGGGACTGAAGAAACAAAGTCACTTTCTCATCCTCGAGCATTAGCTGCAAAAAAAGCCTCCGAATAAATCCTGAAATGTTTCCAGAGGTCGGGAGGTTCCCACGTTGAGGAGAAGACTGGAACAATTCACAGAGAACCTGGGAATACAAAATTACATCATATTTTAAACATTTCTATATTTAGGTCTCCAAAATACAGCTCTATATAGCCATAATAAGCAATGCCTAAGATCTACCTTCAGCTATCATTCAAATCAGATCAGAAATGAGCACCGCTGAAGAAACTATCAACAGAAAAAAATTAAAAAATGCATAAAATACTGAATACAGCAAAGTAATTGTAAACATGTAGAGTACTAAGAAAAATAAAAGCTGAAGAAGCAGCATTCAGAAAAATAACTTTTGAATTCCTAAAGCAAGATCTTCCTATTCTGTAGCAAAGCGTCAGAGAAATGTGCTGACTTATTTTTTACTCAAGTTAACTGTTCCTGGGGCACGGACATTCTTAATATTGAGAGAAAAAATCATTTTAAGTGTACTTTCATTCAGCTAGGTCTGAAAGGTTAACAACTGTGAGGAAATTAGCTGAATTTGCATTAGAATAGTGAACTGTTCTGTAATATTCCACATATTCCTGGATACCATACACGTCTGTGTAAACAAACAGCAATTTTTCTTCAATTTCCTAATTTAAAATACGTGAATGGAGCTTCATTTTCAAATCCCACTTCAAAAGAGTTTAAACCTATGTACTTAAATACAGTATAGTGGATTAGGGTCTGAAGTGTCTTGTTAAGGCCATACATCTTGATACAGCCAAGTGGAATACAAATCCATACACAGCACTGAACGGCCATGTCCAAATATTCTTATAGTTTTCTAAGTCTGACCAACACGCTAACAGTTTCAACACAAAACTCTCCCAGTTGATGACAACTTAAACAAATACCTTAAAGAAAGAAGGAAAAAAAGAAGTTTCAGAATTAGAAACTACGCAAATTTTGACACATTAACAAAGAAATGACAATCTCATTTATTTTCTGTCTCACCTGTGCCATAAGCCTCTGGTTATTAGGATGGCAAGAAATGCACTGTAAGAAGAAAGCAACTGTCGCATTTTCAATTGCTGTCCGCTGCTGAGTGGTCAACCCTGCTGTTACAGTTGAAGAAAGCAAGCTGGATCTTGCACTTGTCTGTTGTGCAGTCACACTGTGTCCTCCAGAAGTAGCACCAGAATGGCACAACAGAAATAAAAGCGCTGTCCACAGCGGATTGACTTCAGAACCACCCAACCAGTCCTTCATTATATGGCTGTTGCCAACTTCCGTCAAAAACCTGAGAACAGGAGCAACCAGGTCTGCTGTGATAGGCATTTTATTAAAGTGCTGTGGGACATGGTGCCTCCTGAGTCTATCCTGGGTGATATCTGTTGATTGTGCATTGCAGTCCGAGCTAGAAGTATGGTTAAAGCAAAAACTAGCAAGACTTCTTACAAGCAGTGAAGGCAAACCTGAGTCCAATAACTGCTTGATAGCTTCAGGAGACTGAGATGAGGCAGCCAGAGTAGCCAGGTGAGACTCTGTTAGTGCAAGGGGCGCTTGTGCGTTTTTAGAGTCATCTGTTAAAGACGAAGTGAGGTCCTGCTTTTTGCTGTCATCGGTCATGGACAGTCTGTGTTGACACTGCATTGGAGGAGGAGTGATACCCATCCATCCCATAAGTAAGGAAAAGTAATTTGGGTGGATGTGGCACATTGAGCAAAGCAAGCTATCAACTGCTTTCTTCAAAACCATGTTGCAGGGAAGAGACATGGACCAGTTAAACAGTGATCTGTAGAAGACAAAAATAATATCAAAACATAGATAGCTTGCCACACATACTCTCTTTGTCATTTTATACATCATCTTTATATTAACTATTAACTATTCTAGAAACTATAGTAAAACTGAGCTGAGTTTGACAGCCGCTTTTGGATCACTGTATTAGCAGGACATTCATTACCCAAAAGGCATGCCTCATCCTTATATCTGAATTTATTTCATCACACTGTATTAAAAATAGCTTAGAGGTCACTCTTGCTGGGATGTTGCCATCAAAGACAGGATTTCTGTCTTTGGACAGCTGTCAATTTACACATTTTTGAGATAACTGCAACATCTCTGTGCTTTGTACTCTTCAAGATGCAGCTACTAGAATGGCACACATTTTCCACAAAGTTCTCTTATTTAGTTCTTTGCTTTTCTCTCCTCCCCCCACCCACCTTTTTTTTAAACATTTCTTTTTATTAGAATTCTAACTGAAGATGTTACACAGAAAACGAAAGCAGGAAGAATCTCACTGGTTGAATGACACTATTCTTACTATCCTTAGGACACAGGCTAAAAACAAGTACCTTTAAGCTCACTTCTATTCAAATAATATCACATCAAAAGCACCTGAATGCAAAAGCTAATTTTGCTCCAATTATTTAGCTTATACTTGCAAACTGGTATTTATAAATTAGTGAAAATATTATACTTCACCTACTTGTAACAAGTAGGTACGAAGAAATATTTTAAAAAGCAGTTTTCTGAATTGCATTCGAGTTACTATGACTTATCATGTCATATACAAGATACCATACACAAGATACATAATCTTGAACTCTAAACATACACATTAATGCACACTTTGTGGCACTGTGATGTTAGTATTTTAATAATTTGAATGTATCATCCCATATCACATTTCTATTTAGAAGATAAGAATTGTTTTTCCCTCCTCTGGATGGAAGTATTACTTTATGTTTAGTTGAAGAGAATTGAAGACTCCAAAAGAGAATGTAGATCTAACAAATGTTAGTTTCAATGCTGGCTGATTAAAAACTGCTCCAAGACAGAACACTAACTGAGACTTCTGAAAAGTTCCCAAACTTGGAGTGGCAAGTGTTTTTTAAAATCAATATATAACAGCACACAAACTCTTCACCAACTATAAATTCAACACAATCCTTCCACCAGGATTTTCTAAATAAGTTTATTGTCTGTAGAAAAATAAAACTCTTTTCCAACAAGATATTAAAAATAACTAAGGAATAAATTAGTATCTACTGGTAAAAACAGAAGTAGTGAAATCAAACATGGGAATGACTGGAAAATACATCCAGAGGAGAAGTGATGTGTCACATGAAGAACAACTTAAGAGTTATAGTTAGAATCAACGAAATTGTTTCAAAAGTTGAAATATCAAAGAAGATGAAAACAGTGGAGATGTTATTTTTCTTAGAAGAATTATTTTTCCCATGTTTAACAAAAATCCTTCTCTACTCATTTAAAAATATATAATATAATCTGCTCCAGATGCTGGCTGATATGAATTATAGTTTTATTTGGCAGGAAGTAAAGGAACAGGACTATACTGCAACATGCATACTAAAACTAGGTACAGCAGTTTTATTAGCTTCATTTCATCCTATCCAACAGACAGGAATTCAATTGTTAATCCCACTTCCATATTGGTGCAAATCCAATTGGGTTATTCATTTAAAGAAATCTATTTTATTATCTCTCTTTCTTCTCAAATGTTATAATTCTTAATATGTGCCTGTTTATATACATGTTTAGATCTAAAAGCCACCTGTTTAGATATCTTTTTTAGTATTCACTCTTTCAACTAGCATCAGGGATGTCCATTTCCACTACTTATTCCACTTCAAGCTGTATTATTTCAGAACAAAATAATTTAGTTAGAAAAGTATGTAGTACAATACTTTGCTTTACTTACTCGAAGAGCTCTCTGTCCAGCAATGCTGGTAAATCATATTCAACAAGCAGTTCATAGCTATGCCACAGAATCGCTGCCACACAATGCAAGTGGGAAGGAGATGGCATCAAAAGACCATACTCTCTTGTTGAGCTATTTGGACAAATGTAGCTGACCCGGCCACTTTTTTTCATAGCTGCAACTCTCGCAGAATCACTGACCCATTTTAACAGTGCTTGAATCCTGGAAGGCAAGATGATGTAGTACATTACAAAGGGTCAAAGAAACACTCAAAACCAAATTAACTTGCTCTCTCTGAGTAGGTTGATTTAGGCATTTATCACTTTCTTTGAAGCAGAGATCAAGAAGGAGCTCAAACTCCGTTTTCAAGACTTAAATCACTAACAGCGCAAAAGAAATTAAAAACACATATCATCTTTGACAGTCAAATGTAAGTTTTCTTACTACAGAAAAGGAAAACATAGAAGGTAACTAAGTTCTAAGTATTTCAGAGAAAATTCAGCTGAACACTAAGAGTTTTCTCACTTTCCTAAGACCAAATAAGAGAGGGGAAGCATTTTCCGTAAAGGACGGAAAGAGCTGGAATGGAAAGCTGAAAGGCTTCTTTAGATTTAGGTGCTTCCAGTCTGTATTAAAAATCAGATTTTAAAAGGCTCTGCTTTCGTGTCACTATTTAGCGGACTATACGCACTCTCACAGGATAATCCAAATAACATTACCTATCTTTTGTTCCAGGATCCTGAGTTGTTCCCAGCTGATAAAGAATGTCTATTGTGGAGTCAGAAGAGAGACCATTTAATCTTCCAAACAGTAAAGGGCTATTCAGATCTTGCCGCATTCAAAAAAAAAAAAAAAAAAAGAAAAAAAAAAAAAAAAGACAAGAAATGGGGGGTTTGGGAGGAAGTGGGAGAGGGGAAAACAACAGAAGTACTTACATACATATTTTTTAAAAGTACTCACAAAATTGTTAAAGAATTGCAATGTTAACACTGAACTGAGCTTTGCCATTAACATATGCAGGCTAAGACATCACTATCATGATATTCCACACTTAATACATTCAATTTAATGTCCAGCCTTACTATAGAAGAATGAAATTGATTGCAACATTCATCAGACAGAAGACTTGCAGATTTAACTAGTAGGATTTTCCTCAACGTATCCCAAAAGGCATAGAATCCAGTCACAGAATCAAGAACATGACTAATTACAATAGAGCTGTCAAACCTCATGCATCTGAGAAGCAAATGTTTGGTTCAATATGGAAGCTCATTTAATTCCAATTTTCCCCAACATGACTCTAGCCCAGGAATTCCTTGGATTATTTCCAACTCATTTTCTCCATCCTATATTCCCCATCTCCTGTCCTTTAGTAAACTACACTCCTATTTAACAGCATTCCAATAAAGGATAATGTGCTACTTTGTCACATTAACTCATGGTGAAGTATCACAGGAGGGATTTTGTAAAGGTGTTTTCTGTTAGAATCAGCAACTTCAAAACAGCACAAATAACAGTTAGATCTCTTTTACTGGAAAGCCACTAAACAGCAAAGCAAAGTGATATAGAATCATAAACATGCAAAAACCCCGCAGTACACTGACTGAAGAGCTGCTGCTGTGGGACAAATCAGTTGCTGAATAATTGCCTCACTTAGTGCTATTCAAATTTTACTCTATCCTACAGCTTACTACAGATCAAGCATTACCATACTTACTTTCCTTAGAACTACTCTGAGGTATTCTTTATGTTGAAACATCCACACTGCATACAGGTATATACACAGCTGCACTTAGGATATACTGCACAGCCTACTTTTGTGACTTCACAACATTCCCCTTATCGTATATTCTGCACAAATCAAAACAGTGCTGGTTGCACTGTTTTACTATTTTAGAGCTACTCAGACACAAAGCTCTGCCATGCCCAGAAACATAATGGCAAGATAAACAATGCTGCCATGAAAAAACAGCAGGTATTGGCTAACAGAATTCAAACTCTGAAAGTAACATGCAAATACTAAATTTCTAATACAAGCAACTTTTAAAGCAACAATTGAAAAGAAAGACAGTGCACTCACCTGCAGGGTCACTTCCTGATGCTGAGCAGTTTCTGAGAAGAATGTCAATCAATTTGAGGCCTATTCTGGTGGACTGCAGCCCAATTTTTACAAGCACAGCCTCAATATTTGGAGAATGCATACCACAGTATGGTGACATGAGTAATGCAGCACACGTCTGCAACAGATTAGCAGTGGGTGCTGCAGCACTAGCCATCATTCCTTCTAAATCACTTATATGAGTGAGGCAGTGGTGCAATAATCTTAACCATCCAATACTGAAAAAAAAGAAAAAGAGGAAAATGAGCAAAACGTGTCATTTCCTCATCCTATTTTTCACCTTGTATTAGATTCTATGACAAGTATTGCAGAAAACTTCTGTGACACCATCAGGCAATCTGAGAAAAGTAAAATGAAATAACTCCATCTAAGAGTACAATGTAACATACATTAGTGTTACTGTTGCAACTACTACTTTGAGTTCCTAAGAAAGGCAGGATTCATGGGTAATGGTAGTATTTTTATGGTTTTGTTTTGTTTTTTTTTAGCATTATATTATCATGTACAGGGACAAACCACACTTTTTTCTAGCTCTAAAGAACTCCTTACAGCCTGCAATAAATGCGTATGTAATGGCAAAAGTCATATAAATATGAAAGATGAAATAGCACATCTCCTCACTTGGACACAAATGGATTGACACACAAGGTCAAGATCCTGCAGTAATAGTTGGCAACTACTTATTATACATCTCTCCTAAAAATAAGAGCTTTTGAGAGGATTAATAGTTTGCAAAGGCAGGGCTAGCTGTGCACCTTTTTAGGATCATTCACAACCTACAGTGAAAATCAGAGAGCACAGAGTCCCACCTGACATAAAAACCACAGGAAAACTACAGAAATTAAATTTGTTTATCATTGCATTTCTTCCCCAAGGTCTCTTTTGAACAATATTGCTCACTATTCCTTTTAATAATAACAAGTAATCCTAATGCAATCTAAATTGTACATGAAATAAATGACACCATTTCATTAACAAGTTTTCATGCTTACTTTTACCCACTTTTTGAGATGGGGAGGCAGTCAAACTATGGGAAGCTTGTAAGATATATTTTACACAAAGTTTGCATTTTTATTTTAGGAAAAAAATATTCCAAATATTTATCATGAAAATAATAAATTCTCAGCTATGTCTAAACCAAAATTATACTGAAGTTTATTTAATGTATCTATCAAATCACTGCCATGAATCTTTTGAGATACTTATCAAAATAAGCTGAAAACTACAGTAAAACATTTCAAGATGTTCAGAACGTGCACTCACACTCTCTTTTGTAGTAATTGTTTTTGTTTAACTTGTAGCTAACTTTTTCTGAAGTACAAATATAAAAGAAGAACAATTTGTCCATGAAAATCGGTTTTGCTGCTATTCAGGATCATGGATCAGTTTCAGTTACACAGCTTCTATAAAATATACGCCAGACAGCATGCATGGTTCTCTGAATTCCCATACTTTCAAGTTTTGTTTTTTTCTCAAAGGCATAAAATACTTAAAAATTGTCCTCATATCTCCTTTTCAAACTTAAAAACAACAAGATTCAAAGCTGAAACATTCCAAAGTCATGAATTTTAATCATTAAGTAAGCTAAATTTCAATCAAATCAATAACCTAAAATATTTACCTGTAAATGATTAAATTCAGGTTGAAAAACATTGAGGTTGTCCTTAAATGTCTGCTTTTATTTTAAAAGTAAGTATGAAATTCAAAATCACACGTAAGCCAATCAAAGCTTTTGAAAAGAGTTCTTGCTTATATGCCAGAATCACAACATTCAGTTCCTATTTCTCAATTGTTTGTAAACAGAAATATTGGATACAACTTCCACAAAGCATTCTATTGTTCTATTTCTGCTTCAACACTTACGTAAGTTTCCTGACTTTAGAAGAGGTAAGAAATATGCTGCTACTTAAATATTTTTTGGACAACTGTCTACAATTACGAACACCAAATTTAAGTTTTAATGCTTTCACATCCTTTGTTTTTGTTCACCACTACAGAGATGAAACGTTTTCATTTTACACATACAGGAAAAACACGCTACGAACCATGCTCTAGTCTCTGTCAACTGATACTAGAAGCTTACCTTGTTTTAGAGACCTGATCCTCAGAAGGAAGGAATGGATTATTGACTGTTGCAGACGAGGTGTTTCCAAAAGCTGTGAGGCCCAACAGTTTGATTTGAGAGAGGCCTAACGTACTGGCATCCCGTGGACGATGGAGACGAAGACAGACAGCTGATGCAACTTCAGCTTTCACAAGCTGTATTTTTATGTATGTAAGACCGCTTGTGATAACAGGAGTTGACAAAGGTAACATATTGACACCATCTGCACTTATTTCAACAGATACTGATGAAGGGCAAGCTGCGGAGCAAGGTAAGAAGGTTTAATACCATTTAAAAACCTGTACTGGTTTGAATTTTAAGCATTAAACAAGTATTCATTTTAAGGATAAAGATGATGAAAATGAACTTCAGCAAACACTACTGCAAAACCACAGCTATAGTATGTGTCCTGTGTGATAACACACGGTGAAACGCATCAGCATTTGGATACATGGGTTATGCAGTTTATTCCAAGGACGTGAGATGAAGAAAAGTCCTGTCAGTAAAAATATCACATTTTTTTCTTTTTTGGGCTGTGGCAATAAGAGCTAAGGAAAATAAGAAAATTTCTCTCTCATGCTTCATTGCAACTCCCATACAACTCCATTTTGCCTGAAGGCTTGTGATCAACATCACATTCTCTTAAATTTTGAGAAGTTGGAGAAGTTTTCTGGCATACTGATGCTAATGCCACGAGACGTGCACTATGATACATGAAATCAATCAGAATCAGAGCCTTCAACTCTCAAGAGAAGCTGAACTAGGAAGCTTTTCAACTCATTTATTGGCATTCTTCATACAGCGTATCTGCTTTTGTTCTTCTGATGTTGTTTCTGACACTGCTAAACCTTACTCATAAAACTTTCAAATCAGTGGTGTCAGCAAATATACTTACTTGCAAGAGAAGCCAGATGAGGCTGGATGTGTATCTCTTTGAGCAGCACTGCTGCAGGAAGATGAATTGTGAGATCACACCAAGCCTCCTCAGGTAAAAATATGTATGACCACGCAGCAGATCGAGCTCTTCTATGTGGAGGAGTAGCCTGTAACAGTACTTCAGCAGGTTGGGCAGTAGGGCTGCTTGAGGTGATGGAACCTACAAAAAAAAAGCAGAATCAACATTATTTATACATATTTATTAATTAAATCCAGATGAATTTACCACCTGAATTATGAAAAACAATTTTTAATATCGGTTTTGTTTGTTCATACATTCCATACATGATCATGGTAACTGCTGACATATTTTAATTTTCAAGTGTTTTATATATAGTTTGCCTATTTACATGAACATGCATGTGCTTGAATGTTATCCATCAAACCCCTGAACTTTTCATCAAGATTTAATTACAGAAGCAAGCCAATCAAAAGGTCCAGGTTGAACAGTATGCTTATAACTTGAATTCTGTTCATTCATAGTAAACCTAATGAAAATTTTAAAGGTTTCAATATTGAAATGGTAAGAAATGTCTTTATAATAACAATCTGCAAACATTTTTTCTGAAAAAGTTTTGTTTAATATGAGAACCCTTTTTCTAAATTTAGACACCAAATCCAAAAGCCTATAACTGTATCAACAATCTACTTTTCAAATCTTACAATGACTCAAGAACAAAGTAAAAAGACCCAGGCTATGCCATCTCTAGCAACATGTGTGGCTCAGCAAGACTGGATCTGTGCTGTTCCAACTACAAATACATGAGGTGTTTTAATTTTGAGCAGCTCCATCTGTATCCTATGACTGACTGCCTATTCTTAGTTAGAGGTGAATTCCTAAAGTAGACATTTTGACACATTTTCATCACAAATGAATTCAGTTTGTGCCTCACATAATATCAACCAATGAGAATCAAAGTGTAGAAAGTGAAGTCCATCGGAAGGTACACTTTAAAAGAATGCTCTCAATAGGAAATGAAATATTAAGATAGATAAACTCAAAGCAGAACACCAATAACTGCAGCACTTTCCAAGGCTGAAGATGAAACGCGCAAGAAACCACTGTGATATGTTTAGGATTTTCACTACTGAAAGTGACTGCGTGCCAACATCTGCAGGTTTCTCAAATTTATCTCTTCAGAATTTGTGAATAGTGAAGTAGATTAAGAATGGTTCCACATTCTGATAAACAAACCTTTTGTTTTCTTCCTAATGTCATTTTATTTGATTATTTTAAATTTGAAGGAAAGGACTGAAAGGGACTTCTTTCTTGTCCTACAGTATTTCTAAAGCTTTTTAAAAAATAATCTGTTCTTCACTCATGACAATAAGATACAGGGCATATGCATTTGTCAGCTACACTGGGCTAATGAGCACAAACATGAATCAAGACATTAGTAATGGAAGAAAGAAAACCTCAGCAAAATATTAGAGTGCATTCACACATTAAAACTCATGCATTTTAATATGTGGTACCACATATGTGGTAGCCATTATATTGATATTTATATTGATACTTATATTGATACCAAAAAAGCAGTGCAATTCTAACAAATGTTCATGCAGGTAGCATTGATGCATCTAGGTACAAGCATGAGAACAGTATCAGCAAGAATAGCCCAATGCTCCAGTATCTGCTGTGGTCTGACCTAGCTCTGGCTCATTCTGAGTGAAATGCTATGAAATGCTTCTGTAACAGCTGGATTAAATCTGTTGTGCATTAAGTGCAGCCAGTGAGTCTCAGTGGATTACCACAGAAACTGGTCTGGAATTGTGTATTCAAACAACCCAGGGGAGGAAGGGGCTTACCTTGATTCAATGACTACATTACATACTGACCATTTCCTTTCCTTCCATCCCCCAACCAAACAAGCTCTTATTAACATGGAGGAGGAGTTCACCATGCAATTTCTTTTCTCACTCAGCAACGTCTTGAAACACTAGTACCCTCTCTGTTTAGAAGGTGTGGTAGTACTTCAGTATTTGACACAGTACCTCTTGTTAAGAACATGATGTGTACTACTGGACAGTCAGCTGCATATGAGCCACCACTGTGCCCAGGTGGCCAGGAAGGCCAATGGCATGGTGTGGTGAACAGGACTAGGGAAGTCATCCTGCCCCTGCACTCGACATTGGTGAGGCCTCACCTCAAGTACTGTGTTCAGTTTTGGGCACCTCAGTACAGAAAGGACATTGAGGTGCTGGAGCAGGTCCAAAGAAGGGCAACAAGGCTTGTGAAAGGCTTGGAGAACACGCCCTATGAAGAGAGACTGAAGGAATAGGGGATGTTCTATCTGGGGAAAAGGAGGCTGAGGGGAGACCTTATTGCTCTCTTCTAATAACTGAAAGGTGTTTACAGCAAGAGCGGGGTTGGTCTCCTCTCGCTGGTGACAGGATGAGGGGAAATGGCCTCAAGTTGCGCCACGGTAAGTTTAGGTTGGATATCAGGAAAAACTTCTTCACAGAAAGGGTTGTTAAGCACTGGAATAGGCTCCCCAGGGAGGTGGTTGAGTCACCATCCCTGGATGCGTTTAAAATCTGTTTGGATGTGGTGCTCAGGGACACGATTTAGTGGAGGGTTGTTAGTTAGGGTAGTATGGTTAGGTCATGGTTAGACTCTATGATCTATAAGGTCTTTTCCAACCTAAGCGATTCTATGATTCTATAACTTTACGATGCAGATTCAAATGGCCACTGGATATTAAGGTGAGAGAAGGTTGTATTACTTACCCAAGGGTGCGAAATTGTGAATTCCCTCTGCATTATCAGGTTCAGAAGCTAGCACTCTGGCTTTCAAACTACTGTCTGTTGCTTTGGTGGGACCAGAATCAAGGAATTTCATAATAGTTGAAACCATACTTCTTGCTGTGTTAACAATAGCTCTTGTGCTCGTTACCATGTTGTTACAAATAAGCTGAACACCACCTATGCATAATTGGGATGGGAAAAAGAAACAAAACCTGTTCAGAAGCCTGTGATAGATTCTAAGCAAATAAACACATATTTAATAAATTTGCTTCTCTAGACATCCGTCTGTATTCCTGAAGTGCCATAAAATCTACAATAAATCTTCTACTTGAAGCACCCAAAGAAAACACGTTCTTACCCATGTCATGAAAAGCCTTCAGTGCCTCGCTTGTGTCCAAGACTCGTAAAATGAACCAGAGGAGTGGTTCAGACAATTGACAAGTGGCAAGAGAACCCTAAAAGAAAGTTAAGAAATACAATTTCATACAGAATTAGAAATTAAAATAAGAAATCCCACCACAGTCTCTACCACAAAATAGCAGTATCATCCTCCAGAAGGTTCACTCCTACACAGGAGAAGCCTTTGTAGTAAGGAAAAGATTAAATGACAAGGTAAGTAGCTGAAGGGAATTAAGAATATTGAGCATTATATATACACAGTAATACAAACACAATAAATGTATTTCCCACTTGAACACAATGAAACATTCAATTCACTTTTAGCCAGGAATATTTACAGGAACACCAAAATATCCTTAGAGAAACTCCTTAACTCTCTCCCCCTTCAGAATGATGGAGACTTCCTATCTTCTGCACCACAGTCATGTCGGAAAAATATTAAAATCAGTCAGTTTACTGACATGACTATAGCTTACTGTATCAACCAAAATGTAATCATCTTGAAGAACAGCAAAGTTAAAGGGAACCTACCTGTCTTCCCATATACCCACAAGCCATGTAAGTAAGAATTGGCTGAAGCATCACTTGCACCGTTGTTGCTTTCTTACTAAGTGTTGTCAGGATAGTGAACAATCCATCTCCAACTGATATTGCATCTAAGCCACCATGAAAGTTTTCATGTTTAGTGAGATGTAAGCCACTTGCACCTTAGTGAAAACAGGAACAGTTCAAGGTTCAGAAGCTGAGACCTAACAAATTGTTACAGCATAGAGGAGAACTCAAGGATATTTAAATTTCATTTCAGCTAAATATTGGCATGGATTTTACAAGAAGGACAATTTTCAGGTTCATATAAATTACCATTAGTTCTTTGCTTAACATCTGCATCTCTATTGGAAATACCTCTCTTTGAACTTTTCTTCCCAGTGTTACAGTTCAGGATTTATTCAGTAATATTGATTACATATTTGCTGAAAAGGAGGAAGGAAAGCAGTAGAATATTCTTCCCTAAGAGAAACTACCTCTGTAAAAATTACTGCCTCCCTGAGCATATGACATCAATTTGAGCTTTTAAAAGTGGTTTTAGATTGGAGTTGGGGAAACGGATTTCATTTCCCTTCCATTTACAGGAACTGGAATTATACTCACAGAAAATAATGTAAAGAATGTGTTTAAGTGATCTTTGCAATATGCCTTAGAGAAACATTTTGGCAAGAGAATTGACAGCTATAGTACTTTAATCACCTTTAAGTTGTCAAGTAAGAAAATACTGGTAAGCTTTGAAAGCATGGAGACAGACAGAAGTCTCTTAGGACTCGATCTCTGTGGTGTCTAGAAAAGTTAAAAATAAATGACAGTCGAAGAAGATGTTGCAAAGATTTTAGATTTTGAGGCATGGGAAAGGAAGGGTAGGATGGGAATACTACTACTTATGTGATTTTCATAGCCTGTCAATGAGAAAGCATAAAATCCTAATGAAATGCAAAGACAAAACTCACAAACATTTTAACTTCATGTGACAAAAGAGTTACAGAATGCTATCCTGGTTCTTGATCTACTGGCTTTCAAGGTACAGTAAATCAACATTATTAGCAGAAATTCTGACACAAGAGCCATTACTTACTAGTGCACATCTGCTTAAGTCTTACGGTTTATCTTTCCTAGGTAGCCAGCATTCTGCCCTACCCACTACATGTTTACTACTAAATGCTGGTAATTGATTTTTGGATCATACATATCCTTGGCAGCAATCTTAGAGAAACGTTTTGTTCAAAGAAGTTGTCTGGAAAGAGCTAAATGCAGATTTTCTTGAAGGAACTAAAACCACAAAGAACTGTGTTACATCTTCCCAAAACTCACACAAATTAGTTTCAGTAACCTGTATCAAAAGACCCTGGGGCAAACAATCCATTGAAGGGATCCAGTTGGCCCAGTGCTCTGAATTCTATGAAAAACATTGACATAATGCTGTCTTTCCAAACTGATTTCTTAAAAAATACAAAATATTTGCTAGACACAAAATGATGGTTCAGAAAGACATAAAAGTTGAAGAGAGTGTTTGAATTTCACTCCCCAAAAACATGTACTCAAAACAATCAACCATGCATAGAACAAACTACTTTCAATGTTCCTTCATATTGCATTGTGATACAACACCAACTATCCAGAGTGAGGCTGAAGCATTTAAGAATTAATTTCAGGAAGATTCCAACAATGCACTTCAGGCTGTTCAAGTCCTGCCTGCTATTTGACTTCTGGGGATTGCTACTTTCTCAGCTGCTCTTATAACAAATGGACCACTGGTCAGACATTCACAGATTCTCATCCAAAGAACACACTGTTTTTGACACCACATTGGTTAAACACATTCACATCCACTTAAGACAAATCAGCACAGAAGACAACAGAGAAGCTTTCTTGGAAATAAGAGAAACACTACAGAGTACAAAATTTCACAATTATTTTTGTATCTGAAATGAAGTGCATGGTCCAAGCCTATTTTTCTGCAAACCGTTCTTCTACTTTTACACACGCATTACCATTCATGTAGTATTTCATCTGGTAGTTCAAGCTGTGCAAATAAACTGTATGTTATCTTCGCAGCTCAAAAGCAAGTCTCAAAGATATCTACTTGGAGAAATCACACCCTAGACACATTTCCAACAAACAGCAACTTTTCTGTTTGAAGTATCTTTGGCAATCCACACTTCTTAGTAACAGGAAGAATTCCCACAGATATATTACTAGAACCCTAGAGTATGCTGCTAAGAAGACTTCTGAAAAAAAAACAGGGGAATGGAAAAGTGCCTGCATTTTTGCAATGGCACAGTTGTAATTCTTCTCTTCCAAAAGTAACTCAAAAAAGAAAAATATTGCTATATGAAGTGAACTATCAAGGTAACATGCCTGTAGTACAAACTGAAGACAAATTCTAATCCATGTATGGAGACATGTAAAGGCAAAGACTGAAATACAGGAAATTCCTTTTAAACATAACAAACTGTATTTTTCTTCAAGGATAACTGAACACTGGTATAGACTTCCCAGAGCAGTTGTGGAGCCTCCACTCTTGAAGAATTAAAAAAATACACTGCACAAGGTACTGAGGAGCCTACTCTCTGCATCGGGATTTCCTTGTGCAGGGAGGTTTAACCAGGCAATCTCCAGAGGTCCCTTCTGACATCAATCCTTCTGAATTTGCTGAATCCCAGAATTACAAATGCCAAACGCTTCCATTTGGCTTTAATCACCATCTCCCACCTTACAGTGTTTTTGTCCCTACATTACATCACTTGCTGTCCTTCTCACTTTTCTATCAGCTTCTCTTTTTCTGCCTTTTTTGATACATTTTGTATGTCTGTGCCAATGCATTAGTTTGTAGAAGTTTCAAGTATTTACCACCACAAAAGACCTTCCCCTTTAATTAAGAAATACCTACCAATAATCATTGCCATAGCGCTGCTGTTACACTGGCCAAGGGCAGACAAAATCTGGCTCATAATTTGTTGGTTGGCTAACACCAAGTCCGCAACATACGCAGTTGATCCTTGAATACTAGGATTGTTTCCATTGCCATCTTTGCCTCCTGAAACCTTTTCTTCATCAGACACACTGTCTGTGGTGCTGCTTGCTACTGGTACACGGGCACTATATTCTCGGTTACTGGAAAGCGGCAGTTGAATTAAAATGTTCACCAGTTTTAACAAATCAAACATAAGTTGATCCCTTGTCATTTCTCCACAAACAGCCTTGGCATCACCTGGACGGATAATGTTGGCAAAAAGTCCTCCAAAACATGCTCTAGCACCCACAGAGCTGTCTGAGCCGCTGCGAGACATCACTTTGTCCGAACATGTAATGTAATGATGCACAAGGAAGGTTATAGACTCAATCACTGCAGAAATGGTGCTAACTGACACAACTTCAAAATTCTGTTCCAGGGTAAATTCCAAGAGTTTCACTTGTGCATCCAAAGGCCCTTGGCCTGTCTGAAAAGCACCTCTGGAAAGAAAAAGGAAAAAAAAAGATATTTCATTATTCAATATTAACAAGATAGATAATTTTTTTGTTGTTGTTTCCTTGAGATTTAAGAATCAAAAAGCACGCCAGACTTCCAATAAAAAAATAGCCATTTCCAGAAATGCAATTTGAAGCATAATTTGATCTTTCACATAAGTTAAGTATTCATAATTTTTAACTACCAATGATTACAGAGTCAGTGGAATTTCTTCATGCTTTAACTTTTCTGATACTACAAACAATAAAAGCTTCTTTTCCAAAAATATGAAATCTAGCTAGATCTTTGTTTCACTTTTTTTTCTTTTTAACTAAGCAGTTAACTTTGTGAGTATGTATTTCAGATACAGTCCTGTTCATTTGCTGTGGGTGAAAAGTTTCATAAACTTGCAGGGAAATTGCATGGGAAGAAGCAGTCTAATACTATAGTATCATCAGGATTTTTTCCTTAATTCTAACAGGAAAACTCAACAGGATTTGTCCCTCTGTAAATTTTTTTCCTCCAAAGTAGAGAGAAGAATGGTCAGTTTTAAGCTTTCTAAATAGCGACTATACGTAAAACGATGAGAAGATACTCAAGTTGTCACAGGTAGGTGCTTACAGGTTGATTACTTGAGGGATCTCTTCCGGCACTAAACTTATTTTCCCATTTGAATCAGAATCACAGAATGGCCTGGGTTGAAAAGGACCAAATGATCAAGAAGTTTAAACCTCCTGCTATGTGCAGGGTCACCAACCACAAGACCAGGCTGCCCAGAGCCACATCCAGCCTGGCCTTGAATGCCTCCAGGGATGGGGCATCCACAACCTCCTTGGGCAGCCTGTTCCAGTGTGTCACCACCCTCTGTGTGAAAATCTTCCTCCTAATGTCTAACCTAAACCTCCCTGTCTCAGTTTTAAACCATTCCCACTTGTTCTATCACTATCCAACCTTGTAAGCAGACATACCCCCTCCAGTTTATAAGCTCCTTTCAAATATTGGAAGGCCACAATGAAGTCTCCCTGGTGCTTTCTCTTCTCCAAGCTAAACAAGCCCAGTTCCCTCAACCTTTCTTCATACGAGAGGTGCTCCAGCCCTCTGATCATCTTAGTGACCCTCCTCTGTGCTTTCACACATTTACCAGTAGATTGCAAAATGAACTTTCTCAATCAAGTGTATTTAACATAAAGCTGGTTCTAATTCTGTAAGTGTGGTTTGGTTAGTAACTTGAAACATTTCTCTATTTCTTTTGACGCTGAGTAGTCAGTCCCACTATAACATTACATGCAGAACAAAATATTTTCTATAAACAGATCTGAAAAAAATATCTGCCATTTAATTAATTCTAACAGTAATACACTGCCTTTTTTTTTTTTTTTTTTTTTTTTTTTTACAATCAATCTTACAATTTGGTCAGACAAGGTAGAGTTCAATAACTGCCTGAGGATCTACAAATAGTCATCAAAGCTCTTTTTTAGTGCTTTGCGTCCATGTTACATTTCAGTCCTACTTTTAATTTGTCTTAAAAAAAATGTTAACACAACTCAAAAGCTATCATTTCAATTTCTTAATCAGCTTATTTCAAGTATATTATAACACATAAGTATGCATTTTAAGATTCATTATGAATTAATGATTTTACAGAATAATTAAATTTCTTGTATGAGTAATAGTCCAATAACATAACCTAGTGAACGTCACCTATGCAATTCAAGTTAATGACATAAAATTTCTTAGAGAAAGCTGAAATAGTTTTCTGTAAGATTAAAGGATAGATAACACCAAAGTGCCACCTACTGGAAAAGGGGGAAACAAGAAAATGAGGAAGTCCTTGCCTCATTACATTAAACCTTTGTCTGGAGATGTGTAGAACATCTGTATCAGAAGTAAAACATAATTCCTAATGCATTTCAGGCCAAACAACTGCCACATGACTAGTTTACTGCTGTACACACAACGGTCTTGGGCCCACTGACTGAGCCTTCAAGAAGCAGAACTGCTAAGCACAAGGTAAAATCTCCTCGCTGTTGCACAGACAGAGGTACTCCTCCACACAACTGAAGAGACACTACATCAATAGAGAAGAGCAGGACAGAGGAGATTTTTTCAATGTGGAGAAGAGTAAGCAAGAAAAGGGACACAGTGCTAACTTCCCCAGTGCTATGCCACCAACAACCTGACCAGGCATGAAGATGGCCAGGCTAAGAACTTGTCCCATAGTAATAGGTAAGACAGATGCATAAGACAGATCACACGCAGATTTCCCTTCTCTTTCTAAAACCAAAAGCTGAAAGCCACACATGGAAAACCACAGATCTAAATAGTCCTTACATATTTTTGTATCCATGTAAAGAAATGTTAGAGTGGTATCACTCGTGATTACTCAACATGGATATCCCCAAACCTAAACTTTGAACTAAGCAGCAGAGCTAAAATAACATGAAGTTATAGGAAAAAAAAAAACAAAAACACCCACACAGGAACAATCAAATAAAAACCAAAACAACAACAAAAAAATCCCAACAACTCAACTACAGGGGGAGGCAGAACATTCAGGAACAGACCCTTCATTCACAAACTAACGTACGATGCAGACAGCAGGCATTGCTAGGTGTCAAAAGGGCCTTGAGAACCTTCAGAAGCTAGTAAAGCTAGTGAAATGACATTAAAATGTCAGCGACAAATGACTTGCCTAAATGACCATCCTTTTTAAAGCCAGCTTCAGATATTGATGAAATCCAAACAGTGTAAGCCATAAGATACTTGGTTCATTTTCCACATTAGCAGAGTTTGAGATTGTGTTTGAAATGCTGAAACCTTTTCAAAACTGATATGTAAAGTTCCAAAAACAACATTATTATTTTGAAAGCAAGTAAAAAGAAAAAGAAGTAGTAACAAAAAGATGCCTTCGCCTTTTCTTAGTTATGATAACTTAATTGCAGGGAAGAAGGAGACCTTATTAACAGCAACAGAAGTTCCAAGCATGAACATTCCTGGATCTAAAGAAGCTTATACTGACAATCAGGGACCATGGCTGCATTTAAAATGCAGAAACACAACCAGATCATTTGGCGTCTTACGACTTTCTACTGTTTGCTGGAGATGAAACCAGAATTGGGTAGTCTGGTAATATATTCAAAATGTGGTAGTTCTTTTATTTACTGGATGCAATTAGTTATTTTAAAGGAATAGCACACAGATGTAAGCATTTGTGCAGGCACAGTTAGACGAATCATTGCTTGTTGACAAAAAACAGTACCGCAGAAGGTGTACAATACACTTGGTCATGAATTCAGATCTTGCAGTAAGGTTTAAAGAGACTTTGAAGCCAGAAAAAGCAGATAAATGAATAAGAAAAGGACAGGCCATCCAAGAAGCTGAGAATTGCAACAGATTTGGAAATTAGTGGTTAATGCTCCATATGGCCTCAGCACAGCTACTTGGAGACTGCAGAACTTTCACTGTATGTTCTATTGAGACAATAAGAAAGAAGAAAAATATGCTTTCTTTATAAGAAGAGAAATATGCTTAAAAGTTCTGCCTTCTATGTGTTCCCTACTATCTTAAGCAGAAGCCAACAATTCACTTTCAGATTTCCTTTTGTTCTGCCTGTCCTTGAGTTTGTAGAACACAGAGAAAGAATAAAGAAAAAGGAAAGTAGAGACAAAAAGCACAATGCAGTCTTATTTTCATATGACTGAGGTTGTCAAAAATTTGGCATGCAAAAGATGGTAGCAAAAATACGTTTCTTCTCCAATGACATTATAAGAAAATGAAAATGCAATAAAACATACAATCTGTAGTTTTACTCTCCTTTGGTAAGCTCCTTGTTTTCTTCTAGTCAACTTTATGGTTGGTTTTTCACAGTTTTGATTTGAATGAAGCTGATTTAGTATTTTATGGGTAAGAACTTTAAGTAATGGATACAGCTGTAATTAATTGTTTGTATTAATTCCATTTGTTTGCATGTGTATATACAAAAGCTTGCATATTTGCCTACATATCCTGGACTTCTGCATCATTAACATATGCACACATTATCACACTACTTCTGAAGTGATCCGTATTCTAAACAACCAAAATCATTAATGTTCTTGATAGCATTTTCATGAAATAAATACGATTATGCAATCACACATTTCATCCTACTTACATTATAAAAGTAATCTACAAACAATTTGCTTTACCTTTGGTTAATTCAGGCCTTTCAGGATGCTTTTGCCTTTTCAATGGGTAAACTCATCAACAGTGCCTTTATTTTAGGAATTCCTCTAACCCTGAAGAATGCCTACATCTTAGCCCATGATAAAATGACAGTCCAACCAACTTCTCAATGCTTACATTCACTGTCCCTTGCATAAAGATGGCTGGCTGCATGTGCATTCCAGGTGCACTTTTCCACATGCTAGAAACTGCCTGGATGCAACCAGTAATGCTGCGATCTCAATCCATACACAACCTGACAGTAGGACAAGAGAGGGAATCTACACATTTTGGCTACGACGCATAAACAGATTTTAAAGACAAAGAGGGTAGGAAAACAAAGGGCTAAGATTTACCTTTCTGTTGAAAGAATATGTATTAATTTCAATAAAAATTCACTAAACATTTGAGGACAAGTTGATGAAAGGTGCACTTGTAATCGAGTAAGAAATTCTTGCATAGCTTGCGTAGCAGTTGGCCCAACCTAGAGGGAAAAGAATTTTAATAAGTATATACAAAATTGAAATGTCTTCAAGACCAAGAAGTTGTTCCCAACATGAAAAACATCTTCTAAGAATAGATAAGTATTACGTAACTTAACTTGCTTTCTGAAGAATTTTAGAGTTTTCTACTCCAGACCAACTTTTACCATGTGTTTTTCTACCATTATCCATGAGTAAAAAGCAAGAATTCAATTCTTTGCCTAACACTTGTTAGGTGTTTCTGAGAATCCTGTCCAGTATTACATAAGAATAAGTTAAATTTGGCTCTTTTTTTTTTAATCTCCATTCACAAATGTTTTGAAGACCACAAAGAGCAGAAAATTAGTTGAAATTAGGAAACACATTAGAAATCACATTGCTTCAAAGAACAGGCAGAAAAGAGAAGCACAAAACACTCTTTTAAATTCAAGAATTGTTAGATATTTAATCTTCATTGTCTTTTTTATCCTAATCCAGCATGAATTCCGTAAGCAAACTGAACTCTGCAAGTTTTCTATGCACACTACTAAAAAATTTTAACATAGAACACACTAACCAAGAAATCACATCCTCCCTAGAGCAACTTGGCCACATAAATGTAAAAAGGAAAGTTCACTATTCATAGCAAATCATCAACATGAACTTCCCACCAGTTGTTCATCAGAGCCAACAACAACAACAAAAAAAAAAAAAAAAAAAAAAAGAGGAAAAACAGTGAGCTGAGGATATAATACAACACAGATAACACATTTCTGTCATGTTTATTGAAATGTTATTATGAAGGGTTATTCTGTTATTTTAATTGCTACTTACCTGTGGACTGTGTTGATTTGTTCCATGAGGATTTGTGCCAGAAAGAAATTTCACTAATACATGAATGAGGTTTGGATCTGACACCAACAGTTGGGCTGTACTTTCCTGAGCTCCAATGGCACTGCTTGGACCAGCTTAAAAATAAATGCATGAAAATTAAATCTCTCATCTTAAACATGTAATGTAAATACAACATTTATAGTGTATATCTATTACACTTACTTCATTATGCATAAATATTCAGAAGTAGAATTAAGTATCAGAAGTTGCTTACTGAGGACTACAATTTGGAGTAATGAGTTTTCCATCAAGTACAGCTAAACCCCCCCCAAATATTCCACCAGTATCTCAGCTTGCTAAGGTAAAATACACAAATGTAGAGTTTTAGTTTTGTAGAAACAATATCTACACAGATTAATCTACACAGACTTTAACTCTTTTTCTTTGCTAGTCCTCTCTGTAGTAAGGCTTTCGCACATCTCTTAGTTTGCCAGAGACCATGTGTTCTATTATCATGTATGCAATCAAGATATTTTTTGTTTGTGGTACATTCACCGACTTCACATCACTGATTAACACTGCAGGGAGCTCAACAGGTAAGGGCTTTGAGGACAAGAAGTTAAAATAAAATACATCCTTTAATGATCACGCAAGCAAGCTTTATTAAACATGCAGCTTTGACCATTCAGTTGTGGTATATAAAATCAGCACAAAACACAGCTTTTGAGAAGCACAGCTTATACCTATCCAAATTAAGATCAAGTTATAACACGCTAAAGCTGTGATCTCCTTCAGACTGTCTCATAGTACATGAAAGAAACATTGAATCAAGAGGAAATCTTGCTCAGGTGCAAGAGTTTGACTGACATCTCTTTGCACTTCAAGATTCCCAATTAGGGGAGATGCGAAAAGAATCAAATTCTAAACTACTTACTGGTCATTCTGTTTGTATCAGTCCTCATCATTCAAAAAAAATTCCTTAAATTGAACAATAAGAAACCAAACAGGAAGGAAACATCTAAGTTTCATCAACATCTCAGTGATACTAAGTTTTCCCCTTACCAAGTGCCATTTTGTTTTCTAACAATAAATAGATTTACTCCTTTAGATGACAGCAGAAAACTAATGCTGAAAGCATTTCTTGTATAGCTACACAAATAATTTTGCATTGATTTACCAATATTAGATTTAGAACAAGTAGGCTTGGTTATAGTAGGCTTGTACAAGTAGGCTTGATGGAAGATGGAATGGCAATAGCTAGAATTGAATAAAAGCAACAGAGCCTCTCAAGGCATTCCAGTTCCATTCTATTATAGACATTAAGGCTGTTGCAGTTTACATTTGACAGTGCAAAAATTAAAAAGCTAGGCCTTGTCTGGATGAAGGACAAGCCTGTAAGAGAAGCTAAGTGCACACTTCCACTGATCGTCTGACAGGAAAACCAAATTTTTCAGAACAGAGAAATCTTCCACTGCAGGATGGGCCTTGGAAATACCAGCCTTGGTGAACTAATCAAGTTTATTTTCCCCATCTTGAACTGCACCTGTGAATACTTACTGAAGCAAAACAGACAACACATTAATTTTACCCTGAGAAAACTAGATATATCAGTTGTTGGTGGATATTTTATTGGTTGGTTATTTTTAGGGGGTGAAATTTCTAAGTCTGCCATAATTGAAGTAAAAAATGAAAATGAATACCCAGATGACAAAAAGTATTAACTTACTAAGGTCACACCCCTTGTATTTACACACGAACCTGTTTCCTTGAACATTTTGCTGATCTAGTGTGTAACTGCAAAACTGAAACTTCAGTTTTTCCAGAAGTACTCCAAATTATTTTAAAAGAAGTGTATAAAAGCTCATAAAATGTTCTATAATATGTATTTGAAGAAGGAACATTTGTGTTTTCCTGCACTGTTAAATGGCACCTTCAGAGAATAACCTATGAAGTCTACAGTCAGTGTGACAAGTAACACTTCTATTCTGTGGGGTTTTGTTTTGTTTTAAATGCTAGAACTTCCCCCGAATTCACAGCCCCAAACCATCTTCTCTTGACAAACAGCAGCCAAGTCCACAGGCTAACACTCAGCTCCACTGCTTCTAAGTTTAGATGGCTCTGTAGTTTTTCTGCTTTACCATGACAGGGTTGACAGCAAAACTGAGTAACTACACTTTCATTACCTCCTGTGTAATTTTATATTTTCTATTTAAAAGCTGGAAATATCACTGCAATATAAAGCCCCACTTTATTTGTACATTGCTTTAAACGTCTGACACGATCTAACTCAGACCTGAGGATGCATCAACATTATCCACTCTGTTAGGTAGCATTTATGCTCAGAACACTTCTTTCTCCAATGCCATCTCTGGTGACAACATAAAAGATGTGCAAAAGGACACGTGAGTGGAGCATGAATACCTCTTGTTAAAGAAACAGATCAGTAAACGTATTACAAAAATGATATTACAAACAACAGCTGCCTACATTAGAGCAACTGAAACTCTGAAATTTTTCTTAGGCATCACTTTCACCTAGCAGAAGGAGTTTCAGAAGTTTTTCATGATATTGTTAAATAATACCAAGAAAAAAGTGAAAATCTGAAGGAAAAAAATGTGTTCCAAAGGCAAGGATTTCAAATAGCTTATATAGAGAAAAAAAGAGTTTCAAGGGCAGATTACAGAAAACAGCTCAGAACAGTTGTGTCACCACAAAATAGCAAATTATTTCAGGAAAGTACGATCCTCCGTTACTCTGGATTTTATCTGTTATTATTGCATTTAGTCATACGGTTGGTGTCAAAAGAGAATTTAAGAAGTTCTGATACGGCCTAAATACGTACATTTTCAGAGATTTCAGGCTCCAATTTCACAAACTACTCAGTATCTTCTTTAGGCTTAAGGACAAGGCCACAAAAGCAGTCCCCATGACAGCTGCCCTATTACTATCATAGCTGTTTAGAAGCTAAATTTCTTCATTGAAAATTGCATCCTTTAATGTCTCTACTTGACTTGTGGCAAAATTTCCTTCAAAAAGGGAGATTATCATTACCATCTTACAGAGCCATACAGAGAATGCACGATAATCACATACATAGGAAAGTGAAATGAAGTGGATGGATTTTTTTTTTTTTTGAATAAATTTAGCTTCTAGGGGCTTATCTTCAGAGAGCTTAACATAAGCAGTGACTGGAGTCTGCATATTTATGAAAATATTCTTATTGCATCAGAAAAAACATGAATTCCTCTTATATTGCCTTAATCCTCACTCTCTGCTACCTCTTTCCATAATACAAAGCTACCTCTCAAGGATCTTTACCTACTCCTCAGATTTGCTTTTCAGAAGATGATGCTAAGCTTTTTTTTTTTTTTTTTTTTTTTTAAATGACACTGATTTCAAGGTACAAGCAGCCCATAGAGCTCACTCTCTACAGCCTCTTTGTTGGAAAATCAAAGTAATTCTACGACAAAGGTAACATTTAAGATTGAAATCAACACTTACACTGTAAAAAATGGTGACAAAACACTCCACAACTTACCATTAAACTGCATATTTGTCATGAGAGTTAGGCTATGAAGCACAAGGCACCATGTTCGTAGTAAGGTGTTAGGATACCATGCCAGAACTGACAGGAAGCTAGTTACTGAAGCTGTCAAGAAAAGCACATTTTCCCAAGTATTAATCTTCAGAATGTTACAAGAAGTTTCTCATTTTGAATGCAAGTTGCTACATTACTTGTTTATTGTTTGTTGTGTTTTCTTTGTTTTGACAACTACTGTTCTAGGCAACTAGGAAAAGATGCCATCGCCAATGCACCACAGGAACTGGCCCACAGAACTTCCTATAGTCTCAACCCATGTCTTCTCAGAAAAAAAAAAAAAAAAAAAAAAAAAAAAAGATTCAAAGAAACATTTTATTTAATTTTATTTATACTTCATTACTTTATAAAAAGAAATAATTAGACACATCTTTCTCCTAGATCAGCAGTCTAACGCCAAAAAGTAGTAGGGCTTCCCCATACCTATCCTCTATACCTTGGATAATAATAATAAACAAATCACAGAATGGTGTACCAGGAAAAGAAATTTATCAAAGAAGTGCATAAAGATGCACAGTTCAGAAGTATATTTTAAAGAGCCCTTTTGGCAGTAACAATGAATTAAGAACCACACATTTTATAATGTAATTTAGGTCAAGATTACAGAAATTCAAGGAACAATTCCTTATTAATTACTATTAGCTACACATTTTTCATGTCACATAGATAGTGAGACCAAGAGCTCTCTAGCAACAAAGAGATCGCTCATTCCATCACTGATCTTAATAAGAACAAATAAATATTGAGGACTTAAGAAAACCTTTCACACTTGAAAGTTAATATTTCCTATTTAATATATTTTACCTTGATTCAAGGAAATTACAGGTATTCGATTAGCATTATAAAGGAAAATATCAGCGCCACTGTCTTTACTTCCAGAGGAGCTAGAATTCAGGCTTAATGTGAGCCATAACTGTAAAAGGGATTCAAGCTGCAAAAAGGAAAAAAAAAACATCATCAAACTCCTGTGCGTTTCCAGAGCAGCAAAGCATAAAGAGTTTTCATTTTAAGTCATATCTACATCTTCAGTTGACCCTGTTTCACCAATAATGCACACACACTTACTCTCCGCTCCTTCCTTTACTGAGATTTTAGGATGTTGATAAATAAAATATTCAAATAAAGTTTATCATAACTAGCAAATGCTTTTTTATGTTTGTTTTTTGTTGTTGTTGTTTTTTGTAAACTCAAAATACAGTTAAGTTTCTCTTAAGATGTTTCTTCAAACTGTTGGAAAAGTAGCTGTACGTATTGCTCAGAAATCAGAGTATCATCATCTTTCTACTGAAACACTGGTTTGCATGTAAACTTTCAGAATTTCAAAATTTAGTCAAGAGATATTTAATGTACAACTGAAAAAATTCAGAAAGAGTTCACAGAAGCCAATTTAACTAATGGAAAAATCTCCTTTACTATCAGAGAGACACAAACACATATTCTGAATGACTCCCTGAAGAAACTAAATAGTTGATGTTCTGAGGAAGCATCAAGGTGCTTTACCTAACAAACTCTATTTTGAATAGAATATTTGAATGGTCAGCTATCCAATTAAAACAAAAGGGCAGATACCTAAGAACTTATATAAAAAAGGAATGTATTGTGTGTTACATATTAAGGAAAGCATTTTTAAACTAATGATTTTTCAAAAAGCATACATCTCGTTTTAACATTTTGGATCACAGGATCGTTCCAACCTTATTTTATTGAAGAGCCAGCTAAGACACAGACTTGGCTGCTCAGAGCGTTGTCCAGATGGGTCTTGAAAACCTCCACAGATGGCAAATATTATAATAACAGTAATTGGGTGACAAACTTGTTTTAAAACACAAAAAATAGATACCTATCTACTTTCCTACTCTAAGAAGAAATTCCCTATTTGCTAAAAGCTTTCAGCAGCTAATCTATTACATTATTGGTACTGTTGTCCATGACAACCTGTGTGCACAAAATACATAACCTAACAGGTTAGCTGCATCCTGAACAATACAAATACAGGAAGAAAACTTTCAGACTTAGAGAGAAATACTATTAAAACATTTCAATGTTCACAATTCTACACCTGAACATGGTGGACTTGTAGCATCGAGAAGAGTTTGTTGAAGCATGCACTCAGCATAGGTATAGATGACAACTGTACAATCAGCTGGGCATTTTGGTTCGCAGCATGCAATCCCCTTAGCAATGAATCATCTGTTCCAGTAGGAGACTGGGTTACTATATGAAACAAAACAAAGAATTATCCCCACCTCAGTGGATTATTTTGGAAAAATTGGTAAAGGCAACTACAAACTTATTTCTTCTTATTTCACATTTAAGGAAAACATGCTTATGTTATAATTTACAAGATCACTTCACTGTGGTGCTCACCTTTATTGGACTGTTAACTATGCTACTGTGAAAGGCATACTGGAAGGTAACAAGTCATCTTCACAAAAACTATTTGGAAAGTGAGCCAAATTCACACCCTTGTTAAAGATGTATTTTAGGAATTTCCTGATAAAACTAAATCAGCAACATGGGTATTTTGACAACATAAGCTTATTGCACAGTCAAATTCAAAATACTATTAAGTATTTTCACTTTTATCACTGAATAGGTGAAACAACTACTAAGCAGCTTTCAAACAGCTTACATTTCACAGTGAATGTAATAATAAAGCCTCACAGAAATAGGAAGCAATATTTAGATGCTTATAGATGAGAAAACAAAAGTAATTCTTCCATTGTGTTATTATGTCCTGTAAATGGAATCCTGTCTATTTGAGCAACTTCAAAAAATGTTTTAAATCTATGTATACAAATTTAAAAATTTGAAGAAAGGAAATCTCAAAAGCACAGCCTAACAATGTCATTAAAGCAAAATTCAACTTCCTCTAAGCTGCTAAGCGACTGCAGAAAAAACAGTATAATGTTCAAGTGGTCATTACATGAAGAGAATAATTTGACAATATATAATTACATGTAGGAGATGTGTTTGTCAGTGCTTGTAGAATGGAATCAGCCTCCAGAGTGGACATCATTTTCAGCATCAATTCAGCCTGCTGTTCAAGTCCAACTTCTAGACGTGCATCTAATGCTACACAAGGCAAGAGAGTCAAACTGAATTATATCCAAGACAATTACAGTCAGCTATGATTAATTATCCGTGCAAGCAATTTAGATATACAGTCCACACTAAACTCGAAACAAATCTCAGTATATCTGACATAAAAGTGAATATTCCTATATGATGCCAGCAAAATGAAGAAACTTATACTCCGAACTGAACACAAAATCCTCATGGATGTAAAATACATAATTAATAGAAAGAGAAATTTCTCATGAAATGCACACATTTCTTTTTACAGTCACCTTAATATCACATACAACAAAATCTGCATGTTTAAGCCTGTAGTAAAAGTAATTGCTCAAACAGCAACCAAAGGAATTACGGCAGGGAAGAGATTTATAAAATCACTCCTGCTTAGAAGTAGTACTTCAAAATGAACAAGTATGCCACCTCATTCTTCTTTGGAATAGGAACAACTAAGCAAAATATTATCCACATAAGAAAGAGCTTCCAACGTTCCAAACTGACCATAAAGATGTCTTTGAAAATAATGAAATTTTAGAAAATACGACTTTGTGCCATGTTAGACACAGTTTTTTCAATAAAAACCTCACATTTTCTCAGTATTCACAGAAAAAGCTTGGTATGTAGAAAATTTATTTCCATTTCAAGCAGGCAGATATTTCTAACACTAACTCGATATACTGAAAAGTAGCACACAGTATCACCAAACAGATAACCTCCAGGGTTCACTGCTTACCTTGAGAAACAGACACACTCACAGTCTGTGATCCGTTTTTCTCTGTAGCTACTGGTGGTTTTGCAACAGGAATTCCAACACCTCCAATGTAAGGATTGTAATTGTAGGTACCATAATCAGCACCCCAGTAATCATACCATGTGCTGCTTATAGGCTTAAAAAGCAAATGAAAAAGGAAAAAATAACAGCAATTTTTTGACTGTCCAAGAAAAAGATAAATTTGTAATGAGTAACAACAAAGATGGAAATTACAAGAAATTAAAACCAGCAGATAGCTTTAAAAAATTGTCGCAATTTTTTTGTTGCCATACAAACTACTCTTTCCTTAGTGATTGCAAAAATCCAGTAATTTAATTGTATCTAAGACCGAAAAACCAGTTTAAAATTTTATCATCAGATTTTACTCATACACTCGTATTATATTGCAAACTTGGTAGTGGAGTTGCAACACTGGTATTTTGAGAAGTTGTTAATCAAGATATAATACTATATTATTAATATGACAGACTATTATAGAACCCTTTTGGTCTTGGTGAGGCTCAGGGGCTATTTTAACTGGGTTCTGCAAAAGAAAAAGTTGAATAATCTCTACTGAAAAGTCATAATTAAAGGCACTAAGAAATCATATGGATGACAAGAAAAAGAGAAAACTGTAATAAAAGACTGCAAGAAGGGAAACTGTGTAAGACCATGCTTTTAATGGAAGGTCTTCAATTAGCAATCCTACATAAACACAAAAAGCAGAACAAATCTGAAGGAACGAGTTAGAGTTTTTCTTGCTAGGTTTTTTTTGACAATAGGAAGATATCTATATCTATATCTATCTATCTATATATATTTATATATATATATATATATATATATAAAATCAGGAAGATATCTGTGGATGAATTGGACTGGAAGATAATGCCATGATCAATTACAAGAGATGAAGGAAGGAGACAAAAAAAACTAAGCAATGACTGGAAGATTTTGATGAAGGGAAATTTGAAGAAAAAAATCTCTACATGATAGGTAATCAGGTGAAGAACATGAGAAAAATATAGAAAAAATAAGAAAACACAGTACTGTCTGAAGTGGGGCAAAAATTAATTCAGTTTAATTCAAATGAGGCCCAAAGCTTAAGTCAACATTGAAAAGTATAGGGAATCTCAGGTGCATCATACCTTGAAAACTTTGGCTGCAAGAGGATCTTTTTCCAAATCAATATCCAAAGGATCAATATCAACCTCCATCAGGTCTTGCAGCAATTCAAGATCAATGTCTTTATCTTTTTCCAAAGACGACAGGGGTGGAGCACCTTTGAATGTTTACAACTACTTTAATATTACCAAGTACAGTTTATGAAACAAGGATAATATCATATAATTCACAGGTAATGCCAAGGCTTTTAATACACACAGCTCTTAGTGGAAACATATAAAACGTGCTTTGCTGAAATAATGAGAAAAATAATCATTTTTTATTAATCAGACATACTAAGATCAAGAATTACACACATTTTTCCTTTATTTTCAGAAACTACTTATTCTATCATAAAAAAATCTTTACAGATTTTTTGACAGATTAATCACAGAGCAGGTTGTTTATTATTTCTCAGCAGGCAATATACATCGAAGATCACAGAGTGATTTACCTGTGATGTCGTGTGTCAAAGGCTCATCTATTGTTTCCACTAATTGAACTGTGGGTGGCTGAAGAGAGTCATCAGAATCCCCAGCTGAAGCGCCAGCATCTTCTCCCAAAGCACCTTCTTCCATAGCTTCAGCCGCTATAGGTGCCAGCAGTTCTCCTACACGTGGCATCAAGCAGACAACTTCATTTCAAACTTCATTCCAGTTACAATTCAACATCTCAGTTTCTAAGCCAACTGTTTTTTTTCCACCTAACTCTAAATTCTTAAAGTGCTCACTTTTTCTAAAAGGAAGAGTGCTGATTTTTTTCAAATAATTGGGATCAAATATATACACTTGACTTTTTAGTGCAGAAGGAATCCTCAGGATTTAATTAATTAATATGAAATATTTCAGTGCACTTGTTGCAATCTAATCTCAATTTGCTTGTGAAGCATATGAGTTGCTTTTTTTCCCAACAGTTGGCAGACTCTAAAATGATAACTCAAAAAGCTTCAAGAAAACAAGTTTTTAGCATAAGCTAAAGCCTAAAGACTATGAACATAAAACAAACCTGCTAGAATATCTTGCAGCATACAAGTCAGAGAATACTGAGCCCATGCTCCTCCCCAAGAGATGTCTCCTCTGTTAAAGTCAGTTCCAACAAGAAGGAGCAGCAATCTTTCCAACTGAGTTTCATTTACAATCTCACATAAATGAATTGTTGGTCTTGTAGCATTTGCAATTCTAGCAAGAACCTAAAAAAAGATAGAAAAATATAATTGCAATGAATCTTCCCTCCTCCTCCCTCTCAAAAGAATTAAGTTATCAAAATTAAGACTAAATTTTTTTTTACTATTCTTGTACACCTAAATATTGACTACTCAAGCATCAGCTTTCGCAAAAATGAAACACAATTCAACCATGAAATTTACTTGTCCACTTCACTACTAGAGATTTTCACTCTCTATCAGTGAAACTGCCTATCATTTCTGGCTCAGAGGAAAACACTGTGGTCCTCATTCTCCTTCAGTTCAGTTCAAGAACACTAAGAAAAAAAAAAGTCTTAGGAAATTGTGATTAGAAACGCTTTTATAGCAATGTAAAGCTACAAAAATATCTCCGAACACCTTAAAAATGCCTTGCTCAGCCCTCCAGGGCTGAGTAATTTTGGAAAATGAAAAACCGAATGGGAGTACTACCTCCATTCCTCAATCATGTTTAAGATTATCTATATTCAGATTATGGATCAACTATAAATACTCATATCTTCATGACAACAGCTTTGAAGAGCACACTATATAGCACAATAACATAGTATTTAGAAAGCAAAATCCTATTCACACAACCTTTGGAGAGTCCACAGCATTTTATTCAAAAAGCCAAAAAATCCAAATTTACTGGATGGAATATATCCAGAAAAGAAGTATGCACCAAATATAAATGAAGCAGCAACTGCCTTGTCATAGAGTTTAAATTTAATACTACATTGGTATTAAATTCAGAACGTTGTAATCAACAAGGCAAAATTACCTGGTGGTCTGAAATAACTATAGATTAAGAGAAGTTTTTACTTTTAAGTAGCATTTATCTAATTACTGACACAAGTTCCAAAAAAAAAAAAAAGTTACAAGTTCTTGGTAGCGGTGATGGTCAAAGATACAGCAGTTTGTAAACTGAAGAGTTATCAGAAATACTATGGGAAATGGTTTTAAACTAAAAGACGGAACGTTTAGATCAGATTGAAGGTAGAAATTCTTCACTATGAGGATGGTGGGGCACCAGAACGGGAAGATGCCCCATCCCTGTTCAAGCCCAAGGCGGATGGGGCCCTGTGCAACCTGATCTAATGGGTGGTATCCCTGCACGTGACAAGAGGGATTGCTGCTTAAAGCTCTCTTCCAACCCAAACTACTGTATGATTCCATGAAATAATACTCAACAATGATGGCAGAGCTGAGTGCAGTATCTACTCCACTCAGTGTAGTTCCTTTTCTGGAAGCAACACTTTAAATTCATAGCTGCAGAACTAGAAAATTCTAAAGAGTAGTACTTGGAGTGCTAAGGAGTGAACAGTTACTAGAATGTCAAACACTAGAATGTTTAGAAAAAAGGAAGCTTCAATTCCACTCACAAAACAAAATAACCAGAGCAATGATTATGCTGATATTGGATTAATTTTTGTTTTTTAAGGGCTTTTTTTTTTTGTGTGTGTAGGTTTCTTTAGCTTCTTCAGCAATAAATTTACCCTCCAACAATCAGCCTCAGTCTTACTTTTCATTCCCATTTGGCCTCAGTTTTTCAGATTATGTAACATCTAAAATCCTACATATGCTCTAATACTAGCATGGGGATTTTGATTTTTTTCCTTTAATTTTCTGGTTTACTCTTCAAAAATACATTTGCACAACTCAAATCAGCTTTCTGAAACCCCTAATCCAAAATCTTAGTGGAAATACAGACAACAGTGATGCAACTGTAAGAAGAGCAATATGAGTCAACAGTGTTCCCGCTTCCTGTCCTGATGGAACGATGGCTACTTCTTTCAAGAAGCATGCACAAGAAATCTAGCTTTCAGAACAAGTTTCTCTGAATCGTTGAAGGTGATTTTCTGTGCCTACAAGATGAAATCTATAAATGAACTGGAAAACCTCTGGTCTGGAGAGATACTCCATCACAGCTACTATTAATAATCCAGTAAGTGAAAAAAGAATTTTTGCTAGTTTCACCGTTCTGATAAATTGCATTTGTTTTCTGGGAAGTTAAAAACAAAACAAACCAATAAAACATAACAAAAAAACAAACAAATAAAAAACCCTCAAGCACTTCCAACTAGCAAGATATGACAACTCATGTCAACTCAAATCTCAGATTATACAGGTCCAAAAAATACTTGCGAACTATCAAGAAACAATTAGGAAATACACGTAACACAGAATAAATTTCTCTTAAAGATCCACTTCAGAGTAAAACCAAAATTAATATGCTTAATAGTCATTACAATAAATATTTTAATGGATCCTTCAGAAATTACACATTCCTACAGCTGAACTCAAAAGTTGTAAGCACATTATTTCAGACACCTTTATCCAAAATGGTTAAAAAGAACAGTCTCCAAACTACATAGAAAAACTCCTAGAGCTATCAATGAAGCAAACTGCTGTAGTGACTCAGAATCATGCATTCAGGCTAATGGAAAAGACCTTTAAACTATTTAATATAGTGATAGCAGAATAGTCAAGTTCTTCCTGCTTACTCATTTTTAATAACATGAAAATATGCAATAGCTTTAACTTCCATGAACATTAGATTTCAGTTCCCAAAAAAATAGGGATTTTTACTATATTAAATGTTAGAACTCCGCGCATGTACTTACACAACAAGATTTTTTGAAGTTACTCTTTCAAGGTGATTTTGAAGCATCATAATGTCAGTTTCACAAAAGGTGGCAGACAAAAAAAAACCTACCTCACCACAAATTACCAGAAATTCTAATGTTACAGTTAACTTTTATCATTAATCAATCAGAAAGAAATAACAGAAAATTAATCCTACATGGTATCCATTGCAACTATAGAATTTCATATGCTATTTACCTTACAAACAAACAGAAGTAAATCTGCATGACAAGTAAAGTCCATAGACAAAAGGAAGAGTGCCAACTTCTGTACTACAGAAATACAACGTTCATGTGCCAGTGTAAAGGGAAGTGGCTCAATTTCTGGAGTTTCCTTTGTAGTTGATACTTCTGTATCCAAAGTAGAACGAGGCCATTCTGCAGTCCGACGCAAACGTATTAAATCCTTGAAGTGCTATAGAAATCAAATTTGAAACAACAGTTACATATTTTAAGACTAAGCTCTGGATCTCTTCCAACCAAAAATCTGAGGCAGCAATAACAGTGGAGTCTAGGAACATATGAGAATCTGGAATGGAATTAAGGCTTTATTGGCAGAAATTTATTTTGGCAGCATATTGTCTCAAGTGACAGAGTAATAACCAAGTTATTCAGTTCCGCACAAGTGCCATTTAAGTCTTAATGTTTGCAATAAAACATATCAAGGGTATGTATTTCATAAGCTTCTTTCTCGTTTCCACCACCTGCATATAAAACTATTGTTAGCATGAAGTGAATTGCAGACAGAAATATTGAAATTTACCCCTAAAATAAGACTGCTTACTTTCAGTTCATCACATTAGAAGAATCCTCAACGACATCCAACATTCATAATACTTACAGATTATGAAGCATCCATTAAACACTACAAACTAAATTAATCCAATACTCGATCAGGGCTTTAAACTACAAACTTTTCTATATAGGTGCTACCAATTCAGTGGAGGAAACGTGCTTTTAACAATTCTACCATTCACCAAAGGCACTCATTTAGCAGTTCGAATGATTGTATAATCTACAAAAGGAGTCTAAAATAAGGTAAAGCAAAAGCCTCTTAACATCTCACATCTTCTAGATACTGAAACAGACCAAAGAATTAATTAATAAAACAAAAGGTTTCAGTCTTCTCCAAAATGCAATAAATATTTTAGGTTACACACAGCTTGTCATAACTGGAAGTGATTAGTAGGTGAAGTAGTAAAAACCACATGAAATGCAGCTATCCAATGTACAATAATACCATAACAAGATGTTAAGATATTTCAATATAAATTTTTTAGTTCAACATGCGTTTTTGGATGCAACATGGCTGCTATAAAGTGAAACTTAAATAGCTACACAGCATATTTCAGCCAGTGAATCATTAAAAGATGTCTCAAGGGGGTCACTGCTGAGCAGACCTGTTGTAACAGTCCTCCCAATATAACGTGTTGGAATAAAGCAGAGGATAGTGCAGGAAAGAACAGCTCATGACAAGCAGAGTTGGTGAAAACATACGGCTTTATTTTTTAGGCTAGTGTTTAAACTAACAGGTTGCTTTTTTTGTAGTTACTGGAAATTGTTTTAAGATTTTTCTTCAGAATGCCTCTAAATTCCAATATTCCATTAATCTTGTTTCACAATCCTACTCTCAGTCATACATGAACATTAATAATTTACATCAGTACAACTAGAACTAAACAGGAATAATATAAAGAGATGCTTGATTTTGGTAGCTAGTAACACAGGCTTTCTTTTTTTCATGTGTACTTTCAAGAAAAGTCCACAATGCCAACTTGAGAGATCTCTAAGTTTTAGCGTCTTATCTCATAATCAAGTTAATTACCATCACTTTCCGTATCTAGGGCTTGTTGTAATATGCCATAATTTACATGATACTTTAAGGAAGTTATATTTCTTATGCTGGGAAGCTGCTCAGATGCATGATTATTTTCTTCTTACTCAACCAGGACCACATTCAGAAGAGTACCGTATGTAACAAGCAGGCATATAAAATGTTATTTCAAATTTCTATCGGTCTGTGTTACCCACCGTTCAGTGATATGACTAGTGTTCCCAAAGCTACAGGATTACCAGTCAAAACGTGGAAGGGTAAACCAATTTTCCCAGTGTAAGAAATTTCCAGATGGCTGCTGTACTAGCATCAAAGAATCCTTGATAGCAGGCATGATGAAAAACATTAGAGTTTGTTTAACATTGGACAAACACTACTTTGCAGGAATAGCTCTTTTCATGCATAGAACAAGAAGTCAATTACAATTTCAGAGCTTCATACCTTGGAAGTAGCCTGCTTTAGTTTTGCCTGTTCTACTAAAAGTTTGTATGATGATCCTTTGTTGCTTTGTATTTTCTCTTTTTCCATCTGTTCCACCAAAGCCTTCTGCTTTGCTTTTAATAAGTTAAGTTGCTAAAAGAAAATGTTAATAGGAAAAAAATGAAAATTTAAGCAATAAGATGTTAAAAGGATCCATATTTTCATAAGATATCAAGCTTCAGTTCAACCTGTAACCTGAGATTTTTAAAATACAGTTGTATTAACAGCTATAACTTAGACACCTTCAGGGGCCACCAGTCTCCACACAAAGTTTAAGAAAAAAAACTAACAACAACAAAACAGTATTTTTTAAAGCTCAAGACAACCATGCTCAGAGTAATAAAAACCACATGGTTGTATTCAGAAATGAAAATTTCATATCTTAAGAATGACGTACTGTTATTTAACAGCTTGGGAGCTTGCTCCCTGATGTACTCAGATTTACACTTCTCTGTAAATTTCACTTATTACCCTATGTGGGTAAAAGAGCCCAACAGTACATTCCAACATTTGTTCTTCCAACAGATGCCATGCCCCGCACTTTGAGACAAACATCAAAGAAAACAGGCAGCCTTCAGCTACAGAATTAGACTACACGAAAGCACAGCTGAATGAGTCCCAAGGCCAAAGCTGTTTGCTCAAGAAATGAAATATGTTATACAGTATCTTCTGTGAAAATAGCCACTACCGTGTCAGAAGTCACCTGTTTATGATGAACAAGCTGTTTTCTGATCTTTCGTGAATACAGTCTATCTAGGCTACTGTTGCCTTTAGCAGATCTGCTCAAACTCTGGGTATGAAGGCTATTATTTATAAAACTCCATTGGTTTCCTAATGGAAACAGAGAAAAAAAGACATTAGTCACATTAAGCTTCATTTAACTCCAAAGAAAAACATCTATACGGGCAAGGGTTAGCAACTCGAAATATTAAATAAATGAGCAAAATGCAATTCTTTTTGTGAAAGGTAATATTTTTTTGTGCTGATGGTAATATTTCTGCACAATTTTCAAATGCTCGTTCTTATTATTTTTAAAATATAAGGAGGTAAGAATGATTGTTCTAACTAAATAGAAATAACTGAAGAGCAGTGGTAAAAAAAAAAAAAAAAAAAAGCTTTCCATTTTTCATTTTCAGAAAAGCTGGTCAAAGAAAACAGCTATTTTTATACTTAAAAATAAAGTAGTACTAAAAAATGAATTTAAATGTACCAAATACATATACTACAACAAATAACAAAACAGGCATGAAGCCACACTACTGTATTTTTTCACAATGCAAGCATTTTGTCTCAACATGGCAGACTCTCAATTGACCAGTCTAGGAGTTGCAGAATAATATACAGACATTTTACAAAATAAAATCAAGGTTACAAATACCACTTACAAAAAATCTCATTTCTAAAAATAAAAAAAAAAAAAGGAAGCAAAGAAGCAGACAACAGTACAAATAAAGCGATCAACAATTCATTTAAAAATCTCATTTTTCAAATGAATCAAAGATGTATTTTAAGTATATGAGCAACTCCAAAACAAATACCCACAGAAACAAGCTTTGTTATGTAATTAAATTAGTATTGCACACCTGTCAAAAAACGTTCCCTCTCTTTTCCATTCAGAGGTTTCTTGGCTGTGGCTGCTTCATCTTCAACAGTAGCTACATAATCCAGTAGTCTGGATACCAGCATTACAACCCAACTGATCATGGGAATATCTAACACTCCTTAAAAAGAAAGATTTGAGTGCCTTAATAGCTTGGAAACCATAACAAGATAATAATAATAAAAAAATTGTAATAGGAACTATATGGCACACATTTCACTAGTTTACAAGTATGTCTTTTGTTTCTCTTTTTCCTTTTTTTCCTCCCCAGTGGCAATAACCTAAGCACTTATAAACATGAGAAGAAATCAAATATTTGGCGTAGAAGTCAGGCACAAAAGCAAACATCCCATTTCTCTTAAGCTGATAAAGTCAGAAGTGAAAAAGCTTCATCTCTACTGTTTACGGTAAAAATTAAGCAGGATTAAAAAAAAATAATAAATTCTATGCTGAAGTTTCTAAATACCAAACACAGAGTGACAGCTGCTTGCATTAAAGCACATAAGTCAGATGTCTAATTCCAAAGTGTGAAATTCCTCTGTCACCAAGGGCTCTTACAAGGCCATTATAACACAGCTTCATTTTCACTCCTTTAAAATATATTTTCACATAGCCATTCAAACCATGATCAGAAAAGCCAAGACTGAATTCAGACTAGATGAACCATGCTGGTGACACTGATGGCTTGCTATCACCTATTTCAGTCTCACTCTAAATGCAATACAGGCAGAGATAAAATGTATCTTACAAACCACACAAGAAAATCTTTGTATAAGTAAATGAATCTAAATGAACAGTTCTAAAATGGACTCCTAAGTACACAATAAAAATCAGGAACCTTTGCAATTAATGACCACTGGATCACTGTCATTATGCAAACTGCACCCTTTTATATAATATAAATAGCACAAACTTAGCAATACTAGAGGTTACATCCACATTTTCATATCTGTGCACAATGTTGAGCTGTATTTAGCCATGCTACACTTTTCAAGCACTAATCCTGAATTAAGCTGTAGTCAACTGAAACCATTGTTCATTTCAGCTCAAACAAGAACACTAAGTCTTAAAAACACAAGAACACTAAGTCTTAAAAATACCATGCCCAAAATCACATCTTGTTGCTGGTAGCCAAAGCAATCGGGTGGAGGCCCTGGATATTCACCCTAGTCTCCTCTCCCATGCTGGCTGAAATCAGCCCACTTCAAATAGGCAGAGGAACAGGAGTCCTCTCCACCTCCTCTGCAGGAACTGTAGACTAAACTGCAAGGATAGAAATGAGTAGCATTGGTGACTGTTTTGATTTGCAAAACAAAAAGAAAGGAACCTGCTGGAGAGTGAAGTATATGATTTTTCACATTTCTGTTTGTACGAACATATTTCTTTATCTTCTCTCTTTAAAAAAAAAAAAAAATCAGAATTTTCAGCTTTTCTCCCTCCCTCCAAGTGTCTTTCGTTTATTTGTTTTCCTCCTCTGCCTGAAATTTCACAAATCCACAATGTTTACATCTTGCTTTCAATTTTCTGTTGTTTTCTGACTCTTTCCCCACTAAGTTTTTACCCCTTTCACTCTTAGTTATGCGTGATAGTTCTCAAACAGCAATTTCTTCTTCCATACCTGAGGCTTCCATCACACATAATAGTGCCCTAGTACTTACCTGTACTGTCCAGGAGGAAGTAAGCTGGAAGACCAGCAAATAAAGCTCTGAAGTATCAGTTACTTCTGCTTCCTAAAGTCCTCCGTGAGGACAACTAGTAAGGCAAGAGCTATGAAAGGAATTGGCAGCTGTGGGGAGAGTGCAAACAGAGGTAGAGGAGATGTAAGGTTGGGTTTCCCTCAGACTAGTTAGAGACTACAGCAGGATATGGCCAAAATAGAGAAAGTACATGGCAGACCAAGAAGAAGCAATAAATAGGACAGCCTGACACCAGCTTGAGGCTTGTTTATGACAGGAGACAAGGAAAAAGAGTCTCAGCTGGTGTTTACCAACTTTACAAGGTCAAGAATTTTAAGCAGCAAATCATCTGCAATGCTCTGCTACATGTACAAAATCTATGAAGTAGCCTAGACTTTGGTGTCTTTAAAACCAAGCATTTTCTTCAGGCTTAGAGTAGTAAAGAAAATACTCAAAAATCAATTTTAGAGAATAAAATTTCAGTAATTTTTAGGGTCAAGAAAATGTAAAATCCTTGTGGTTACAAAACAAAACAAAAACCCCAATGCAGCTTCCAGAAACTAAAAGGACACATCTAGCAAAGTTGTCTTCGTGGCCATGTTGTGGCCACTTTTAACAGTTGAAACTTAAAAAGGATCTTATGAGCAAAACCACACACCTCTTTCCAAAAGGCTAAAATCCAAAGTAATTCACTGGAGTAATTAGAGCTATGTACACCTTGGGTATTCCTTCCACTTTTAGCTAAAATTTTAAAGGGCTTCTTAGCTGAAAATAGATTTTGTTCAAGTTTACTGGGGAAAAACACCTCTTAGAACCTAAAGAACAAGAATTTTTAGCGCATTTTAAAAGACATTTGTGTTTCAGAAATATAATAAACAAAAGCAACTTCTTTTAATACACCAATAACTATGAGCTAATCTTTCAATTTTCTAGCATACAGTGAATATGAAAATATAGTTTCCCAAATTAGAGGGCTACCTTCAGTTCTTCTGTGCACAGGTAAATGAGGTTGCAGTGGTGACAGAAGGTTATCCAGGAGATTAAGCAAACTTTCTAAAACACCACTGTTGCTAAGCGATCTTTGTCCAATGCAAGAAAGTAACATGAAGACCCTAAAAATAAAATTAAATATTTAAGACTTTATTTCCTTTTCAAATATTACGAAATGTAATGTAATGTTGTAATATTACGAAACACCCCTTCTAGATCACCAGTCCCCTAAGCTTTCAACTGAGATACAAGCAGATTGCTAGAGAAAGCAACACTGGCCCAGCAAGTGGACTAGATTTCAAGATCTGCTGTCAAAAAGGATAATGCAGTATTTTAGATTACACATTTTCTCTTTCACCCTCAGGAGGTCAGCAGTTACATACAGAGCATCCCGCTCTGTACATCTTCTGAAAGAAGACTTTATCTGTTTAATTTCTTATCCCATATGATATACTGAATAGTAGGAACAGATAATTAAATCCACGTATTGTTATACCCTTGTATTAATTCATTTATAAGAAGTATGATAATCTAAATGACTAAAGAAGGCAGAAAGCCACAGAAGAGCAAATAAGTTAGATTAAAATAACATGAGAACTAAGACATTTAACATTTGTTATTCAGCTTTACACTTGATTGCTCTTATTTTAGAGAAGACTGCTGCGTTAAATGCAAACCGTGCTTTCCAGTCTCGTTCATAATGCCAAATGCATTAGAAGAGCAGTCCTGTGATGAAGGTGTATTAAAGCCTGATAAAGCAAAAGGCAATTTAGAACACTGGAAATCAATCCAGATATGTAAAGAACACTGACAGAAATATCTTCCTAATCACTTCTAAGTAAGGAAAAACAGCAGCTTATTGTGGTATAAGTATGAAACATATGCAAAAAAAACTCTACAGATCGACATGCATCATTTGCAGTGCTTTTAGAACTATTTTTTGTACCAGTGGGACAGACAGATATGCATTATTTGGTCACATCTCTGTCAAGTGATATGTTTAATTACGAACCGTGGAATTACTTAGATGTGATCCACAGATTATACATTAATATAGACTTAGACCTTACCTGTCTTGTGGGAATATAAGAAGTTGCTCTGAATTGTATAATTCCTGCAGCACATTTGAGAGAAACTGACCCCACCACCTTTCTCCTCCACACAGCTGAACAAGCAGAAGACCAGTATGCAATCGGATTTTTGGAGTCCCACTGATACACAGGTGTTTAAACAATTCTTCACAAGCTTGAGCATGAAAAGTACTTTGTAGAACCACAGGAACAGAATGTCCTTTTAAGAAAAGAGAATAAGCAAAACTGTGTTTAAGGGCAGCATATGATACTATTACAACCAAGATGGCTTGATGATGGGAAGAAAAAGTTCCTAAGAAGTTTCTAAATTAATGATGAGGAGTCTAATTGACGTGGGAGAGCAGAAAGAGAGGGGAGTATCTAGGGAAATGTAATTTGCAGGAAAACCCTAAAGACCAGGCCATGTAGAGAACACCAAATCATGAAGCAAAATCTAACTCTTATTATGATTAAGAACAAACCAGCACAGAGAACTGCAAGACAGACAGGCCTTTCTATTTAGAAAACAAAGTTCCACACTTACTAGTGGCTTTTTGTTGTTGTTGGGTTTGTTTGGGATTTTTTTGTTTTCATTTTGATTCTCCAATAACTCTTTCAGTGTTAAGCTTAGGAAATAAAAATCCTTACTGGGTACTAAAAATCAGTTACTAAGTATAGATACTGCTTTTATGTTTTTATCTCAGCCTGGGCAGTCTTCTGTTACTTAAACAAATTGAACCAGCCCCTAGGAGGCTCAGAGGGGTATCTGAACGAAGGAAAATGCAACCAGGATCAGGGAGAAGGGGGAAGGACCTTGATATATCCTCTTGCATCTTTTTGGGAAGCAGGAAGTGGTTAGGTCAGCTTGGTGCAATTGGTCAAGCTGTATGCTGTATGTTTCTCAATATTAAACCCATAATAAAACTATCAGAATATAATTTCAAGCAGGGGAGCTGAAACTAGATGATCACTGTGGTCCTCTTCAACCCAGGCCATTCTATGATTCTATGAATATACAGATCAAGAAAAAGAAAAACTTGCAAACTGTTTCCACAAACATGACAAAACCAAGTACTAACCATTGGAAGAATGAAGTAAACTAAGCAAAGTATCCAGCAAATATCTAATGATAGTGCGCAATTGTTCTGTTGATGACATCTGAATCAACTCTTTTGGATCCGATTGTTCCTTCAGTGTTTTCCTGCTTGCACCTAAAGCTACTTTGAGCCTCTGAACGGCATGGTGAGCCAGATTGAGTTGAAGCTGTAGTTGAATGCAGTCCTGGTAAGCAGAAAATACTTTGCTATCTTCTTCTACTGCCTTGTCTGGCTTTCGTAAAAAGTACTGGGCGTTGTTAGCACTATTGAGTGGTGGTAGATCAATACTCTGCAGAAGGATTTCTAGCCGATGACAGGCCAAATTGTACCTAGAAGGAAACATTCCAGCACAATTCAATAGACATTAATAAGGAGCAATACATCTGACAATCACCTTGCCAAAAGGAGACTTCTGGTCCATTCTGAATGCACTCTTACAACAGATATTAAAAAAAATAAATACAGTACACTCTATGTTAATACTATAGACATATTTGCTGTAACAACACTAAAGCAAAGGTAGAGTTTTCTTTTATCTGAAGAAAATCACAGGAAGAAAAAGGACACAGTAGGATTATCCCAGTGTTTGAAGTTGAAGGAACTAGTAAATGAACATATTTTTTTCTAACCTGCATTGTATATCCTCTTGCAACGCAACCATCATTGCTAAATGTTGGTCAATTTCTGGTTGATTTGCAGCTTCACCTTCTCCTCTGAGGGGATCATGCATTAATTTCAGCTCATTTTCAAAGGGCAAGATATACGTATGGCCATAATAAAATCCTAACGGAATTTTTGCTCTGGCATTTGTACTACCATATCGGCCAATAACAGTGATCTGAAAGAGAATACAACAGTACTGTAGTATAATTGTATAAAAATAGGCTAAATAAATCCAAAGTGAAGAGTTCATAAAACAGCATACAGTCAACTGAAGTTAGATCTGAAGAAGATTTAAGGGAAATCCACATACTAATGATGGTCAAGAGTTTAAAAGAGACGGTGTGCAGTACATCTCCTCTTACCTTCATAAATCTGCAAACTGGTGGCGGCAACAAGTCATGTAAAATCAGTGAGTGTGTGCTAATATCAGTAGCCACTACCAATCGCCTTCCATCTACCTCTTCTCCTAAGGTCCAGATGTCAATTGACAAAGAAGCCAAATCTCCACAAGTGGGTATCAATACATCTGTCAGCAATATAGGCCTTCCAAAATCTAAGGTCACAAATCTTCTTGCTCCTATGGGAAAAGCACAGGATTGCCTAGATAGAATACCAGTGCACGCTAATCAGTGAAGAGATGTTACTCCTCAAACAACAAATCTTGTTTCTATATTGTTCAAAAAGGTGTATATTTGAGGTTCAACATAACAGCACAGACTTGAAATCTCTCAACCTAGCTTGTACTCATTAAAAGAAAATTGGGGGTTCAACTTAATATATGCTTAATATATGCTAATATACTCATTACTTCATAAGTGATGCTCAGTATGAAGACCCAATATACATTATTCCCTCTGTGCATCTCCCAAAGATTTTTCAACTTGGTAAACATCACTGAATGTTGGGGCTTAAACTTCCAGAAAAAATGGAAATGCAAATTCAAATTTCTTTCCTTTAGAAAAACATAAGTAAATGATTGAAGACCTTAGAAAATATTTAACCTGTTAGAAAACACTTATTAGAACATCATTATTAAAACTTTGGTTTTACCTGAGTGCATTCGCTCTATAATAATTGACTGATGAGGTGGAGGTTGAAGAAAATGTGAAGCATGAGATATTGCAAGAGCAAGACCAGATCCAAGTGGATTCTGAAAAAGGGGAAAACAAAATTATAACTAAATCATTAGTGTGCGCATTTGCAATAGTCTACACTTCATGAGAAACTCTAAGAAAACCTTTTACAATTTAAAGACATCCAAATACCTGCCCCTCCATTTATATTTGAGCATGCAGCACCAAAATGTATTAACTACAAGGTTCTAACTACTAATAACTCATTATACTGTTAAACTAGCTCCAAATTAAAAAAGTAATTTGAGGTATGTAACTGTAATTCGCGTTCATAAAGTCTTTTTCATCATACAGTCTAAACTCAGTGATAGTTTTCACATCTCATTCAAATCAACAGGTGCCTACTTGCACTCAAGTACAAATTAGATCCTGATATGACTAACATCATTTCATCTCTGCAAAAAGAAAACAAAAATAATTACCGTTCTAGATTTGCTTGCATTTTTGTTATGTGCAGCAAGGTTAACTGTTGGGGGATCAATGACTGAGCCAGGGAAAAGCTGAGCAAGCTCTGCACTGATAACAGCAGAAACTGCCTCATTGGGTGGAGTCAAAGGAGGAGTCATGAACAGAGGAGTTGTTTTTGGTGTGGGTGGAATTACATCTGAAGGATGAATGAAGAACCCTGGGGCTGCTACTGGATTAGAAGGCACAGAGTTGTGAACAGGACCAACTGCTGATGCTGCTGCTGCTGCTGCTGCTGTTGTCTGATGTAATTTTGCTTCCAGCTTAGCTTTCTGTGGGGAAAATTAAAACAACATATGTAGGAGATTACTGCTTGTGAACACAGGCATAGTACTGAACAAGCAGCTCAGCTTTAATTATTAGCTAGATTTAAGAAATTCACAACTTCCACATAAGCATGAGAGCTATCTACTATAAGATGAAAAATGAAACTGTACTCAGTTTGACTTCCCTTGCTGAGGAACACGAGCAAATGAGTAGTTAATTTGAGTAATCAAAAGAAATAATTGAAAAAACCTAGAACTGAACAACAGAGCAGAGTCAACAGTGTCAACACAAACTGCATTCTGATAATGGCTTTATCACTGGTACTTCCCCACATCTGCAGCAGTGTTCTTCATTTCAGTGGGCTTTCTTAATTTCATAGATTGATGTTCCTAGGTATTAAGACTCAGTTTTGATAATAAATTCCCCACTCTCAAAATATACAAAAAACAAGTCTGAAGACCAAAACAACAGGAAGAAACTCAGTATTCTGCTTAATGAGAGGGAATCTTTGGTCCCGAGCTGTTCCTTCCTCAAATGTACTACGGAAAAAAGAAGGAAAAAAAAAAAAAAAAAAAAAAAAAAAAAAAAAAAAAAAAAAAAAAAAAAGGAAAAGTGACTAGCTCTGCAATTATTTTCCTCAGCTTCTGAAGTTTAGAGACAGCATTAAAAAATAGCCAAATAGCCTCCAACCTGTTGCTGAAGCTTCAAAAGCTGCTGCTGTTTCTCTTGCAGCACCTGGAGCTGTTGCTCGGCTGAGGCCATTGCATGAGAGAGAGACTGCAAAGCTACCTGGGCTGCTGAACTCAGTGCTGTCGAGGCTTCCCCAACCGTTCCAGATGAGAGACCACCAACTGCTGGGGTAACCCCAAAAGTACTCACTGGCATGGAACAAAGAAAAAACAAGCAAACAAAAACAAAGTCATGTATGTAGAACAGAAATGATAATAAACATCTTGAGCTCCTTAGTAATTACTAAGAGCAATGTAAGAACAAAGTAAGCTTTTTTTATTGACTTCTTACAAAGTAACATGATGTTGAATTGCAAAGCATATGGTTATAGACTGTGCACAGTGTACATGCAACATTTACATTATAGAAGATCCTCCTACAGCCTTCAATGCATTTGCCACATTAAGCTGCAAGGCACACATGCAAATTTTACGTTACACTCATATACACAAAATTTGAAATCCAGTTTGCTGAAGTCTATGAATAAACTGATGTAGTCATTTAAAAAAAAAAAAAAACCACTTAAAAACCACAGACAAACAATTTGTGAAACAGCTGCTCACTAAGCAGTGAATTTAAGCGAATTTAAGATCTCATACTGCAGAATTATGCTAAGTAGAAAAAAAGAAAAATTGTATATACCAGTAAACGTACTTGCATCGTCCCTTTCTATTCTAGTTCCATCACTTGTTGAAACACATGTAAAGTGCAGAGGTTCAACTTCCAAAAGCCCAGTAAGGGAGGTAAAACTTCCTTCAGCAGCTGCACAGCTACTTATTTTCCCATTTCCTGAAAGAGAAATAATTACTTGCTCCATCATCTAATCATCTCTTGACGACAACACTGTAAGTTCCAAAGAGTTGAAAGGAACAGCTGAATTTAATGATTTTACTATTTTATAGCTTCATGTTATGGAACAAACACCACAGCTCTATCACATCTGCAATATGTACAGATGCGAGCATATTTTAAAATGGATAATGCTGCCAAATTTGAACACACCATCTTAAGTGAAAATATCAAGTGCAAAAATATCATGTGCAAAAGCATAATGCAAAATTTAACTTCCTCAATTCCAGAAAAATCATATGCAGATGTTTTATTATTTCTATCATATCAGAAAGCTTCAAAAATACATTGATGTACCTGGAAAGAAAGACAGGAAAATAGCAGACTGATAAAGATCATACACTAAATATGTATAAAAATCAAGGCTTTTATTCAAAATATTAAACATTATATGGTGTAGTATTGAGGGAGCATTGGAAAGATGGCCTACAAAAGCAACCAAGAAAAGGAAAATAGTCACTATAATTGATGAAATATGTTTGCTATGAAAACAATTTCCAGAGAGGTAAATATATTCTTCTCAGGACATTCCAAGGCCTAAACATTTCCCCTTACAAAATGACCTGAGATATAGAAACAAGAATATTAAGAATATTTAAGGTATTTTTTAGTGTCTTTGAAACAACAACAACAAAATCTCATGAAATCTGTAATATTTAATTAAAGGGAATCATCTGGCTGCTTCCTGAGTTTTGAACAATCCATTTATGTTTCTCTGCATTGGAGAACGCTGCAAGTCTGGATGAATAATAGACAGATAACTCAGACAAGCCGCTAAATTGAAGTGACAAATGATTTCCTTGATTACTCTGACACAGTGAATGGTGTCAGCCTCTCTGCTTAATATCTAGCTTTCTCTTTGCTCCTTTACATGAGCAGAAAAGAGACTTTCACCTTTCCTTACGGCCCGCAGGAATTGTAGGAGATGTCATGAAACAAGAGAATCTCTTGAACTTCATTGCGTGCAACTACAACACATACAGAAAGTATAAAATCCCAACTTATCTAAAAAAAAATCAGCACAGTAAACGGAATTACCAACTTTTCTGTAAAAGATTACTGTTAAACATATGTACCTGACAGAACATCAGACAAATCAATTTCATCGGACTGAACGCCAATGCTGCTGTTGTATACATTTCTACAAGAGGAGCCACTTATTTCCAAATCAAAGAGAACTGGATCAAAAGGTGAACTATATAATCCATATCTGCAAACACAGTAAGACAAATAGCAGTATTCAAACAATAAGAATTGATATCAATTTATTTAGAGAAAAAAGGCAAATATTACATGTAGAATTTGTTACATTTCAAACCACTCTCCTCAATCAACTGACATATCTCAAAAATTACCATTTGCTACTCTTTCACTAAAACCACTTAAGAGATGTATTCAAACAGCTTATGTTGCTAATTAAGGAACTGTTACTATGTAGTTCTGGAGATTTAATACTGCCTTGGAAATATGAGATATAATCATACTCAGATATGAAAACTAGAACTGTAAACCTAAAACAATTAGAGCAATATGCATGTCTGCACACAATGAATTAGCCATTTATCTGAAGTCAATAAAAATTAAGTACTCTTTTCAAAAATATCAAAATAAATTCCAATTCAGCTTGTTCTTCCAGCTGAAGTCAGAAGAAAAAGGGAAACGCTACTATGAATATCAATCAATACCTGCCAGTACTTTAAATATCTTAGGAGAATCAAATCTCATTGCTTCTTTCTCTGGCAGTACCATAGGGAATTAAGACAATCACTCAACAAGATGGACCCAAGCCAGTTAGGCTTTTATATGTGAAGAGAAAGGAAAATAACGTAGTAAAAAAATTAATCAGTAGTGTTTGTACCAATACCTTCAACAAAAACAAGTGGCAAGAGGAGCAAAAAAATGTGAACTGGGCCAAACTATTAAGCAAAATTAGAAAAGCAGATTGGAAAAGCTGTAAAACAGCAGCATGCTCCCATCATCATAATACGGCTTTGGAAAATGCTGCAAAGCCACCAGAGATCTCCTTTAGATACAGCAGGTAAAACCAAAGTTAACAAAGATGATCGGTTCAACATCTAAAAGATGGAAAATTATAGCCATAAACTATACTGCTGTGTAATTTAGAATAAGAATGTGCATTACCAATGAATTACTCCAAGTGTTTACACTTAAAATGTGACATGCTGTAGCAATTCTTTAAACATACAGTCAGCTTGCAGGCAGCCTACAATTTTATGAAGCATTACTCAAAACAAAAACTAGTAAGTATTTTTTATTCCTTCCCATACTCAAAGGAGATGATGCTTTGTTAATCCTTGCACTAAACAGCTTAAATACTATTTAAGGATGGCACAACTTCAAACATCATTTACGCACTTGCTGATCTGAAGCGTAGTGTAAATTGCAGGACAGTAATTTAATTCACCTTTACCTTTGCAATAATTTCTCAGAGCTATATCATATTAGTGCTTGCACAAATACTGCAAAACGGATTTTATTTTAAACAGCCAACAATTTTCAGAACATCAGACAGTTTGCACTTTTGTCTTTACGTTTACAACAACTACTGCTCTTAGTACCTTGTTTGTAGTAATGCTTCCATAGGTGTCAGGCGATCCTGCAGCTGTCGGGACACAGCAGTTAACAGTGATGCACAAGCTGTACTACATCCTGCCAAATCTTCATCCTTTACATAATTCAGCAATACAAAATACCAATACACCGATCCTGCATTAAAAATACAAAATGAAATTAATTCCAAGTGAAATGTCATGTGAATATTTCATTAAAAAGGTCTATTAAGAATATAATCAATGGAAGTGATAAAACATGACAACACAGAACAGCTCAAGTGGGAAGGAACCTCAAGGATCACTGATTTCCAACCTTCATATCACAGACAGTTGCCAACTGCTAGGTCAAGTACTAGATCAGGCTGCTCAGGGCCCCAACCAACCTGCCCTTGAACAGCTCAGGGATGGGGCACTCAACCTCTCTAGGCAACCTGCTCCAGCACCTCAACACATTCTCAGTTAAAAACTTGCCCCTGACATTTAACCTAAATCTTCTTTCTTTTAGTTTAAAACTACTCCCCCTTGGCCTATCAGTATCTACCCGGGCAAAAGATTGATTTCTCTCCTGTTTGTAATTTGCCTTCAAATATTCGAAAGCTTTAATGAGGTCTCCTCTCAGTCTTCTCCAGACTGAACAAGCCCAGCTCCTTCAGTTGGTTTTCATAAGAGAGGTGCTCAAGCCCCTTGATTACCTCTGTGGCCCTCCAACAAACAAACTAATGAATTACTAAACACAAATCAGGAAGTGCTCTTATTCTCCCCTCACCCACTGATGTTTTTCTTGTGTTTTTTTTGAGGGGCAGAGGTAGGGGGCAAGAGGAGTAATATTAATATAGAATCATTCTGTAATCATGCTTCCACAAATAGTTTTTTTTGTTTTGTTTTGTTTTTTTAATATATATATATATATATTGTACTTTTTTTTTTTTTTCTTTTTTTTTTTTTCCCCCTCGTAGCCCACACAGCATGGAGGATTCTAGATGAAAAAAATTTTGGTCACAACAACCCCAGGCAACCCTACATGCTTGGGGAGGCATGGCTAGAAAGCTGCCTGATGGAAAGAGACCTTGGTGTTCTGACAGACAGCTGGCTGAACATGAGCCACCACTGTGCCCTGGTGGCCAAGAAGGCCAATGGCATCCTGGCTTGTATCAGGAATGGCGTGGTGAGCAGGACTAGGGAAGTCATCCTGCCCCTGTACTCGGCATTGGTGAGGCCTCACCTTAAGTACTGTGTTCAGTTTTGGGCACCTCAGTACAGAAAGGACATGGAGGTACTGGAGCAGGTCCAGAGAAGGGCAACGAGGCTTGTGAAGGGCTTGGAAAATCAGCCCTATAAGAATAGGCTGTTTAGTCGGGGGAAGAGGCAGCTGAGGAGAGACCTTATTGCTCTCTTCCAGAACGTGAAAGGTGCCTACAGTGAGAGCAGGGTTGGTCTCTTCTCACTGGTGACAGGTGACAAGACGAGGGGAAATGGCCTCAAGTTGCGCCAGGGTAAGTTTAGGTTAGACAAAAGGAAATACTTCTTTACAGAAAGGGTGGTTAAACATTGGAATAGGCTCCCCAGGGAGGTGGTTGAGTCACAGTCCCTGGATGTGTTTAAGAGCCTTTTGGATGTGGTACTTGGAGATACCATTTAGCAGAGGATTGCTAGAGTTAGGGTACTATGGTTAGGCTGCGGTTGGACTTGAAGATCCTTGAGGTCCCTTCCAACCTGAGTAATTCTATGATTCTCTTACTGGCTACTTTATAATGGAATAAAGTAAAGCTCCAAAGAGAAAATTTTGAACATACTTCTTCCATTACTTCTGCACTCTGTTTTTACTAAACACAACCAAAATGCTCTTGTCACTCCAAATTGCTAGATTAAAGGTTCCAATTCCTGCTGCGTCAACTCTCAATCTAGATTCAGCTCTTTCCTTTTATCCTGGTTTTGGCTGCTACCTCTTTTTTCTGTATTTGCTGCAGGTACTTCTTACAGATAATTTTGGAAGCACAGTGCACTGCTTCTGTGTGAAAACAGAATTTTTAGCTTTCTCCTTTCCTCTTCCCTCCCCTGTGCATTCACAATATCCTCTAAAGCAGTGTGTTAAATGTTTTAACTTCATTAACACAGCAAGCATTTTGGACTGAAAAGTAATTTTCCTTCAAAGTCCCTTGGTGATGCCAAGCAAGAAGCAATTAAGCATCATACTGTGAAAAACACAAAACAGGCCTCACTAACCCAAATATGAGTGTAGTGCTTGACGTCATCTTCCTATTCTATCAGGCAATAAGGTGCTAAGAGACCAACACTCATTCTCATCTGTATTGCAGAATTTAATTTAGTTCAAAATTTCCTTTTGGTTCAAAAGTAACAGAAGTGAGCTGTTCTAACTGAACACTGCTTAGATTGCCAGACTCCTTAGAATGAATAAATTAACTAATTTTCAAAAATAAGAGACAATACTGACTGTCACTTAACGGCAAAAGAACCTGTGATTGCTGAACATTTTCAAAAAGTCATGCAAAACTTATATGAGGTCTCCTAAAACTTTATTGCCTCAGCATTATAAGGAAGGTAATTTATTAAACTTCTACTGTCCACCACTGGACCAGACCACACCATGAAGCAATCAGTACTAACAATTACAGAATTCCTATTCTAGAAGACAGTCTAACAAAACATGACAAACAAAGGTACTGTTTTTGCATGACAATAAACATTGTATACATACCACCTGTTGCAGCAGCAGGTAGAAGAGGCATATTGTCAAGTAAAGCTTTTAGGAGAACTGATCCAAAACCCTGCTGACTTGGGTCACACCTGCCATTGCTACAAAGAAACACACAGCCAGACACTTTAAGGTTTAACAAAGTAAAAAGGAAACATGAGATCTCCTCCAGAAGATGAAGTAGAAAACTGGATGTCCTTCACAGCCATTTCCTAACATATTTTTCCTCAACAGAACATCTTCTAGATCAACTTGTTCATATATTTAAACAACAACCAAACCCTATCAACACAATTCAGATTGCATGCAGAACACCCAAATACACATTTACAAAAAGCATATCCACCTAAAATAACACTGCACTCACCTGATGCACAGTGCAAGAAACCGCGCACACTTGTGAGCTATGCTCCGTCCAGCTTCAAAGAAACAAACACGGATTATATCAGATACACATCTGCGTGTTTTGGAAAGCAAGCTGTCGCTTCCTTCCTTTGAGCTGCAAAAACAAGGTGCATGCCTTACATAATCACATAAAACTGTTCTAATAGAGAAGATATTGACAAACATCTACACTAGTTTAGACACAAATTCTCTCTTACCTGCCAGGTCCATTTGAATATACTCCTGCTAGCCAACAAAGCGTGTCTAGCACAAGACTCTGAGCATGTTCGGTGGTCAAATCATCATCTGTCTTTTTGCAAAGAGTAGTGAGCAGCTTCTCATGGAACTCTGAGAACTGTAACATGGCACACCGCTGAACTCTGGGGAATGGAGGAGATTAAAAAAAAAAACAACAATTATTCAGTATGGTCACTCCCCTGTTCTCCTTCTAGTTTTGTAACCTGTCTTAAGGAAAAAAAAAAGCTGCCTTGATAACAGTTAAAGCAGTACATACATACATGACATCTTCCCTAGACGTTTAGATGATAAGGGACATAGTTTAGTAGGAAATATTGGGGAACGGTTGGACTAGATGATTTTGGACATTTTTTCCAACCTTGGTGACTCTGATTCCCAATATTTCTATTGGCTCAATTATTGTAGATTGAATTATTAATTATTGTAGATTTATTTTTTCCCCCTGTATTAACTCATTTAATAAGTTGTAAACCTAAGCAAACTTGATTGACTACAACATTCTTTCACAACTACTTGCACATATCTACTAATTCCAGTACATTAAAGAACCTGTTGCTAATTTATTCAGGATCCCCCTTACTTCATAGTTCTGACAAAAGCCATCATCAGAAAGCCATCACCAGAAATTTTCTGGAAAATGAAAAACAATGTTGTGCTGGAAGATTACTAATATCAACAGGCTTACAAGTCCATGGTCACTTTGAACCATTTTCAGAGCCATTCTTATTACAATATGCCTGTCCTTATGTTCTGAAGCATTTCACAATATGAAATTTCACTTCCACTAGAAATTCATCTCCTTCACCAAAGAATTTTAGGAGTCCTCCAGGATGAACACAAACCAGTCCTAAGCAATGTTCGCCTTGTTAGATCTGTAGCCTATTACAATTAATTACATTTTAGATAGGTCTTCTAAAACATCATCCATGCTAGAAATTCACATGCTTTAGATTTCTTTGTATCCTCCACCACAAGCACTGATGCAGACAATTCATTCTTTGTTCTGAATGCTTTATCTATATCTGATCATCAACTGAACCTACAATCCAAGTGACCAGATTCTGCTCCTGATGCTTAAAGTAAAATTTTTACTATAGCATACTATATACACTATGCTATTACTTACTTTTGCTCCTCATTCTTCAAATACATTTTGTTTTTGCTTATTTTAATGTAAACACACATCCTGTCTGAGTCCTTCTGTTATTTTCTTCAGGATGGGATATCATATATTTTGAACAATACCTTTTTATTTCAAGTACTTTATCTTTTTGTTTAAGACAGAAGATAAGGGAATAGCTGTCAATCTTTCTTCATAAGCAGCGCGTACTGGCCTCATGCTTTCGCTATCATGCTCTTCAGCAGTTTTAACTGCTGGCTGAAGGGATTTAAGTTTTCTCAGGTGCCCCTTAAATCTTCTTTTCAACAAATCTCAGTGAAGGCTGTACTCTTTCTTTATAACAAGCACCGCTGTGGAAGACTTCTTAACTTTTGTTGCTCCTCCAAGGATGTTCCTCCAAATACTCAAGTGTTCTGCAGCTGCTGTTATCAAATGACTAAGTTTTGAAACAGATTCTCCATCCCAACTTAAGAGTTGATTTCTTTTCTTGCATTTTCATTGACCATCTTTCCCAATAAACACTCATCAACTGCGTCCAAAAATATCATCTATGTTATATCCTAATGAGACACTTCTCTAAATCACTTACAGAAAATGAAGTTATTTTTATTTCCTGTCCTTGCAGCCCCTTTGATTACATTACAGCCCCTTACAATTAGTGCCACCATTGTGGCGAGGCAGTTGGCAATACAGATTAAATAATGTATCATTTATACAGCATTACATTTGTAGTACCAATACACAGAGACTTTATCTTCCATTTGAATAATAATAATAACCGAATTTGATTCTGTACTTTTTGACACATATTTTGTGCTAAAAGAAACAAGAAAACATGTAGAAATAAAAAGGAAAAAATACCTCTTTAAACGTCTGACTAAGTATTTTATCTAAATTATCAAGAAAAATTGCTACTATTTACTTTTCTCTTTACAAGTAGGTCAAGAAATCACTCAGAACACAGCTACATGCATTAAGGATTATATATGTTCTTCTACTTACACAGCAAAGCGCCCTCAAAATAAATGACTTACTGGACTTCTGAGATAAAACGTATTTATGAAGTGACAACTTCAAACAGCAATTTGTGCTGCGATATTTCAAGGAAGTACTTCATGAAGGCTCTAACTGAAACCAATACTCCTTATACATACAAAACATCCACTAACCTTTCCTTTGAAATTGAAGTTTTTTTAAATCTTCGAATTGTTACAGAGACTTCTTGAAGTAAGTCACAACCTCTAAGGTTATCTGATTTTCTTGACGAGTTACCAGCTTCAATTTTGCTAGACGGTTTTTCCTGATGTTTAGAGAGGAGGAGAGGGGAATTAAAGGATTTCAGAAATTGCACTGTTTTTCATTGTTGCATCTATTTACTCTGTTCAGAACAAAGTGCATACAGCTAAACAAAATCTCTCACTATAAGCACTGAAATATTTACAGCTTGTTAGCAACAGCACTGGGACAAGTCAAGATTTTTTAAGCTAAAAAAAGTACTTCGATATGCTATACTAAAGTGGACTACTTATATGCAGAGCATCAATTTAGCATTGTTTGTAGTTTATCATGTTCTAACCATTCTAATAAGAGGTACATCACATCATCCAATCTTCCAACCACAACAATCAAGAGTAAAAACACACATACAAATCTCATAAAAGGACAAGGTTGATCAGCTACTAAAAATCACTCACAAAAACAGAAGTTTCAGATTCAAACGCTCACAATAGGAACTAAACTTTCACAGAAGAAATAACTTTCAAGAAACAACTCTGCAACTCTGATTCTTGAAAGCGTTAATGCAACATAAACTCTTTTAAAAAAGTTATTTGTCATGGATCGTAGTTCTCTGAAGAGCTGGGTTTTTTTCTCTAGTGATCTAAACCATACCAATTCTACAACTTTAACACAAGTGTCTTTCTTGGCTATTCAGTACCTTGCCTGCTGCAACTTTTGCCAATAACGAAGCAAGGGAATGGCCCTTGTTTGTCTGTGGTTTTAGAGACGGTATTCTAACAACTGGCCTAATGCCACCATTGCAGATTTCTTCTGTTCCTCTGTCATTCACTGCTTTAACATGAATTAAAAATGAACGGTACTTGCCACCGGCCATGCCTGGAAATGAAGAAAAAAAAAGAAAGAGGCGGAAGAATACATGTAAGTCACAAGGGCAAGGTGTAACATCTTTCAGACATACAGCGTACACAAGCAGAGCTCAACCACATTAACTGTTATTTTAACATCAATAGTCACTATTGTGTTACATGTAGCAAAATTTATCAACATGAAGATGACTTCAAACCAAAGTCTGACAGCAAAAGTACAAGACGCAATTCAGACATGCATGCTTCATGTGAACAGCACAGTAAAGTGTTTTACCTTTGACAAGCTTTGGACTTGTTAGTGTCAACATTCCAGCGTGTCCTGACAGATCAAGTCCAGTAGCCAACCATACTGGACCACAGAGTATATCTTCCTTATGTTCCTCCAAAAATGGACACAACCTAAGACCTTAAAAAATATGAATAATACGGATCTGAACTACAAATCTTAAAAGTCATAAAATCACTTGCAGGGGTTAAAAATACACTGTGTCAAAGAGATCACTAAACACACATAAACTGAACATTGAAAAAATGATAAGCTACTTTAGGTTCACTTGTAGCCATTTTCCAATAAAATCAACAGAGGTAACTGACAGTTTTCAAATAACTTTCAGTTATATGAATAATACATCTGTGGAGAAGGACTTCGGAGTGCTAGTAGGTGAAAAGCTCAACATGAGCCAGCAGTGTGTCCTTGAAGGTCAGAAAGCCAAACATACCCTGGGCTGCATCTAAAGAAGCATGGCCAGCACATTAAAGAAGGTGATTCTCTCTATTCTTGTGAGACCTCACATCAACTCTGGAGCCCAAACACAGAAAACAAGTGGATCTGTTACAGCAGTTCCAGAGGAGGGCCGAAGAGGTGATTAGAGACAGCTGGAGCACCTCTCCTTTGAGAAAAGACTGAGAAAGTTGTGGTTATTTAGCCGATAGATTTGAAGGTTCTGGAAAGACCTTATAGCTACCTTTCAGTATTTAAAGGGGTCTTACAAGAGGCTCTTCATCACAAAATGTAGAGACAGAACAAGAGGTAATGGTTTGAATCCCCCCATCCCTGGAGGTGTTCGTGGCCAGGTTTGATGAGGCTTTGGGCAATGATCCAGCAGGCAGCCACCCAGTCCACAGCAGGGTGGTCTTTCAGATTCCCTTCCAACCTAAACTGTTCTGTGATTCTATGACAATATGTACACTGACCATCTTAGAACCACAAAATACACAACTAATAAAATGATGAACCAATGCATTCTGAGCCACAACCCCCACTAGGTCTTATTAAAAAAAAGTTAAAAAAAAATCAATTTGACCAATTTATCTATCTCATAGCATCCTGAAATCCTCCTTCACTCATCTTTCCGACAGTTCATAAGCATGAAACAGCTTTTTTCACCACATTTTCACTTTTTCTTTTAACTCTCCTTTGATTTCTCTTTCCCTACCCTGTGCAACATCTGCCTTGGAATCATGCCCTAGATAACACTGATCACATAAAAGGTAAGGAAGACTGATGAACAGACCAACAAAAAGAATCTAAGTTCTCAGCCTGAATCACTCCCACTATTAATTTTTCCTGTTAGGAATTAGTAGCTCTCTTCAGTCAGATTCAATTTGATTGCTGAGTCTTTCTAGCACCTTTTGTGGAAGACCACTGGTTATATTAATATATATTATTTATATATATAATATATAAATATTATATTATATATATAAAATATATATTATATATAAAATAACATATTATATATATATATATATAATAACAAAAATTATTTTAAAAAATCATATGACTATAAAAATAGGCAGATCAAGTCTGATAATGGCTGAAAAGTAACTGACTGGTTATGAACTCTTAACAAGCTGTTTATTATTTTTCCTGGTTTGCAGTTAGCAATCTCTTAAAAAAGCAAGGAACTCAAAACAATTATTTTAGAACTAGGTATGGAAATCATGTAAAATATTTCAGGAATACAGTAATTGTTTAAGTTAAGAAAGTATTTAAATTCAAATAAGTACTAATCTGTTTTGAAACATGAAAAGCCTTCAGCACAATCAGTTTATCCATCTATTTTGACTTTTAACTCCTACAGTAAAACAGCAGTGAGAAAGGCATCACTGAGCAGGATTAAGAAATGAGACTGTCTCAAATGGCTGAGTAATATTAATGGAGAAATTCCAGTATATAATCAAAGTAGAATTTTTAAAAAGCAAGCTTACATTTTAAATAAACTATAACAAGATAAATGAAACTTACACTGTGGTTCCTCAACATCCATATACTGCATTTCTTCACTGAATTCAACCAGTCCTGGCTTTCCATTTCTCTCAGTTTCAACATTATGAGCTGGAGATAGAGGAAATGTGATCTGTCTATCTACTGCTGCTTCTGGAGAATGAAAAATAGCATAATTTATAAACATTACTTCAGGCTCACGAAAAACGGAAGCAGTAGTTTTCATTGAAAATGTATCAGCTTTCTACATTTTTTCATATTAAGATTGCAATTGCAGTAAACATTAAAAAATATTTCTTTGAATGACCATCCAAGTGTCTCCACCTAGCAAACAACTGAAGATTGCTCCAAAGTAATTGGATTTCAGAATTGAAATTTTAATGAGCTAAAATAATTGTTTTTCACACTGAACATCAAGATATTATTTTGATAATGCTTAAATACAGTTCTTTTTCCAATTAAATGGTTCTTAAAAAGCATAGATCAGAAGACACGTGAATTGTTTCAACTGTTGACCTTCAGTATGAATAACTATTGACAGCAATTTTGCTTTTGTTTGATGACTACAGGATTCAAACAACACAGAATAAGAATTTGGTTCAAACTTTCTGAACCATCACTTTTATGTGATTTTTTTTTACAAAATCAGGATTCTGAAACTGTTTATCAAGTTTGCTTTCCCAATTTACTTTCTAACATGTTAAGTGAAAAAAGTGAACACGATCCTGAGAAACAGAATAAAAATAAGTAGAAAATGAAAATATTTACATAATTTCAACCAAGTCTTCGAACGTACCTCAGAGAGAACACTGATTTTGAAGAAAAAAAAGACACCTCAAGTCCTTTCTTACCATTGACTTTTCCTAAGCCTGGAGCTTTATTTTTCAGCAAAGTCACTTGAATCTGGGGAATGTTCGTGATGTTTGAGTTCAAAACAAATTTGAAGTCCACATGTCCAACCATACAAGCTTTTGGAAGAACCAGCTCGAAGACATGCTCATCCCAGCTATTGCTGCGAAGGAAAAAGGAAAACAAAGATAAATTATTAAGGTTCAGATCACTTAGGGAGCATTATCTAATGCATTCTCCATCTATGCACGTGTTCCTTAAAAAAAAAAGAAGAAAATATTTGACATTAGTTGATATACACATTCTTTTCTGAAGTAGAAGGAATTCAACCTTGCTCAAAATTGATTTTGTGAAGAACAATTTAAAAGCCAATTGACTGGGGGGGAGGAGGGCAACAGAACAAGTCAATGACTGAATAAAAACAGTAGTGAAGATTCCACATTATCTTCACTACAGTACTGCTTCTGTACTACTACAAATATCAGTTTCATTTCTAGCAAAAAAAACCCCAACATGCTAAACAAGGATTTTCCAATTGCTGAACTGTATGAAAGCATGATAGTAACTGTCTTGCAACGTTGTAAGTTGGTCTTCTGCACTGTTAACTGTTAAACAGTGTTGCTTTACAGCATTAGAACAGCCACATCCAGGAAGCTCAAAGTATTAGTTTCAAAATATATATATATATATATACATTTCACATACTTGGTAATTTATACAGGGTGAGAAGTGCTTCTTACCACATGCACACCCTGCGCTGAGTAAAATGGGTGCAGCTTTCTTTTAATGAGTCACATTTTCCTTTAAAAGCCAATTTTGTTTTATACTGAAATTATAAACTAAGGAGAAGTTTCACAGCTTGATACAAAAGGGTTTGCAATAAATACTTCAAACTGAAGAAAAGAGCAATTCAAATAAACTAATAGTGAGTGAATTGTCATATTATTTAAGTTAATAGCTCTTTCAGATCAATTTATCAGTAAACAATTTTTTTAAAAAATGTAAGAGGTGTTCTCTTTCAAAGAACACAGTGTTCCTAAAATGAATCTACACATTAAGTTAAATCATCAGAAGACACTAATGAGCAAATTCTGAGGCAACAGATAGGTAAAGTAATCCAGTTTTTTTCTGCCGCAATAAACCAGATTCGTCCTTCAAACTCATTTTGTATATTGTGGGAGTTTAGAATTAACCACAGAATTTGAGAATGGTTTAATTTTCTCTTCAATGACTATTTAAGAAGTTAACCATCTGCCTTTTAAGGCATTTGTTTCCACCTCAGCAGCCCCAGATGCACTTGAGGCCTTTGATGAAGAAGAGAGAATTCAGGAGCTTTGCTGCAATGGCAGCAATTAACAGCCTGTCCAGGAAAAGCAGGGCTGCCAAACTATCAAGTAGGTATAATGGCAGCACTGTTCATGCTGCAGTAGAAAAATTCTAGGCCAAGAGGAAACTAGAAGTCAAGAAGTTTAAAAAGCATTTGCAATTCAGACACAGCACAGTACAAAGCACACCATTATACGCTTCTAGTTATTTACTGCTGATCTCACAGAAAACCAGTAACAGAATTTGGAAGTTCCCTCCTGCTTTCAGAAAAAAAAGCAGTACTGAAAATTATTTACTTTGGGAGGTGGTGAAAGATGGACAGAAGAAAGCTTGTGGTTTTGATTTAAGAAGCAACAGTGAAAAATTTTCAGCTAACAAGTATAAATAGATAAATGAAATAATGAAAATGTATTCCAGAAGCCCGGGGAAAAGATTTACCAAAAACAATACTAAAACCTTGTCAGAATCATTCATGCCTTTCCTGGGTCTCGTAGGATATTACACCCTATTCAAAACAGAAGGTGTGGAGGTAGGTTTTTGTTTGTTTTTGTTATGTTTGGATATTGCTATAGAAACTGTGCAAAACATGAAGTGAATGAGACATTCAAAGGAGCAAACCTTCAGAAACACTAAATAATCTGTTCATCCAGTTGAAGCAAAAGTAACACGCAGGCTGGTTTACAGTGGTCTGCTATGACTGTATGTTGGAAAACACACACTGTCATACTAAGTTAGAGCTGTGTATGGTTTACAATTTTTTTTTTTTTTGAGACAGAAGTCAGTAATAGATGCTCCAAAGGAACTTTTAAGTATCTAGCAGGTATACATGTTATAACGGCCCTACAAGAAGGCCCCATATTCATCTCCAGTACTGAAGAGATTTTACCTGTGGCGATGAATAGTCTGGTTATAGTATGAGTGAAAAGCTCCCCTTTCATCAGTTTCTGAACTCTCTGAAATCCTTGTAATATTACAGTGTCATTTTAAAAAAGAACACACAAGAAAGACTATGTTCTAAATGCAAGTTTACCATCATTCTCACAGCTACAAAATATTTTCCAGCACCTCAATGTTTCATCTTTCATGACAACTGAACTTGGAGCTGCACATCCATTTCCAGAGGTTGAACACTGCGAAAAACATGAATATCTAACTTTTCTTTTATTCCCTTATTTTTGAAGTATGTCTGTGTAAGATGAATACATACAGTATCTCCTAATGAAGTCTGAGAAGATTAGATGTCACTAATTAACAAAATACATAAGGAATTCTTTTCAAAAAAGATTCACTCAAGACCTAAGCTCAATTTGTCACTGATGATGTTCATATGGTTATTCATTGGTAAAACACTCTGCTTCTTTGATTTTCCTTCTCATGTTGCTTTTTAAAAATAACAATAACTGACAAAGTTTAAAGTGTAACATAGTGAGCTTCCCTGAAATACATCTACAAAATTATTTCCTTGTAGCTATTTATTAAACACATGAATTACTGTATCAAATTGCATTACTCATCCATCTAACCTTGTAATCCTGCTTTTTTATAAGAACTGGCATAAGACACAAGGAAGAGATAAAAGAAACTTCATTTTATAAACCAAGAAAATAATCCAGAAGTGAACAAGTTTTTCCCAGACAATCTTGAATTATGAACCTCAATCTTAAAAATCTAGATTTTATTCTACAAACAAATGGACAGCAATTTGTCTAAATGTCATTAACATCTGTTAAAGGTATATATTTATTTCTCTACGTTCCTATTTTACTTCGCAGCATGTATAAATCTTTTCCTGTAATTAAGTAAATATTAATAAGCTAATGGTCCAATTTAGAGCTATTACCTTCAATGTTTTGTTTTTTGTAACTATTTGATAGCTTTTTACTTTTTCACCTGTTGCTGAACACACTAGATAAAGTTATTACTAGAAGTTATTTTCTAGGAAACCTTTTCACTTGGCATAAACAGAATACTTCACTTACGCAAAGCAAAATCACAAGATAAAAGCAGCTTTCAAAACCTTTTTTAACCACAGCTTATGAATATTTAAGTTAAAGCAAATTCAGCTCATTCTAGGTGTCAGCCCTGGAATGCCTGCCTCCTTACCTTCCAGGCCTGTTTTACCATCTCAAACGTGCCATGAACATACGCTACCTTTCACTTATTTATGCATCTTTTTTCCCCTCCACATATGACCTCCAGTCCCCCTAGTGTGCTTTGGCTTCTTTGTTTTCAGCCTATTGGTGTTTAGATTCTGCATTAATATCAAAAACTTGCACATCACTTTGATGAATGTGTAACAGCTGGAGCCAAAAAACCTTGCAGTACCGTATTCTACACTTTCATTACAAAAAAAAATAAAACAACCACCAAAACACCACACTACACAACTTACAGCTATACTCTGTAACTCCCAAAGAATTCCAAGTTCAAAAGCCAAGTGTAAAAAGAAGTAAATAAATAAAAATCAACTTTGCATAGATACTGTGCCAGCATACTTTCCATCAAAGAAAATTTTGCCTAAGTTTCAGCACAGTAAAGGTTCTCTGTTGGCTCAAGTAAATGTCTCACATATAAACCAATTTTATTTGACAGAAACATACATAAATCCAGGTTCATCATTTGCAAGCAATTTGAAAAAATAGCTAAAAATAGCAAGAGGATTCTTTTCTAACAGAAAAAGAAGAATATCTAATTCTGACAAATATACTCACCTAATAAAAAATAATCATGAAATAGAAAAATACATGAATACACTACAATAACTATGCCATGAAGAGTTGCCTTGCAACCCATAAGATAAGGAACAGACTCCATGAAAGTGCATGTTCTTAAACTTGCACAGTTTAAAAACAGTGAAGTCACTCAAAATTTGTGATGACAGCATCTACGCACAGAATTCTTTTTGAACCACTATTCTACTTACCTGTCTGTCTGTAGCTTCCAAGTTCGAGTGTGCTGAGCTGCATCTCCATGGTGCTGCTGGTGCAAATGCTGAGGATGCCTCCTTTGCTGCTGTTCTTGCTGGACTTCAACCCAACAGGGAGGGACAGTGGCTGAAAATCGTGGTGTCAAGGTCTCAAAACGGGTCAGTTCTACCAGAGATGTCAGTGTTTCAAGGGAAAATGGCTGGTCCACCAAAAGATCAACTCCTGAATAATTACAGAACATAAATACTTACTACACAGATTATTTATTTCTCCTTAAAACATCCTATAAACATTTTTACATTAAAATCAAACTGCTATATATAAAGTTAGCTACGTGTGACACGAAGATAAGTTAAAAAAAAAAAGGCTATGAGGACATTGAGACACAACTAGAACCATCACAATGAAGAAGCTAGCCAGTTACATTTTAAGTTGTGTAAAGCCAATTAAAACATTTTTTACACACTTCTGGACTTAGAGTAAAGAAAATGAAAATTTTATATTCCAACAGGCACATGGCATTAGTATGAAATGTTAACATTTTATAACAGTTGTTTAAAACATTATTTTGGCACACCCTTATCAATGCAGACTTGTTTTATGGTGGTTTATTAGAATGTTTTTGAAGCTCTCAGTTTACCTTAACAGAAGGATACATGAAAAACAAGCATGTTATATGCAATGCTATATGCAACCTAAAAGACATTGGGCCTAGATAAATATTTTGTCTCCATATGCAAGTCCTGTTCTGAAGAAACAAGTTTACAGGATATTCATCAAAAAAGTACTGACAAATAAAATATCTCAGGAAGACAAATCATTACAAAGCAAACATTACAAAGGAGCACTTAAGACAGTCTTCTTTAGACACAGAGGTTGAAAACTTCACAGAAAGTAAGGAATGCATCGTATCAATTTTCTCAGATTTTTAACATTTTCTCTTACAAGTTAAAAAAAATAGAGAAAAGTTTTAGTTGTGAAGAAAAAAGCACCAACAAAACAAATACCACACCCTCAGCACTAAGTCTGAACCATGCTACATTGCAAAGAAAGTCAGAGCAAAATCAGGTTACCAACAATACCACATCCTCCAGCTTGAGAGAGAACATAAGCAATTCTTTCAGAAAAGTGATGAAACTCAAGATGACAGACTCAGAGTCAGGCAGAAAACTCACTCTTATTGTAACAATTATTACTTTTGCTTTTTCCATCTATGAGGCGGAAAAATGCTGAAGAGATTAAAGATGGCTCAGAAACTTGATTTTAATAACACAAACATCTTAATGTACAGCTAGACACATTTAAACATGAACCGTTTACCTGTAATGCCTGGACTAGAAGGGTTAGATAATGGCTTGATGCCTTCTGACGACTGCTCTACACTTTTAGAAAGGGATCCATCTACAAGTATATCAGTTTCATCTATGTCATCACATGTTCCTCCAATCTGAAGGAAATGAAGTTCTCCACCTAAAATCATCAAAGTCGATGAAAGAAGTTTAGACAGGCATACAGTTAAACTCAACTAACAAGACAGCCTTCTTGTCAAAGTGCTACACAGTTATTACTGTAATTATTGAATCTGGTATTTCATTTTGCTTTACTGCTACAAAAAAAGCAGAAGAACTACAAAAATACTAACTCCACTTGTGAAGAGCATGAAAGGAAAGAAAATATTAGGGGAGAGAAAAACAAAAGATAATTAACCAAACAAGCCCCAGCAGACACCTCAAATTATATCCATTGTTACACTTTCTGTAACTCAAACTATGCTTTAAACAGAAAGTATTCCATCACATCAACTGACAGCATACTACCTTGTTGGTACATGTTGCATTAATTTCCTTCCAAAGTTCAGTATCCGAGAAATGAAAAAATTATTTTCCTACTCAGGTCTCCTACCTAAAGAGCTCTTTGCATTGTACTATTAGAATAACAACACTGATTTGGTCAACAGTCAAAACAGTAATTCCAAATCTTTCAACAGACAAAATGTTTTGCTAGAGACTTGAAACTGTTTGAGGGAGTTGCCTTGAATGAATTCACCGCCAAGTGATGCACACAGACAAATTCTGTCATTTATCAAGAAATCAGTGAGAAGAAATGTTCAATTTTACATAGCATTGGGGAAAGAGTGTTACCAGATACAGTAGTTGCAAAATCCTAATAAGTAGGACTTAAATAGAAAGAAAATTCCTGGCAGGCCTTCTACACTTTTTTCTGAAAACTGACTGCAGAATGCTGTTCAGCTCTTACATTGTTATGAAAAACCTTAATAGGCAAATTATCCAGATAGACTAAAACAAACCAACTTGAGATAACATAGCTAATGAAATCCAAAATAAAAGCATAATTGGCAGGTACACTGAGGGAATGTGGGGAAGTAAAACACACAGATGGAAAGGCACAGAGAGATGGTGTATTTCAGTAAGACCAAAAAAACGGCTTAATAAAATTGTTGTTTTAACAAAACAGAATTTAAAGAGGAATACAATAACTTGGATGACCAAAAAGAAATCTTTCAACACACAGAATCAGTGCAGAATGTCATGGGAAAATCCATACTGAGTCCAAGCAATGCTGCACGAACACACAGTTTCCTGGTGTTTGAAGAGATGTAAGATTCACTATTTTTTTTTCTTAGAACATTCATTATTTTTCTTCTTAGAACAACTATTTTATTGGGCCTTTCCTACTGAGATCCAGTAAGAAGCCCCCACACACTTACCCTGCTGCAGAACAGTACATTAGTAATAGATGCCAAGAGTCAGCAAAGAAAGAATAGTTCTAGTATATACTTAAAAGCTTGTTTCCTTGATAGCTCACCAACTAGCAACCTTCTTAAATAACAAGGCTTAGAAACATATTATTTAATGTAGACCTTAACAGCTTTATTTGTCGGTACATCAAAACATGCTTTCTTTCCCATTATGTTTATAGCTCAAAGATCATTTATCAGAAAGATCTCAGTGAACAAACCTGAGAATCTCTTGTCCTGGAAATAATTAAGCACACTGTAATGCAAGGAAAGTTAACAGATTGGCTTGGCCATCTGCCATTTTATGTCTCAGAGCAGGAGAAAGGCTGAACAACTTAGGAAGGCTGTGGGTTTTTCTAAGGGAGTTGTGTCAAGGTTCTCTTATTCTGTAGTTGGTTTGGTTTATTCTGTTTTGTTTTAAACAAAAGAAATAATTCTGGATTCGATCATTTTCAAAGAGGCTTCTGTCACTACAGCAGAGTACTGTTAATTAACAGCAAGCAAAAAACTGCCTTACACTTTTATCCATGCAGCAGATTCCTGCATTCTTCAAAGACATATGCTTCCAAGAAAAAATTCTGTGCTGAGATATCTTACTTCCTCATATTTGTTTTCAAAAAGCTTCTGTAAAGAAGTTTATCATGAACACCAGTAACACAGGATTAGCCCATAAAACAATTAAGTGCTCATGCAAACTTCCCGAAACTCTGCAGGTGGCTTTGCTTCTGTATCACAGAAGCAGCAAATACTCTCATAGAACATTCAAAGATGCCCTTTTGATGATGCAGTTACCTAGTTTCTATAGTCAAGTGTCACTAAAAATCCTGAGCAAATTTCTTTTGTTGTTTTGTTCCTACTGGCTCAGTGCATATACTACCAGGCTCTAACACTGACTCACATGGTATTCTCTAGCTCTAGTAGTGAGCATGATACGTAGTAGTTTAACTCAAGATGCTGCTTTTATCACTTTTTAGCAGAGATGACAAATGATTCTGTTGCACTAGCAAGAAGATACAAAAGCTTACACTGACTTACTCAGTGAGCACCAAGGAGAATAAGTGGAAAAATATTATCATTATACTTCCAGAAAGTAACAGGTAAGACATTCAAAACATAGCTTATTTAATTCCAAATTATATTTTAAATCTGTATTTTGCTTGGACTCAGGAACCTGGTGGATTATATAAACACAATGTAAAAACCATAAATCCATTCAAATAAATCCCAACCTTCCTCCAAGCAAAACAGTGATCAGCTCCAGGAAAGCAGCACTGACACAAGATAGAGAACATGCCAGAGACAAGGCTTCTAGAGTCAAAGTCAATCTGGTGGAGCGTTCAACAACCTGAACGTATCTTACATTCTGGAAGGAATTCAGACTAGTGACACAATCATTGATAGCTGCCACAACACGAGCACAGAATCAAACAATACTCAAATAGATACAGGAATTAAAAAAAAAACTAAGCTGAACCACAGGAAACTTGCCACTAAACTTCCAGTCCCTCTCGTATCTTCAGTGGACAGCACAGAAAGGATTAGCTTGAAAATTACTAGGTTCAGAACCCTTCAAAAATTTGCCCAGGAAATCTTACTAAAAGCCTCACTCCAAAAGAATGTTCTCTATTCTTGGAAATCTAAGCTGTTAAATTCCATCCTGGTTTATGAAAAAAACAGAATGCAATTAAACAGGGAGAAGTGAGAGTTACTACTTCTAGCAAGAAATAATTAAATGCACTATTATGGGACGAAGAAAAAATCAGCTAGCCAGCAGTTCTGCAGAAGAGAGTCTTGTGAGTCATAATATAAATCTAACTCGGTTTCCTGCCTACAAGTGCAAACATCTTAGTATGTATATGCACACAAAGAACGTACAAAGTGCAGTTACTAAGGAATTATCTTCTATTCAATAACATTTGTGTCTGCTTTTTGGGTCAAGAAATGTGGACTGGTTTGAGAACGTCTTTTGGGAAGGCAGTGATGTGTTTTTCTTCTTTGTTTTTTTCTTTCAAAGCCCTACAGGAAAGTTTAAAGAATTGGAGATATTTGGTTTATGAAAACAAGTCATTGGAAGAAGACAATATCTGCCTTTTTCTTTTTTTTTTTTTTTTCTCTATAGCAGCCTTTGCCATGTCCACAAAGGACACAACAACAGATTTCAATCAGCAAAGATTATGCAGATGAAACCAGAAAAGAAAATTATCAATGATAGGTTTTATCAGAAGAAATTTTGTGAACAGACTGATAATGTCACCCATGTTGAAAAACTCTAAGAATAGGCTGATCTCCCTCTGAAATACTAAATGTAATTGATCCTGACTTGAAGATGATTTCTTAGGATCATTTCCAGCATTAATTCTGCTGCAGCAAACAACTCAGCCCCTCCTCATCCCCATTTAGAACCCAAGGACTATGTAGGCAGCTTCTTTCTATTTTTGTTTTCAGTGTTCTGTTGAAATTGATTAATATTCTCCATCAAACTCAAGAGCAAGAAATGTGCTGTAATTGAGAGGCACAAGATTTAGTGGCATTAATTCCCAAAAGTGTGAAAGCATCATCCAGTTCTGTCAGGCTTGCAACAAGAAATACTAGTACAGACAACTCATTTTTGACAAGATCAAAAGTCAGTCTGAAAAAAAAAACACTACCCACTAATTCCCTCTCAAAGAGAAATCACACCAAAATAACCTCTTACAGCGTAACACCATAGGTAATGTCTTGGCAAGACTACATAAATGAGAAATCTAAATGCGCTTATAAATTAATGTGTAACAGATTTGTAAGAGTGGTTACATACAGTGTTTGTGGTCTTCTTTCATAGCTTCTAACTCTGAATGATTTAGAAAAAGACAATAACCAACTGAACTGGTGCGAGACCAACCAGAGCCTAACTTGGCCAAGGGAAGAGAGGAAAATAAAATACCAACAGATTAAAGTCTATATTTTTCGTTGACAGAACTGGAACCAAGAATATATCCCCTCCCAGAGGTCAACTACAGGCAATCCTTGACAAAACAGACAGAAGCATTTTAGGCTGATACCTAGATGCACTGTTTTTCAACTGTGATAAGAATAAATATTCCCAATTACAGACATGGATGACGCAGGTCTAAAACATATTTATGTATAAACACTCAAAGCCTGTAACACTCATTCACACAGAGGAAACATTTCTCTTCAGTTATATCTTAAAGATGCCTACAGACAAAATGGTATGATACACTGAAGACAGACAGTATGTCAACAAGTACCAGCAACAGAAAGAGTTGACTATTCTACACACAGAACTTTGAGAACTCAAAGTATGTCTTTGCCTCTTCCCATCATCTGAGCAACTGAGAATATGCCGCACACCCTCTAGTCTTGAAGAGTTCATAAATCAGAGAAAATCATGATTTGGAAGAGACCCTCAAGGATAATCAAATCCAACTCCTGGTTTCACACAGGATGACCCAAAATTCAAACCACACATCTGCCCTGGGGAGCCAGTGCCAATGCCTGGCCACCTTCCGGTGAAGTCTTATCCTAAACCCCAACCTGACCTCTCCCATGCCCCCAGTGCAGTTCCATGCCGTTCCCTCAGCCCTGTCGCTGTCACACAGAGCAGAGCTCAGCGCTGCCCCTCGACTCCCTGTGAAGGAGCTGCAGCCACCATCAGGCCTTCCCTCAGCTCTTCTGCTCTGGGCTCAGCAAACTGAGAGGTCTCAGCTGCTCTTTGTCCATCTCACCCTCCAGACCCTTCATCACCCTCACAGTCCCCTCTAATAGTTTTATCTTTCTGATACTGTGGTACCTAAAACTGTTTTTCAACAGCATTCAAGCATTTCCAGTGCACAGAAGCTCCAAACGTTTTACTGAATATTTTTACCTATGTCACTGCACTGCAAGCTATTTGCTGGGATTAACATTCAATAAATCAGTGAATGGCTCCATTCCCCTCTCAACACAAATCCTCATTACACTGTCAGTCTGCAGGGATCACCATATTCACAGCAATTAGAACTGAAGAGCAAAGACTGCAAAGGGATTTTGGAAGAAGTCTAAGAAAACAGTGTTTAAGAAATAAATAATTAAGAAAAACACCTTCTCAGTCACCTGACAGATAAGCAAGAAATTTTAACCTTCTTACATTAGAAAGATTAAGGATAGCCATGACTGAACACAACAGACGTTAAGGGAATTCTATGCAAATGTAGAGCAAATAATACAACAAAAAGGTTGTATCACTAGTAAAGCTTTCTCATTTGCTTTTTCTTTTCGTTTTTCTGGATTTTATGCAGTACAGTTATATAAAACACATTTAAGCTACATTCATTCCTTAAAAAGCCTCAAATTTCAGCATAAAACACTCGGACTCCAAAGCTTCAGTGCATCTGGTATAAAATCCTGGAACTCAGACTACTAAACTAGGTATTTTTTATGGCTTTGGACCTGATTTCTCAGAAAAACTATAGCAATAGAAGTGCCTGAACTGTCAAATATGAACAGAAAAACACTGTGTTTCTTAAAAAATATTTAACAATGTTGGATGGATGGTCTAGCTCTCACAGTCAAGGCAGAGTAATCCCAATTACAAAAAGGCCTAAGCAGAACCAGCAGTCCTGTGAGAAAGTAAATAATCTTAACTGGTAACTGGTGAAGGTACAAAAGCATCACCTTCTCTGCTCTCTCGAGTATCTACAATTATATACAGAAGACATTATTCTGAAACAGAGAAATCTAGTATAGAAATAGTTACACATAAGAATTACTTTGGGGATTTTTTTCTGTCTGGGATTTAAGCAAATCTGTGACACTACAGCAAGAAGTTCACCAATATACTGGACATAACCAAAAGTAATTCTCATTTTAGAGATTAAAATCCACATTTGGGAGAAGGAATCAACCCATGCTCTCTACTACAAAAGTAAACAGCATATAAATTAAAAGGCATTTGCCAATTGCTATTTTGAGATTTGTATTCTAACATCCAATACTACAATACAACTACAGTGAAATAAACATTAAGAAAACAGCTTTAAAAAAGCCTTACCTTTAGTGCACGCACATAGTCTGTCTGTGCCCGAACAGTATATCACCGAGACAAACATATCTGGTTCCTCAGTGCCCTCTTTTTTAGGTGGCTCCACTTTGGCCAGAATTTCAAAGTTTGAAAGATCTAGTATTTTAACATATCCTCCCTGAGTAGTTATTACCAGGTGCCCAAGAGTAGAGATCTCAGATCTTCTCTCTCTCCCACTGCCATTTTTAGAAGTTAATTGTATTTCCTCTACAGGTTCTTCACAGTCATCCTCTCGATTATCCAATATATCTGGTGGGAGTAAAATCATTGAGGTAATTGTGTCTTGGGGGTCTTTGATATGCTGGATTTTTACCGGTTCCTCCTCTAAAGTAACTATTCTAGTGGCATAATTCATTTTATAAAGCACTAGGTATCCACCACTAACACTTCTCTGTTCAGGCTGAATTATTAAAGGAGTTGTTACATCTGCTGGTGGCTCATGTTGGATTACATCGATACTTGTGCCATTCACTACAGCAAGACTTGATTCTATTTCACCCTTCCTTCTATTACATAGTGCTGAGTTTAATTTATTTAAATTATTCAAGGCCTCTACTTGATTTATTGCACTCAGAGATTCGACAGGACAAGTCCGAAGTCCTACTAATAAATGAACTCCATCTGCACAAGGAGTGATTGAATCTACACACAGGTTCTCCTCCTCTGCAAACTTTGGCAGACGCAGGCACTGAACCAATGTCCCAGGCTTGGGAACCATGGAGCTCCACTTGTCCGAGTCTGGAGAAGTTAGGTTGGCTGCAGCATCTGCAAACTGCTGAATATAAGTCACAGGGGGATCCTGTAACAGCAACTGTTCTTGACTGTCCAGCTCCATTTCAATGATCTGTGGAACCGTGAAACCATCTTCATGTATACTTTTACTTATAAAGTTCACCTGTGAAAAAAGTTTTCCTCTTTCATCAGACTCCTTAATGCTGTATAGCAGCAATACAGGTAAAGTCCTCCTTACCAGAGGGGAATTCAGTTCAGAAATAGTGCAGGATTCATTGTCAGTTGATCCCTGTTCTGAGACACTCTCACCTCGAGTCCTGCTTAAGCCATCCAGTGACCGCTGAGAGTTACTGCTAACAGGAGAGGTAGCAGGTGATTTGTATGTTAATAGACCTCCAGCTAATAAACAAGGAAAGGGAATGTTGTGTTGCTCCACGTGTTTTTCCTTCATCTTTTCACTCTTACAGTTGGCCAAGCAGGGGTTTGCCCCAAGTTCTTCTAGATCCTTAACCGTGTCTTCTAGAACATTTGCAACAATTTCCCACTGAAGTTTTTCAGGCTGCTGGAGAATGCTGAGAGCTGTTATATCGAGGTTGACTTCCATGGTTTCTTTTTGCGATGTATGCCCTTTAAAGCAGAAATTTTTAATATATGTTCAAAAAAGGTATTGCAGTATTGCATATGTTACACACTCTCATGATTAAGAGAAAGTTACTGCTCCAGACTCAGTATGTTCCAACGTTCTGTTTGTTCAGGACTTAACAGTCACGAAACAATAGAAAAGGCCTAGAAACATTCCCTCAACACGAGCTCTTGTGTGTATGCACATCCTATTTTTCCTCCCCTGTTGCTCTCAATTCAGAGGAGCAAACTGATTATGAAAAGCAAGCACGTAAATCTTCCGTCTCATAAAAATTTCTGCTTAAACACAGAAATACTACACATAGCACTGTTCTGCTTACATCTGAAACCTTTGTTCAGAAAGAGAAAAAAGCTAATTTTTATCAAAGACCATATACAGAAGGAAATTAGATACGGAACTCTCTCTAACAATCCCCTGAATTTAAAGGGCTTTTCACAGCTGTCACTTGTTCTTTTTCTCAGTAAGTTTCTTTAACAGTTTTTCTTTTCTCTTATGTGTACTCTTTCCACCACATGAATGACAACTATTGCCACTGCTTTCTAGGTCAATTTTTTTTCTTTTTTCCTCCTAATACCATGAATACAATATTCTCTGCTTTGGACAGGGTTTAAGAGCCTAAGAACAACAGTTTCCTTCCTGACCTCTACATAATACATGGATCAAATATAACCTACCTGTTACAGATTCTGATCTGGAATGCTCTTCACTGTCTGAATCATCCAATAGGTCATCACTGAAAAAAAAAAAAACCCAACCATATGTATAAATGTCACCATGTACACTGCTTGCATTCCTATTATTCAATAAATCAAATTAGTTAAAAAAAGTATCAAATCTTTGCTATTACCCTGTATTTTTTTAGTCACCATCTGTATCTACTGATGAATTCGTAACAGACGCCATCATAGTGATTTTGTCAACAGACATTGAGCCAGTAGAGCAAATTCTGCTTTTAACTAGTCTCATTCTGCTATTGAATTGCCAACAATTCAGACATAAATTAAACGAAAACGAAAACCAGTTCTCAGAAATCTTTAAGAAGGAAAAGCTTCCTAAAAACTGATGACACCCTTTTTAAAGTTCTTCAAAACAGTCTCTGAAAGGTGGAGCTGTCAGACTGGTTTTCAATTCTACTAACACAATCTTGCAGCTAACACAGACACTGTCACAATTCAGGATAGTCCTGTTCCAGTCATGTGTAATGTCTTCCTCTCTCACACTGCAGTTACCAACATCATCCTCCCATGGTTCAAAATAATTGAATAAGTTCTAAATTTTTCAAAAGAAGAATAAGCACAAAAGACACAAGCAAAAACACTCCCTTCAGGAAATCAGATACAATCTTCATGTTGCTTTTAAAAATACTACCAGATGAGTCGTGTTTTCATAAAGGCAGATTCTGTTCAAGATCATTCTTCATGAGAAACAGGTTGTTCAGTAGTTCTAACAATATACAAAGCTTTACACATTTGGCTTTTCTAATAGGAGAAACAATTTCCTATTACAGGACCTTTAAATACAGAAAGAACAGTAGTGTCTTCGTACCTTTGGATTTAATAACTCCCAGTACCAAGATAGATCCCCACATTTAAACAAACTGGACACCTTCTCCTCTGGCCCAAGATAAAAGTCTTTTCTTTTGACTCAAACCTGATCAACCTTTATTTCATCAGACAAGAGCAACAATTCAATTGTTTATCATCCACCCTCCTCTTGTGTGGGAAATGCATAGCAAGCTTCATATGCATTAAGTAGAACAGAAGACACTTAGTCTTGAGCAGCATCACTGTATTATTTTGTGTGAGCTTTAATGAGAAAGGAGTTTCTAGTAACATACTGTAAGCAGCGTAAATGAAGGAGTACTACTTACACTCGCATGGCACTTCCTAAGCATCAGTATATGCTTTAACTTATTTAAAAGTTAGTCACAAATGAAAATATCTCCTACCACAGCCACAAGACTTATTTTATGACTGACATAAACAAAAATTAAGTAGATGCAATCAGAGAAAACACACTTTCTAGAAATCTAAATAATCTTCATTTTCCAACCTGAAATACATAATCCATAATTAAAATGAAAAGGCATTTCCAAACTTGTATTCCTTGCTTTTTTCCAGCTTCAGAACACCAGCATAGAATAGCAATGGGATTAGGTATTTCTTTATTAGTGGAGAATGAAAAACTGAAACAACAGGACTAAAATGGAACTGGCTTTCATTTCATTTTCATTTTATACATACTTTTTTTTTTTTTAAAAGCAATGAATTGAGTGAACACAGTCATTTACAAAAAACTATCTCCACGAAAACACTCTTACTGATCTCATGTTTCAAAAAACATGAACTTAACAAAATGACATACCTGTCTCCTTCCAATTTTGGTATATCTGAGCAGCTAGATGAATCTTCTAGCCATGCTAGTGTTGGTCTCCTTGAGTCAACCCCTGAGCTCTGTTCTCCCGATAACATAAGTTGTTGCACAATAGCTGGATCATATGCATTGATCTCAAATTTCAAGTGGACCTGAGAAATAAGAAAAAGCAGAAGAGGCCTTAACTTATATCAAGATGCTTAAATCACAAGTAACTAGTTAATAATTCTTTATATTGTATACCTTCATAAGTTTGGAAACATCCCATATGCAGATCTTCCCTCGCTTTGTCGCGGCAGCTAGAAAATGAGGGCAACTTCCAGATCCAAAGCAGGCTATTCTGTCAGTGCCATCTGTGCAGGGAAATTGTGCTGGACTTGTTGCCAGTGTGACTGAAAGAGGTACATTCTGAGTGTGCTCACCCTTGACAAACGGGCAGTTTGGGGAATGTCTCTCATGTTCAGACCTTTTCACATTAAAAACAGACATATCAAAAATGATTTCTCACATCAAAAATACACACATCTTACACAAACTCACATCATGAAGTGAAGCTGAAAGTGAACCATTTCTGAAACTGAACGCTTCTGCAGTTGGCTATACAAGATCATTCAGAAGTTACTAAAACAGCTTTCCCTACAATTTCTCTATAGTAGACTTGATTAAAGTCTTTGATCATTTGATGGATAGTCAAATTCAAACTGAGGAAGCTGTCCATCATTTAGAAAAATCCATCCATTTTATTGAAAAAAAAAAATAAAAAATTCTACAGGCAGTAGCCCATTATGATATCACAAAGAAAAAAGGCATACTTTAGATTACCGTTATTGTTAGATTATTATAAGTAGCTTTAGTAAGAAGCAACAGTGTCCTATCTTTAGTTTTAAATCCACAAAGAAACTGAAATTGAATAACACACTGACCTAGAAGCATAAAAAAACAGTAAGCATCTAAATTTGACAGAAGCAGAGAAATGGCAAAGAGCAATTACACTACTGCAAAATGTCTGGAAACGAATGAGGAAAAAGAGATGAGGAACTGTGAAAGGTAAGGCTAAAAAGAAAAGGCAAGCCAGAAATTCATTTTGTTCAAATAATGATCATAAATTAACAGCCAAGACAATAATTATACTGAAGACCCTTTGAAAACCAAAATACGGTTCTGCATTTCTGTCACTATGTACAATTTTGATTGACTCACAAAATTAGTAATGGCTCTTGAATTTGACATAAAAGGCAAATACATACTACACAGCCTCCTCAGTTCAAGAACTTATGTTCATACCACAATCATACAGAAGACTGAGTTCAGAACCCTACAAAGAAATGTTGGCCATCACCTTTGTCAGAAAATAACTAAAAAGAAACAGCAAAACCAGATTTAAGAAATAAAACCAACTACATTTCTTGGTTTTACTATTACACAGAAATTTGACAAAGTACAAAGAATTATTCTGTGATTTGTCCCATGGAATCATTCTGGAAATCCATTCTCATCAGTAATTATTCCTAAACACACCAGAAATCCTATCAAGGTACATGGATTTTAGCCTCTGAAGATTTGTGATCTCTTCAGCACAGACAAATCTATTCAAAATACCATTAAACTTACCAAGGTTCATCTGTAGGCTCCCAGCATACCAAACATACACTACAGGTAAAGCACATGGCTCTGTCATCTCCTGATGAAGCAGGCTACAAATACAAAACGAAACAACTGAAATTCATGTAGCTATACAACATGAAACACTAATTAGGTGATTAAGTAACTCTCCTTCTAATGGCATAGGAAAGCATCACATCAGATGCATTAAAAGCCCCAAACTACATACTTTAAAGGGGCAATATTTCACATTAGAAAAACCAACCATGATACACCACAATTCTATAGAAGAGATCTAGAATCAATGCCTGTACAAACTACTGGATAAAAATCACACAGAAATAGAACTCAAGTGAACAGCATTACCACTAAGACTTTTATTTCTATGGAAAAAGCTCACAAAGTTTTAAAAAAAAAAAGTCAGAATCTCAGCTGAATTTAGCTGCATGTAAAATCCTTATGTCAAATCCTGACACATACTGCCTAGCCATCACTATGTAAATCCATTCCATAAACAATTATTTTATTGTAAAAATGATTCCAAAGAATGAAAAATTGAAATAGGAAAGAGTAGTGCACTAGAATGTTGAGGATGTATCTACTTACTACTCAACAATTTAGTAATGTGATCTAGGACTGCTGTGTGTTACTCTACAGTTTCTTTAAATCACACTAGGAAGGAGTAATTAAAAAAACTCTGATGTCAAGTTGTTGTTTTTTTTTGTTTGTTTGTTTGTTTTTGCTTTACTTGTATATACTTGTATTGTAAAAACTAATGATATTTACACAATAATCTAGTGAGGAGGAAAGGAGATGCTAACTCTTTAACTGCCAAGTTACTTGTTTTTACTTGAGAGATTTACTTGATATTTATAATTACCTTATAATCATGCTTAGTTTAGAACAATGTTTTTAGTGATCTTACAAAAAATAAGCAACCTCAAGGTATGGAAAAAAGAAAGGAATTTAAAAAAAAAAAACAAAACAACACAAAAAGAGTTGAATGACTTCTCTTTTTTTTTTTTTTTTCCATTATGCTTTCTGCATCACTACAGGAATTGATTAAAAGTAAAAAAACAAAAGGCATTTTTCCAAACCCTCACCTAGGAGACAAATACTAAAAACAACAAAACCTTTTACCTGGTGGTAGAATCCAGCTTGAGCCATAGGATCTGGTTGTGCCCACCTATAACCCACATGAGGCCATGAAGTGAATGTCTCTCTCCTGTTAGCTTCACTATACATCAAAGACCTAGACGGGCAAAAATTCTACATTATCCAAAACTAGAATCACCTAGAATCGTAAAAACAGACAAAAAAAGCCCCCTACAAACTAAAATTAAACTCATTATGACATATTTTTCAATAATTTAGATACTGCTAGAAATAACAGATTGTTACCTGTAACTTATATTTAACATTATTGATGAAGGTCACAGAAACATTACAAAGTTCTGACACTTGAAGGCCTAAAGTGTGTCAGCAAAAGAACATAAGCAGTGCACAACAACATACAGGCCTTAAAAGCAAACAACTAAGTAAGCTCCCATGTAGCCTATTTGGTCTAACTGCAGCAAAGCATCCAGAGCTCCTCTGCATTTAGGGTTGAGAACCTAGACTAATAGAACTGTTGAAGGGGTTTCTTTTACAACTACTGCAGAAATTTTGGTGTTAACTAACTGAACATATATGAATACTCATGTTTAAAAATATCCCAGAGGGATATTTTAAGCTTGACTGAGAATATAGTGTGAACCCCTTGACACATTACTCACTGCATGCTGTAATACTTGAAAATTATAAACTACTAAACCACAAAATCTGAAATCCTCCGTAAATGCAACACCTACAAGGAAAATACACATCTCTTTTTGCCACTTTCCTTGTTTAATCTCAGTAATTAATTCTCTAGTTTGAAATACAGCACAACTATCATCATTTCTCTTTCCTCAACAAACGTATTCCAGTATCATGCCACATTTCACCATCCTGCACAGAAAGGTGCATACAGCTGGAAGAATTACTGCTACTCAATGGAAAAGTGCCTCACATCTTGCTGCTTCTTCCCCCCAGCATCAGAAGTTTTTGCTGTCTTTAGAGAGAATGGACATATTAAACATTTCCTACGAAGGAAGTAAACTATTCTTGCAACACGCTGTAAGGGCTGCCTTAACTTCATATTTTACCATTTTCAAAAATACAATGTGGCAAGTTACAGTCAAATGTGAAGGTTTGAGGAGTGGAGTATGAGATTCAATCACTGAAAGAAATGTTAACATAGCTTCAAAATACTATTCATATAGAAACTTTCAAGAAGGCACTCATCTATAAACTTTGAAGATTCGCCAACATTTTAACGAGTCGGCTTATGAAGGTTAAAACAATAGGTTACTCACTTACTTACACATCATCACTAAGATCAGAAAGAGATGAAGCAACAGTCTATGAGGTAAATTTTCTCTGATCCCAAACACATAGCAGCAGACTAGAGAGTTCAGAAGTAGCATTTATACTCAAAGGTAACAACTTCCTAAACTTTATCCTCTAAAAGAGGAAGCATGGGCATAACTCCTTCCTGCATGAAGGAAAAGGAATTGATTTCATGATGTAGCATAGTGGGAATGCTCTAACTCTGATAGACAAATTTGTTCACTGTGTTCAAAAGCAGCTTACATAAGCTCTTAAAGCTACGTGGTTTCTGAACATCTTAACATTGCTGTCTCAGTAAAATTTACACTAAATACTAGATTGAGTAGAGCTGATAACTCAAATAATCAGTCATGAGCACTCGACTGTGCAGACACAGCAATAATCAAACATCACGAAAAGTAAAACGTGGGTGAACACATACTAACATGTTACAATACCACCTACAGAACTAAATTTAGGGCTGCAACCGGTATCTCTCTGAAACCAAAGCAACTTCATCCAACTAGAACTAAAGCAGCACTGCAAATAGAACTCTCTTTTGGCAACCATAAATGTTTCTCTAAATTTACCAGTAGGTACAGTACACTGTACCTGAAACAATTTAATAGCTGTATGTGTAATAGCAACAAGGTACAGAACAGGATTAATTCCGTGTTTTTTCCTTCAGCAAAGAAATTAAGATTATTTAGGATCTTATTCTAATCCAAGTAAAGGGTCAAATTCATCACTGATTTTATCTCAATGTACCTGTCCACAGACCGACCAGGTCCCACACCAAGTTCTGGTCGCGCGCTGGGTAAGAGGTAAGATAACCTATCCATCACAGAGGATGCTACAGGTAAGGCAGCAATATTTTGATTTATCTTCTTGAGTTCATTTACAATGGCACTGGCGACAGACTTCAAAACATGATGAGGAAGGTGGAACGTAACCGTTGCCCACTAAATGGAGAGAAAAAGTGCCTAGGTAAATATATTTTAAGATTCTGACTGCTGAACAACAAATAGCTCACAAAGATTTCAGAAGCAAAAGAAAATGCATCTGTTGCAATCTTTCTTGATTTCAATCAATTTAAGCAGTAATACAGGAATGGACACAAAAACAATACAGACACAATGCAAGGAAATATAATATCTTCAAAATTTTAATTTCAGTGCCTTGTTAGTTTCTTGCTTAACAAATCAAACTTCACCCTGAGGAACTAAGGAACACATAATAGATTTTGTCCTCTGCAAATGAAAACCATCACACTAAGTTAAGCATTTTGCATGCTTCAATAACAGTAGCTAAGCAAATTAAAGTTAAGAATTCATGTTAGTACAGAAACAAATTCTTACCTTTGCAACTTTATGATTTGCTGCTGTTTCATGTGAGGTATTTTTTAAACCATCCTTCAGTTGTGTGATGAATAAGTCATATCCCTCTGTGCTAGAAACATCTACTTTTTCTATGCAAGCAGATAACAGCTGCTGAGCCTAAAATGCAGATGCGCAAGAAGACAGTTAGCATCCACGCTGAATAGCTGCAGAAAGGAATTACAACTGTTTCCTCATTCTGGGAAATGCATACTGGCATACCCAGTTTATCTTACACTACATCAGCACAACTCCTACAGAAGACACGGAGTTGAGCAAGTAGTTCCAAATTTTATTCTGCAGTCCAACCAATGGAAAAATCTCTGCGGCAATGTTAGTAATTATTACAAGTTTCCTCAGGTACAATATTAACAAACATTAAACGAGTCAGTCATACAGTTAACATATGACATATTAAAGCCAAGCAAAACAGATGACATCTATTGCCTAGAGAAATTTTCAACTAAGAAATAAAGCACCCAGAAGAAAAACATTCTAAACATCCATTTATACAATTTTTTTCTTCCATTCCCACCTGTTTCTAGTTTGCACCACATCATATCACAGGTAGGAATCAAAGGCATACCTCGTGCACCAAGCACAGAGCATTCCATACTTGTTCTTAAGTAGGCTACATCTGAACAATGTTCCATTACATATTTCAAGTTACAAACAAAAGGAAATACTTCCAAAGGGCAACTGCCAGCCTTGACTTTAAACAGCCAGGAATTACAGAACGGTCGAATGGCCACCTGGTTACATGCTTGGGGAGCTCAGGGGAGACAAGAATAAGCCAAATCAGTCCCTTAGCTAAGGCTGTATTTGTTGCTCAGGTTTCCATAAAGTATTATGCACAACTCACATTTCAAAAGTCTCTCACAGACAATATAAGATCAACAGACACATTGTTCATAATTTCGTAGAGCTGTAGGAGGAAGCAAATCCAGCATAAAGGCACTAAAACAATGTGTCAGTGCTGCCTATTAGAAATGTACACACACTGCTGGCAGACTAACCATACAAAAAAAAAGTACTTAAGAGCAAAGATTTGCAGAGAAATTTTAGAGACTAATAAAAAAGTTTTGAATAAAAATTCCTTATCTTCCTTTCATGAAAGAACTGGACTGATACACTTCTATGATGTCTGTTTCAGTATCTGCTAAAACCTTCTGAAGTCTGGGTAACTCCTGTTTAAAGCTAAAAATAAGATCTGAATATTGCTAACGATATTCCTTCCATCTCACTGATCTGGCCCTCAACTCCTCCAGTCTAATCCCAATGACTGTCTTTGGATCCAGTGGAATATTTAGCTAAAAAAACTGACATGATCTTATAGTTTGTACTTGTATTAAACCATCTGAGAATACAAACCAATGACAGTAAAATTGTCATTGGCCTGAAAATGCTACCCTGTCAGCCCTCCTGGTCAGCCACACACCTCAAGGACTTCATAGCTACCCACAAATGATCTAAAACTGACAGCAGGGCCAGAAAGCCCAGAAAACCAGAAACCTGAAAACCTCTCTGTAAAGATGTCTGTGAAGTGACAGTTTATTGCTATTACTCCTGCTTAAGACAAGCAGTTCAAAAAACCACCAGTAAACCACACAACCTACATTCACACAGTTATCTCAAATCATTGTTCAGGATAAGTTTTTGTATAATTTAGAGCAAATTTATTTCCTCTGTAACCTGGGAAGTCCACTTTTCTCAAAGTGCTTTAAAGCTCTGGAATCTGGATTCAGCAGTCCAGTCTTCTTGTTGTTTTTTTAATGAATGCACTGCCCTAAATACTAGCCTTGGCAGATGCTCTATGTTCTTCCCAAACAAATCATTAATCTCGCTTGTAATTGAAACTGCTGTGCAGATTTATCTCCCTTATATATTACTTCACGGTCACCACACACAGGTGAAAACTATTGTCTTCACCAAGAGTGTATCTCATAGCAGGGTGTATGGGAACTGTTGAGTCACTGAACCACTGATTGATCACCTGGGGAAAGGACCTGGTCAGCCCTGGGAGCATAGGCGAAGGCAATTCAGCTGTGTGACCAGGAGGGGTGGAGCCTGGCTGCACCTCTCCTAGACCTCATTTAAGAGCTGATTGCCACTGGAGAAGGACCTCATTCCAGAGATTCCTCTCTGGTGGAGCTTTCTCCTTTGAACCTGGAATCCTCTGATCCAGGTAAGCAGTCTTCTTCCCTTCCTTTATAGCACCTTTTTATTGTGCTGATCCTCCCATCGTATTGATCTGCCCAACTGCTACAAAGGTAAAATAGGAAAACACAAATGTACCTGTTATCTCATTTAAGAGATGTTATGCTGGCTGAATAAAACCCTGAGCATTAGATTCCAAGCAAAAAGGTACACATTTTTACCCCTTAAAGTGATAATAAGTGCTTGGTTATATTGTCTCTCTATTTCCACTGAAAGCCTTAGGAATAAAGCAAAACAAAATAACAAAACAAGGATGCCCAGCAGCATCAACTTCCAAAGATCCCACTCATAAGCACTGACAAAGCTCTGGAATCATATCCTTCTTGTCACTGACATTCCAAAATAATGTGCTCCTGATAAAGGAAGCTATCATTTGTTTGAGATACAAGTAATTACAGTAGTTAGTGCTACATAAAGGCTAGTAACTAAGAAACTTTTTCATTACATGCAGTTAACATCACACTAGAAACTAGAGGACAAACATCTGGTTTCAGTATTTCTGACAGTTATTTACATACACTACTTTTTCCTGTACCTTACCTCTGTAACAGGCAATTCAAGCTGAACCACATCATCTTGTTTTGAAACAGGTGTCTGCAGAGCTGTGTCTAACAATAAGATGCCGTTGAGATCTTTTCTACATCCTACTGCATAATCGTCCACAAAGATCACCTTGTCCACAGCAGAAATATACTGACACTTCACCCGTCCACCTGGTTTAGCTATAAAGGGAAAGACAAAAAAAATTATATTAGAAAACAGCTTTTATTTTAAAAAAGATATTTGTTCTCGAAAGTAACATAAGACTTCAGCAAAATCTGTTCTCTGAGATGGTCAAGTAGTAGCTTATTAGCTACAATAACTTTCAACACATCTGCTCTATTTTGTACTTAAAAAAACAATCCATTTTAAGAGCTGTAATGGAAGCCATCATTCACATCTTATTCCAACCAGAAGGCCTAAGCCAGTGCTTTCAAGTCTAAGACATCTGATGTACATGATATTAGCTGAGAATCAATAATAAGAATTAAAATATACCAGCATGAGAAGTAGGACACAACTGTTGAACTATCATTAAGACCAATTAGTATTCATTAAGTAAAAAAATACTCAAACCTCTGAGAACTAAGCACAGCAAATGCTGTGAGCCAATGCCATTCCAGCCCACACCTTCCAGCACTGCCACCACCCAGTAGATGAATCCCTCAGCACAACAGCTGGACTGAACAGGAGCATGGGTGAGGAGAAGGAACTCTGGAGTACTTACATGCTGCCTGCACCTGTACACGTTGTCAGAGATAAGAAAGAGAGGTTCCTTGAGATGCTAAGGTAGCTTACTTCTGTTCTGCACTACCCATATCATGCCAGTAACAGGTCAGAGGTTTGCTAGGAGTGGCAAAAGTGGCTGCAGATCAGTAAGCACAGCCTGTGGCAATGGGCATTATCCCAAGAAACATTTTAATACCCAATGTTATTATGTGTGCAAGGCTGGACAGGTACTAAAACCAAGTCCATGTAATACCTACGTAGAATGCAAAGTGCTTTAATTCATAAAAATGTAAGCTGCTGCTACATAAGCAGACTTTAAGCATGCTGAAGTATAAGGACATATCATGCCAAGGGCAAGTTGAAACCATCCCATGGTCAATACGCGTCTTTTTTTGCTGCACAGAAACAGGGGTTTCCTTAAATTCTGCACTAATCGAGTCTTGACCCTGTTCTCCTCTTTCTTTGGATGCTATGTGCTGTTTCTAATTACAGAGAATTAAAAACTGTCATCTAGGTAGCTGGCATGGAGATAAAGATAGCTACGTAATTCCCACATTCTCATCTTCACAGTTTGGTGTAGACGAAAGCAAATTAAAACTTCTCAGAACAGAGGGCATATCAACCTGACCACACTGCATCCTCTCTCAGAAACTCAGCTCAAGAATAGTTGTCAGCTGCCCTTCTCATCAAATCTTTTGAAACAATGACTCATACTCTCATTCCAGTACATAAACCTTTGTCTGCACGAAGTATACCGCAACTGTAACCATCACTGTACAAGCCACAAATAGTTCAAGAGCAACAAAATCACTTCAAAACTGAGAAGCCCTTGGTTCTATCTCACCAGAAAGGGCCCTCTGAACAGCACTTCAACCACTTTCACACTGGTTTTTGCCAACAGGCTGGACTTCCTCACATAGGAATTTCTGCAGCCAACACAACTGCAGGCAAGGAAGTCATCCAACAGAAAAAAAAAAATAATGGTTTTTACAAAAAGGCGTTTATTTTTTTTAACTTCTTTACAAACATAAGTGGTAACAACGTACAGGAAAGTATCACGTAAATAAAATGAAAAGTATCTGATGTGCTAAACTAAAAGTCACAGTAGATTAACACGGAGTTTGCAGTCTCTTCAGTGTGATCCAAATGATGGATTCTGACACCATAGGACCCTTTTCTAATCTATCGCTCCTCTTCTCCTCCTTCCCAGAAGATAAGTAGCTCACCTTTCCAGGCAGTGCCAACAGAGTGAACATTTCTTTTGCACCTTTCTTATTTCCTGTCAACCACATGAGAAGTTTCATGCTGCATTCAGCAGCCTGTCGGAGCCCTGGTTCTGTATGTCTTTCAAAGACAGATCACTCTTATTTTTTTCATTTTTGTAGAGACGGTAAAAGAAATCTCAGGTCTGATCCACAAGTTGGCTAACAAATACCCCCTGTGTCATCAGTCCTAATTTTAAACGGCCATGCAGTAGGTAATCTGTGTCTACTCAACATACTACTTTTGCTCTGTTACAGAAGTTATGACAACAGCACAAAAAAAATACATTGCCCAACAGCGACAATTCTCACAGGGCTTCTTATATTGTGGTTGCCAGAAAGATCTGGCTAAGCTATCTCTTAAAAAAAGTCAGTTTCTAAGCTGATGGAACTCTAAGAAAAATATTTCATCAATATTTAGCATTGTTTCAACAGCCAGAGAAACATGTTCTGCAAACAACTGGTTTGCAATTTGCATAGCCTCTGAACTGCTGACAAGCTATTCTGCAAACAGAGCAGATTAATTCTGAAGTTCAAAGAACACATTTCAAGATGATTCCACTACTAGTCACAAAGTGGATCACAGTTCACATACTGCTGGTTGCATTGTTTACAGCAGTTAGTTGAGAACCAGGAAACAAGAGAATTTATACATCACCAGCATAGAAAAAAATGCTTATAGAAGTTTACTCATCCTCAAAGCATCTGCAGAAGGGTCATTTCTAACTTGGGACTGATATTTCACTATGTACCAAAGGACTCCAACCAATATCCGTTAGCAAACCTACTGGTGCCACTACACATAAACTAGCTCTCCATTCTGGCTATGTTCACTGGCATTAAGTAGTGAAACATTTCTTCATAAGCTACAGCTCAAAAGTTCCATGTAAATTCATTAATGACTTGAGATAGATCACCAAAACTCAACTTTTATTCTCATTTTAGCTCCCATTCGTTCAGCTATGATATACTCTGGGTGGTAACAGGAGAAATGGCCAAAGTTTTTAACAATTTTGCTTTCCAGTCTTAACCACAAGTAAATCACAGCCCCTCCCAACTCTGCTTATCTGTCTAGGATTACAAACAAAATAAATCACAACAAAATCATTCAGTTTTTGTCAGTTCCTATAAGGAAACCTGGCACACTGGAATTGAGAGCCCAACATGTGGTATATGTCATCTACGAAAACATTACCTGAGAAGCTGAAACAAAAGCAAATTAACATCAGATTGTAGAAATGAATAATTTGAGAAAAGGAACGTTCTCCCTGCACCTTCTTTACATCAAGCAATACAGAACAAGGACTACCAATTTCCTGTGATCAAAATCTGACCTACAAAACGAAAAGAAAAAAAAAAAAAAAGAGAAAACAAGTTTGCCTGTAGAACATATCAAGATCTTAACGCATCTATGACTGTTTACAGTTTACAGTCATTATGATGAACCAAACCAATTACAGATATGGCCTTACTTTTTCAGGAGTAAAACTAAAAGCCTTGTCTGAATTTTACTGCTCAAGGAAGCCAGAGCTCAAAAGAAAGTGGCTGTTCCATGAATACTCAGGGCCACCATCAGGAAGAGATGTAGGATAATGCTGACAGTAACATATTTTACCTTTTCTATTATTACCAAGAAGTTAAAATGTCTTGAAAACCACTGACCAATGTGACTGCACTACAATATATTGTAGCTAGTAATTCTCATGCTAAGAAGCTCCCAATGTGAAACAAAAACCATCAAATAATTCCTAAGTTAGTAAATTAGGCCTTATCCTATAGCTATCTATAGCTAAAGTGAGAGCAGTAAATGTATGCATCATAGCACTAATTCCATAATGCCAATATCCAAGACCAATCAGACCTAAAGAAATATCCATCATTTCTATCTACAAATGCAATTAGGCCTGTATTATTATTATAAAGCTGTATTTCTAGAGAAATAGAGCTCCCATCAGCTGAGTAAAGCAACACACTTTGTGTGCACCGACATCACTTTCTCCACTTTTAATTAAAACTGAAACATAACAGTATCTCAGTACTCTTTCAAAATCCTACAACCATGGGAAGCTAAGTGAATTAAGTTTCAGGAGTCTAAAAGCTTTAATTGTCCTCTTAACATTTTATCCTTAGATCTGAACATCTCCAACTACTTAAAACAACAGAATCCAAAAAACTAAGAGAAGGGAAGAGATTGGTACAAAGGCAGAAGAGCAGCCCCTGATTCACTCCAAGGATCACCTCAGCAAAGCACTCTGCTGCCCCTATGGAGATGCTCCATGGCCCCTTCTCTTGTGAAGCAAGAACATCCTCAAACTTGGGTGGAAAGAAATTTACTGCATGTAAACAAGTTCACTTTGCATGAATGAAGTAGACCTACTTTGATCCTACATGTTTCCTTCACGAGCAACAATTTCACTTTTAAATGACACCATGTATGACACCTCCATGCAACTCATCAGCTGCAATAGCAGACCAAACTGAATGAACAAATCAAAGCCACTTTCAGAGCTGAAACAGGAAAGAAAACTAAAATTGCTCTCTAAACAGCAAGACTGTCAAAGAAGGCAGAAGTACGAAGCTTCACATCGCAAAGTGCCTTCACTTAATTTGCAGTTTTGTTATTTGCCAGAATTGGATTTAGTCAATCAAAAATAAGACGTAATTTATAGTTTGTATTTCCCTTCACCAACAAGTACTGAATTGTTTCAGTATCAGTTTTACTGTATGATAGCTGGCTCAAATAATTATTGCTAAAGTAGTGTAGGAAGATGTACTCCCTGGGCTAAAACATGGGACAGCACTATGTGTTACGAACAAGAAGTGTCCTGATCAAGCAGCTCATAAGAAGAAGCTAACATTAACACTTACAGAGTTTCAGAACAAACAAAAACCCACTGAGATCAGAGCAGATCACAACTCTCAAACAATAAGCTTGCAGACACAGGGTTCTTTGGTCCTCTACAGATCTAAAGCAGAAGACTGAATCAGAGAGAAGACCCTGGAGAACTCTCTGTGCCCATGTTCCTCATGCTGTTTCAGACCTCAGTCTATCTAAATGCTTTCACTACACAAAATGCAATCACTCACAGGATTTTGTACAAAAACAAACAAACAAACAAACAAAAAAACAAAACCACAAAACCATGGATTTTCAGGAAAGATGTCTTTCAGAAGTTTCAGTCAAGTTCACC